GGCTTAAACGTGGGGTGGTGAACATTCAGGTCTCTTCTGATTAAGAAATTAGCCGGTGCTTTGATGCTAATGAGGTAGTCGATCATCTCGTCAGAGCGCGGTGACCGGTAGATGTTGAGCATGGTATACCCATTGATATCCAGCCAAAGCACGTCTCGGGTACTAATAGGTCTCTTCTGTTGGGCCTTGACCCTCTGCCCCTTCCGCATATACATCATGACCTGTGGGCGATCCTGAGTAGTATTCCACAAGTCTACCGGGGCATATGATTCAAACCCCGGGGTGGTTCTGTGTCCTTGTCCCCGGGCCCGTCCAAGGCTCGTTGACATGGATGACATCAGCGCCCCGCGCCCAGCCGAGCTCGAGGATAGTGTTGTACTGTGGTATCCCTTTGCCTGTATTGCACCAAATCACACATAGGTCAGGTGATTTATGTTGCTAGCGTTGTCCTTTGCGGTGGCGCCGCTTCTTATCAGGACGTTGGCGTCCTGGCATTATTCTTCAGGGAGTTCGGGTTGTTTGCGGGTCCAGCCTGCAGGTGCTGCAAGGGCAGCCTTGGCAGCCTTGCGCTGGGGACCTTGCCGTAGCCTTGGCCGGTCCGGTTGAGAGGCCTGAGAGGACGGCCCCGGGGCCTGTAACGGTCCCGGGGCGCTCATCTCAGTGTCTCCGTCCCCGTCAACTGAGTGTCTCTCCAAGGTGGTCCCGCCGGGGGAGCTGGAGATCGTGCTGGCCCCTGATGACGGCGCGTGGTTGGGCCGTGAGCCGGTGCTCAGTGCCCTTTTCTTCCTCTTGGCAGTGGCGCCGGGGTTGTTCTGGGTCGCAAACAGGTCACTGGAAGGTGCGTACCTGCTCTGGCCGAGTCCTTTAGGCACCAACAACGTGACGTCGTGGACCTCTCTATAGCATTTGGCTCCAGCCCGTCTGATACTCTGGAGCTGCTTCTTATTACGGCGCACAAGCTCCCTATGCTCGCGCTTGGGTGCTGCTATGCAGTTATCATGTCCTGCTGGGAAGGGGCCGTGGCAGTTTGCACAGCGGGAAGGTCGGTCACAGGGCTTACTTGCCTTGTGGTCGTTTACTCGGTCGCCGTAGTTATTACAGCAGTGAGCCTAGTTGCACTTCTTAGCAAAGCAATAGCCCTGACATCCCGGGTTGTGGATGCTGATAATGGGTTTCTTCTCAACCAGCCTTGAGCAACCGCTGTTATTAAAGAGGCTGAACGGCCTCACAGGTGTTAAGAAAGAAATCATCCAGCTGTCTCTGCCTGTGGCGGGGTCTGGGCCTTGTCTAGACGGCTTGCATTTGACAGGGCGTACTTTTGTCTGGGCATATATCTCGTCCTTGATCACGTCTTGTGTCTGGATGTGGTTGCCTAAGTTCACGTAGTCGGGGAAGTTCTAGGGGATGTCTGGCACCACGTATATGAACCAGCGCTCTGGAATATCTATTGCTACAGCGTTTGTAACTTTTTTTAGACGCAGCTTCGCTTCCGGACCTAGCAGTTGTTCCCTAATCCCTCTGGTTGCCACCCTGATAGACCAACCAGTGTTGGTCGGGCTGATGTCCGGCATGTCAGCCAGGCCTAGCCCAAGGTCTTTGAATTCCTTGCAGATTGCAGAGCGAAGAGTAAAGGGCTGCTCCCTCCGTATGCATTGATCTTCATCTAGGCGTATCAAAATTCGTGTCTCATCCCTGGCTAGGGCAGACGCCGAAGCCCCGGGGCGGGACGTGCGGGCGGAGGGTCCGGCACCGGCATAGGTGATAGCGTTGCCCCCTGAATTCGTTACGTGGCCTGCTTTGGCCACTCCCGCCCAGGAGACCTGCTTGGACGACTTTCCCCAAGGGCCTTGCCCGCACGCGTTCGTGGTGGTGGTGTCAATAGGCCCAGAGCTTTTGACACGGATGGGCGCATAGAAGGTGCCGTCAGTGCTAGAAAAGATAGCAGTGTTCAGGTGACTGTAGATCATTTCAACCACTAAGTGGGCCTCCCTCTTGTACTCAGACTGTTGTGGTCCGTTGTAGGTGCTTACATAGTCGTCCAGGCAGTCAGCGAGCTGTCCTAGGACCATTTGCTTAATGCAGGCCTTGCGCTCAAGGTCCTTTAGGTGAGGTACAAAAGCGCTGGCAGTAATATCATAATATCGGGTAGCGGGCTTTCTAGTAAGGTCAATTATCAGGGGAGCCTGGACATTGGCAGGCTTCCTCTTCTTATTCCGCTGATCAAGGTTGGAAGGGGTGATAGGCTCAGGTTCTCGGGTGAACTGAGCAGCGTCCGTTACAACTCTGATGGATCGCTGGGGGGTTGTGAGGGCCGCCATCATCAAGTGCTGAGTTCGTCCCCTTTGTAGGGAGTGAAGCGGATCTCGAGATTCTGCCCTTGGTGTTTAGATTCAAAATAATGGCACAATGCCAAGTGTTAAGAATTTTGCTGTGATGTGCGCAGATGTACTAACAAGTGCAAGTGCACGGATGATTTTTACTAGGAAAGGTGTAAATTGGCCAGGAGGAGCTACGAGAGAGAGGACATGCGATCACTACATCTACAAAACATGCAAGTCCAAGATCTGTGAGCGCGTGCTTTTGCATGAAGCTCCCATGTTCCGTTTGTCCATCTCTTCGGGAAGAAGGTCATAAAATGACCGGGAAGTAGGTCATAAATTGGCCAGAAAGAAGGTCATAAATTGACCGGGGAGGAGATCAAGCATTCAACAACCACCAAAAAACAGAAGAAAAAAACCACCATGCACACCACCAAACGGCCAAAAGGCCGATGCCGACCCCGTCCTCCATCCACATTCTGACGCCCAGCGCGCCCGCAACAACCAGAAGCGGAAGCGGAAGCGCTGTGGCCGAAGCCCTCAACATCCTCAGCTACAGCCAATCGCAGCATGCGGCCGAAAAAAGGTCGAAGAGGGTGCGGTCCGGGCCACGAAGACCAAAACGAAGGTCTGGCCTGGAGGGACGTCCATACCAGGGGTATGGGGGAGGGGCAAGACCGAAAAAAGGTCAGACTCGGAGCCCCTGTCCAGGGGGGAAACATTGAAGAAGTCTTCCATCAACACACACACACACACAGACACACACACACAAACAAGAAAAGAAAAAAGAAACACCGAGGGCAGGTCAATGGCCTCCTCGGGGAGAAAGGAGAGGGGGCCCGAGGCTCTCTCTTCCGGGAAAAGGGGGCGGGGAGACCGAAAAAAGGTCAGACCCGGAGCCCATGTCCGGGCGGAGAAACGATGAAGAAGAAGAAAAAAACTTCCATCAACACACACACACGCACAAGAAAAGAACAAAAAACACCGAGGGGAGGTCCAATGGCCGCCTCGGGGAGAAAGGAGAGGGGGAGGCCCACGGGTCTCCTCCGGGGAAAGCGGGAGGGGGAGACCCAATGGTCTGCTCCAGGGGAAGGGGGAGGAGGGGAGGAGGGGAGGCCCAAGGGCCTCCTCGGGGAGCGGGGGTTGGATTGGGGTGCACTAACTTGGACATAGGAGAAAGGAATAGAGGAAGAGGCTAAGAAGAAAGCCGGGATCCGAGACGATGATGGGTGAGGTGGGATCCGATGCACAGGAACACAGAGGTCGAGAGAGGGTCATAAGTTGACCAGGATGAAGGTCATAAATTGACCGGCGAAGGAGGGAAATGGGGAGGATGTGATCCGATGCATAGGAACACACAGATCGAGAGAAGGTCATAAGTTGACCAGGAAGAATGTCATACATTGACCAGGAAGGTCATAAATTGACCGGGAGGACGGTCATAAATTGACCAGGCAGAAGGTCATAAACTGACGAGGATGAGGGTCATAGATTGACCAGGAACCAGGTCATAAGTTGGCCAGCAGGGAGGTCATAAATTGACCAGGCAGAAGGTCATCAACTGACGAGGAACCAGGTCATAAATTGGCCAACAGGGAGGTCATAAGTCGACCAGGCAGAAGGTCATAAATTGACCGGCGACGGGGGGAGATGGGGTCCGATGCACACGAACATACAGGGTCAGGAGAAGGTCATAAATTGACCAGGAAGAAGACCAGAGAAGGCAGATGGCCCAGTCACGTATAGGGGAGGAAGAGGTGTTGAGGAGTTGGTCGCAGGGAGATCACGTATGGGCCTGGTGGGCGAAGGCGCAAGACGTGCGGGATGGTGGGTGGGTGGTCAGTCGCGGTTGGTGTAGGGGGCGGACAGATCAAGGGGGCGGTCTTTAAGACAGGCGACAGCTGAAGGAATTGAAGTGTGGTGTATTGGATCAACCAAGTGACTTTCTCGCGTGCAATCATCGTCGTGCCAATTACAACAGCAGTACTATGATGGTTCCCATCGTGGCTTCTCAGACGCCGACCTACAACGTACCCCTGACAGGCAGTAATCACAGCAGTCCGAGGGATGGGGTCGACATTGACTCCTCCGAACTTTCCAACCGCCTGTTCGCTGAAGCTAACGACCAAGTCTGCCTCGTTGTTGTCCCACGACCAGAGGCCAGCTTCCACAGCTGCTGGGTGGTGCGATGGATGGTATGCATGGTGAATCCGGAATATCTGTTGACTCCTGTTGCGTGATAGATCTAAAATGGTAGAAGCAAAGAGGATTGTCCGACCGCATTTTCGAGCTTGAGCCAGTACGCTGGCTTCAATCGGCCCGTGGTCGACTGAGTCGTGCTTCCAGTACCGGCTCGGATACGGTGACCTTGGGACAGCGAAAGCAGGATTTAGTACAACAGCTCCTGCCCAATCAGTCGCTAACATTTAACTTGAAGCACCTAATCACGAGCTTGGTGTAAGATGAATGTAATTAAGAGAATAAAGGTCGAAAGCTAAGACAGTGGACGAGTCCCCAGCGCCTGACTCTAATGTACGGGAAAACCGTGCTGCTTCTGAAGATCCAAGGGCGGCTGGATGAAAATCCTGTGCACTCCTGACGAGGAGCTCTTGCGAAAGAAGATGTGACCTAGAATGCCAAAGAACGCATCTCCGCTCGCCCGAGAAAGGGACATCCCTGCACTTACTGTTGCGAAGCGTCTGCCTGCGCTGGTGTCAATAGATCGAGTTGTCCATGTGGCAGCTTGAGCAAGCCGAGATAGTCAAAGTTATAATTGTTGCCCGTCCGATCAAGTTGATCTCCAAATTTGATAGCCCTAAAGAAGCGCTCTGGCGCCTGGTCGCAGTCGATCAGGCTCAACTCCGCCTTTGTTTCGTCGATCAACCCTTCGGTGAATTCATCTCTGGCATTCGGGTATAGTCTAGGCGATGGCAGGCCTGAAACCAGCACCAGCCAACAAGGCCATCCATACTCCATGTCATAGCCTGAATGCGGCTTAATGATGCCCATGAAGTGATTGACCTTCACCGCGTCGTGGTTGACCATCTCCGATGCATCCAATGTCACGTTGTGGGCTGCTTTTCCGAGAGCATCGAGGAATGTCTGTCGCTGGTCTTTCGGTATGAGTCTACTTCCTTGGGAGTCCGGTAGGGGTTGGGAGGCGTCGCTATACGGGGTCGGGGTAGAAGCTATAATGTTGCTACCGGCCTCTGCATGTGCGATCTGAATCTATGTGCGGTCAAAATCGTCGACCGGCCAGAAAGGATTGGGGTCGCTTCTGCTGCCCGAGGGTGTCGCCGTCGCAGTACTTCCGTCCCCGTCACGGGCTCGGGTTTCAGCCCCGTTGCTGCTCGAGGCCGGCATGGTCGAATGTGGCTAAAAACTGGAAATGCCGCGATAGAGTGCACATTCGCCAAGTGGCGCACTTGAGCTATCCAGCCTTGCCCAAAGAGCATATCTTATAGACATAGCGGCCTACAGACCAATATCGCTATTATCATGTCTTGGCAAAGGCCTAGAACGACTCGTTGCAAAAAGAATTGCCTGGTTTGTCATCAAACTCAGAATTCTAGCTCCACAACATTTTGGAGCTCTGCCAAAGCGCTCTGCCGCCGACTTGGTAGCTGCACTCATACACGATATTGAGCAGGCCCTTGACCAAGGCCTTGTTGTAACGGTAGTCACAGCAGATGTGACAGGGGCCTTCGACGCTGTCCTAATGGGACGGCTGGTGGTTCGCATGAGAGAACAGGGCTGGCCAGACTTTCTCATAAGATGGGTCCAGTCATTCATGTCTGAACGGTCCGCAAGAGTTCGGTTTGAAGGTATTGTGACCGATATAAAAGCTCTCACTTGTGGGCTACCACAAGGCTCACCAGCTTCGCCAATCCTTTATATGCTGTATACAGAGCCAATCTGTGCCCGACTCAGTATAAAAAGGAGACGCTTTGGATATGCAGACGACCTAGCGACTCTCTGTATTGGAAAGGACCTTAAAGAAACAGCCAAAGAGGCTTCTGAAAATCTTTACCTGCTCAATCAACAGGAACATAACAATGCTATTGAATTTGATCCCGACAAAATTGAGATCATGCACTTCTCACGGAAAAAGAACTCAGATAATCCTCCGGTCCGCCACGGGACAATGAACAGAACAGCAAAGAACTCCATGCAATGGCTGGGTGTCTTCCTGGATAAAAAACTGAACTTCAAAGATCATATTTCTTACTGGGCCAAGAAAGCTAGTAGGGTAACAGACCACCTTCGAGGACTATGCAACATAGTTAAAGGACTTCCAGTAAAGTCAACCAAGAGGGCTGTGAAAACTTGTGTTATTCCTATTCTTACACATGGCCTGGAGGCTTGGTACCCAGGAATAGAAAAAATTGGGAGCTTAGGTGGGACATCAGCATGTCGCATTAAAGGGCTTCTTAGAACGATAGATGCTGTACTACGAACGGCAATCAGAGCTATCTTGCCAGTCTAAAAAACACACCCTGGACATATCCTATACTTTGAATCACAGATTCCTCCAGCAGGAATTCTTGCAGAGTCAATAAGAAGACGTCACGGCCTCCGACTCGGACGAGTAGACCAGAGACACCCTCTTGTTGGCAGGTTCCAAATACAAGCTCGCAAAGAACCAACAAGGCTATAAAGGAGCTTCCAATTAGTCCCTGACTTCCAGAGACCAATACTCACCAAGCCATTATGAAAGAAGCCCCCAGTCCGTAAAGATAAAGACAAAGAAATAGAGCTCTTTAAGCAATAGCTACAGGAAAGAAATACGAACACAGACCTTGTCATCTACTCAGATGGATCACAATTGGACGATCAAGGCACAACCCGCACTGGATGGGGCTATACCATCAGGAAAGGCGGCACTACACAAGAAGTATACCGGGGAAGGGGCAGACTTTTACAAGCAGAAGTAGTGGATGCTGAAGTCCATGGTGCTCTCCAAGGTCTTGTAGCAGCCAGGGCAATTGGACACAGAAACAGCTATATGTCTGCCTGGACAACACATCAGTGGTGGATGGGCTCAATGGGACTCCACCCGAGACATCACAGAAAATTTTTCTGCGATTCCAAGAACTCGCCACAGCACACACTCCTGGAGTGACCGTCAAGTGGATTCCTGGACACAGAGATATTAATGGTAACGAAGCTGCCGATATATTAGCAAAAGAGGGTGCTATGCTAAAAACAGACACAATAAACCTTCCTATAATCTCTTGGGTCAAGAGAGATCTCAAGAGAAAGGGCAAGAAAGAGTTCAACTAATGGTAAAAAGACCAATCAGAACCTAAATATCAAGAAGTATACTCACATACAATAACTAAAAGAGGCCTTATATCCTTTAAGAGGAGCACTCTACACAGACTTCTAGCGGCCAGATCTGGACATGGCGACTTTGCCAGATACCACGAACGCTTTGGACATACAGACTCGAACAACCACTGCAATTGTGGTGAAAAAAAAAACACCACAATATATTTTCTTTTGTAAGAGGCTAAAAAAAAATCGGTTATTGCCTAGGTACTCGCCTAGGACAGCCTGTTTATAATACTTAGGGGAGAGGAGCACAAAATGGACAAAATTCGTGGAAAAGAGCAAGTTCTTTTCAACAATCTGTCTCCGATAGATAGCTGTTCTTGAAGGACCAGATGGATGACCCCAAGGTCATACCGCCGCAACAACGGGGATGGGCCCGTGAGCGGGACTGACTGTACTTATTTTCTTGAGACCTCCACAACCCTGTGATGCAGAGGCTCTGGGAGGCGTGGTCTGCACTACTGAGGAGCTACCCCCCACGTTAAATACAAAACAAACAAACATACCCCCCACGTTAAATACAAAACAAACAAACAAACAAACATTATAGACATAGCGGTAGGGTGGACTCACCGCGAGTGGCCTTTGTCTGTCGTCCGATTGCCAACTCGGAGGGCGGCTTCCAACACAAACAATATCGACATCTTCCAACGTCCTCCGTTTGCGCCGAGACGCAATTGAGTAGTCGTATCGAGATGCAACGCGAAACATCTTGTTGGCCGCTCGACGTCACCGTTTCTTTGTCCTTCTATCCGTCGAGGAGACACGTGTTGGCTTGTAGGGGTACGGCTGCGTAGGTGTTTGCGCGCGCGGATGTGTGTGTGTGTGATGTGTGTTGGTGTTGGTCTAGGGGTTTGGAAATGTTGAAGAAGTCGGAAAGTGGTACAGACTGCGGGATCCGCCTTCCCCTGGAATGCTCCGGCTGATGGTAGTCAAGCATATCAGACCGGACCAACACGGGTTATCTGAACAGTGATAACGTGCAGCTCGGAGTCCCAACGGCAAAATAGCCGCAATCCATAGCGATTATTGCCTGGTCAGTACCGAAGCTTGGACCTAATTCATCCCGAAATGTGTGTAACCCATTGCTTTGGGTGGTCTGGCCCACATTCCTCCCTTTCCCATCGGCAGTGCTTTATAAACCGACCCGCGGCCAGGCTGGGACGTCCCGCCAATTAACCTCCGGGGGCGAAAACACCAATTTGCATATCAACTGGCAGAGATCTAGCAGGAGCCCGTAATTGCTGAGCAGTACTTGAACGTGATATCAGCCCGTCCAGCTAGGATTATTATACGAAAGACGCCTTCGAATCTCATTAACACCTGACAACCCATGCGGTTCCGACTTGAATATGTGAATGTCGTGTCTGCAATCATTGCCGGAGTCCTCCCAAGCCCCGTGCGCTACGGACTGCGAGGGCATCCCATCCGGCCCTGCCCGACTCGAGAAGGGTGAATATTGCAGTCCAGTCCCGCCTGGTTGCCATATGCACCATGATATATGCGGCATAAAGATCGCTACACCGGCCACAAGGTTGGCTGCCTTCCTCGGGCTAGAGTCAAAGTTATATTCTCGCTATGAGCGGTCGTGGTGGCGGCTGGATATGCAGGCTCGCTTGTTTAGACATCACGTCGGTGGCTCCGGTCATCATGTCTGCCTTAGAAAATCGTGCGCAAGTGTGAAATACACCTTAGGCACTAAGATAGCAAAACCAGGCCACCGCAACGCAGTAAACAGTGACACGGGATGCACAGGAGACATGGGATGAAAACACCAGTAATAAATCAAAACGCAAAATAAAAATAAAAACCATACGCAAAAATAGCAAAAGCTCAGCGGATCCGAATCGTATATGTGCTTTGACCCGAGTTAAGACGGCTTCATTAACCGCCTTGCACACACAATGACTCGAACCCGCTTACGAAATTCCCCAGTGGGAGTTATCTGGCCGGCACTACCACTACACCATTCACCGCTTATGGTGTAGTAGGTCGATACTCCGCGTGGGAATTTGGGCTCTTCCGGGCAATTATATGTCTTTCACGGCACTGGGGTCTGGTTGCTGGTTGCCTGGGGGTGGGTGGATGGGTGGATGGGTGGGTGCAAGCAAACAAACACCTGGCACTGGCTGCACGGGGTTGGCCCCCTCTGTGCTCCCTTTGGCCTTAGGCATCCTGCACACTGTTGATGGACTGCACTGACCGACTTTCCCCAGCATTTCGAGTGTCCTACCACGAATAATACATGGACTGCCCGGCTCCCCGGGTGCGGTGGATGAGACGACGGTTACGATGCGCTCAGGGCAACATGACTCTGGCCTGTCATTCTCTCCGTACACAACCGAGATCAACAGACACGAGCAGATTTAGAGGTGATGTAAATAATGTCAGATTCTCAGAAGAAGGGGTCGATCACAGAGTCTCGCTATCTAGGCTTGATCTTGGTCCAACCGTTCGTGCTCTTCTCTTTATCCCTTTCACGATCTCTGCTGGGGCCGCCGCCGAGTACACGAGGATTATCACCGCTATCACCGCTCCTAACGGTGTTGACGCTCATGTAACTCTCGAGACCAAACCGACCATTACCAGCACCACGCTCGCCAGCTCTCGCTTTCGGCCTGGCACCGCCGACCAGAACCCCTTCATCGGCTTCCTCCGGAGCCCAGGCGTCATCTTCCAAGACCTCCCACTCTGGAATGGGGTTCTCGTGGTTGAGCTTCGACTTGAGCTTGTCGGTGAGCTTGACCGGGTTCGGCAGCTTGAAGCCTCTTGTCAGGTCGTTTCCGACGGCACTCCCCAGGAAGGTGTGCACGGTGCCATGCGAGTACCAGCCCATGCGGGGAGCTGCTTTTCCGAGCTCGGCGTGATCGGGACCCCCACCGGCATTGCCGTGGCTTCCGGGTGCGTCAGCGATTTGCTGCGGATTGCGCTGGAGAGATGAGTTGATCAGAAGGTTATACAGGTTCCGTCCGAGGCTGGCAAAGTCGTCGAAGCTGCTGCCGTTGTCGCCGACTGGCACTCCCTGGGTCCGGCAGAGCCAGACAATATCGTAAGCGAGAAGGCAAACAGCCTCGAGAAAGATGTTATAAGACGCGGTATCTTCCTTGGCGAGTGTGGATAGGGGTTTGTCCAGGAACAGGGGTCGTGGATGGGGGATATTTGCGAACTGGCGGTTACGTGGATCAGGTGGTAAGGGTGACGAGCCGGGGAAGGCGACATCGCCATGATGGTATGATGAAGGCAGAGAGAATATTGTAGGACGGGGATAATCGTTGTGTGGTAGTGTGATTTCCGCCGGGAGCCGCACAGCTAGATAATGTGAAGCAAGCCATAAGAGATGCGTGATGTGGGCTAGCGATGCCGATATGATTTCGGGTTGCGCATCTAGATGATACGTAGTCAGCCAAGAGCGAGTAAGTAGACAGACGGCGGCGAGACTCACTGTTCATATTCTGTAAATCGATGATATCAATACCGCCGATCTTGTATTCAAATCGTGCGGGGCTTCCGCGTCGAACACGTTGTAGTCTGTACAGCTTGGCTACCTCCATACACAGCGCGGCTCTGTACTGGGCCATAGCCTCGTACTCCCGATCCCAGGTATACCTGGTCATCTTGATGACCTTCCCCATTTCATCAAGTTCCCTGTTCCGCCGCGTAGAAACTCCCTGTGAGGCGGCCGCAAGGTCAGCCTTCTTGCGCGCAATTGTAGCCTTCCTTTCTTCGATCTCTTTCTTGGCTGCTGCAACTTCATCGCGAAGCTTGTCTGCGGCTGCCATGATCCTCTCGGTCCTCTCTTTGGCCATCTGCTCCTCCGAAGCACAGTTCTCCACATAGGTTCGCGATGAGCGGTTCGTTGCGGGAGAGCCAGGACCCGATTCGCTGTTCAACAGGAGAGTGTTCACACGAGATTCCAGCTCTTCCATCTCCATGAGAATTCTGGCATTTGCGATGCGCCCCTCGTATAGCGCATTCCGCGCATCGACGGCGCAGAAGAAGGGCAGGCGCTTGGGGTGATGCGCCCGCTGGCAGATATCGCAGCTCATTGTGGGCGACTTCGAGATCTATTGATGACTGTGTTGGCTGCCTGGGGAGGCTGCTTGGGATCGGTCTTCTAAGGGAAACAGTCGGGGTTCCAGCTGCTAGACCTCGAGTCGTGGAAACAAATGGGCGGCATGTCTGTCGGGTTGGTTGGTCAGTTGGTCAGCCGGTCGGAGACGAGCGGCTCGTGACGAGTTGACCAGGCGGAAGACGGAAGAATGGTATTATCTCAGCATTAAGAGATCAAGAGAGGGAGCCGACATCGAAGAAGGGTCCTTGTGACGTTGAAGTGGGTTCAAACGTCAGGTACAAAGGTACATGGGTTGGCTGCCTTATCGGCCTTATCGGCTACCCCAACCTGGAGGTGGCATTGCTGCCTGCCAAGCCACGTCTCCTTGGGCAGCCACGCACGCGCCTCTTTTACGGTTCACTGTGCCTTCGATGTTCGGGGTTGCGATGTTAATGCCAGGCAGGCCGACAGTTTGACCACGTCGCTTGAGTCTTCTGACAACTTGTGGATGTACCTGAGTAAAACAACACAGGGGTGGAAAGCCCTATATCTGCAGTTTCCAGTCCGACTCATTCTGAGATACGTCACCCGCCAATCGTGCTGGTTCTCAGAGACCCGACAGTGTTCTAGTTGGGCCCTCCGGAATCTCTGGCGTACGCATACCGATAGCACCGCCAACTACAAACTCCAAACTTGGTTGTTGGGATCTGGAGTCTGACCATGTCCACTACGCCGAGATCATCATCGCCGGCCAAAGCACCGCAGACGCCCGAGGGTAACCACGCTGATCAATCAATGGAGGTGGAGCTCCCGACTCACTTGGAGGAGCCGACCCGGGTTCTGGAAGATGCGACAGTCAGGCTGCATATACAGCCACAATCGCCTTCACGGACGCAGGTTCTGAGAGTCGAACCGAGCCAGTATACTGGTCATCCCAAAGCGCCAGAACGTCAACGGCAGACACGGACGCCTGAACCCCAAAAGCGGCGAAGCGACAAGTCTGAGCAGAGCCCCGGCCACTTGGACCCATTCAGCTGGGACGACTTCGAAACCCGGTACGAGGAAGCACTGAGGCAGGCTGATACAGAGGAGGAGAAAATCCTCGAGGAATTCGACCAGCTTGTCAAGGTACGCAAGCTCATCATCGGCTGCAGAACTGGGCATCCAGTTGATCTTTGACACCAGTACTTCAACGTATGGGCTTCGGCTTCTTCTAGCCATGACAACGAGAGAGCAATCAAAAGGTCAGAACCCCGCCTGACTGGCCTGACCAGGGCTGATGTACATGAGCAGATTGCAAACTCGCGAGAGACATGTCCGCCTGTCCGAATCATCACTTTCGCAGAAGAAAAAGCATCGTAAGTTCAACCCCCCATTCTTCATTGATTATAAACTTACGGCGTAGTTGCCGAGGTTGTAAAGGCTTTCCAGAGCGCTCTGGCCTTGTTAAGTGCTTCATGAGAGGCAATCGAGTTATGATGACTGGATTGCACTTGTCGTATGGATGGGTGTAGCGAATGTGGCCGACGCTGGTCTTTCGGTTCAAGGGAAGTTGCACAGCGTTGGATCGTACGTTGTCCGCATAGACGGGATACCGTTATGAAGACTGTCGGTACAAACCAGCTGAATGGTCTAGAGCCGTGGCTCATGGCCTATGTGGTATGTATGGCGTTGGTTGTTTTCCGCATGATGAAGCTCACGAAGTAACGACTACGGCTCATGAGTGCTTACGAAGTTACGCTTTTGCAGCTACATGAACATTATATTGGGTATTAAATGCTTTATGTGTGGTTCTCATAAACCTTGTCCTACCTCTGGATCAGCACTGGCGTAAAAGGTAAAGGGGTAGAGGGGGGGTGTTCTTGACACAGTGCTAAAAGAAGTCGCGACGCGCTGGCACGGTTCATCTTAATGTGGGGCCGCATCCAGCTGCATCACATTTCCAAGCTGTCACATCCACCCGAGCTCTTCGCTTTTTCAGTCATCAATTCCAGGCCGCCGAAACCACCAAGATCGATCCAGGCCGCAGACCCAGAGGCTGTCACTGCGCCTCGATGTCGGCCGCTCTGCATGCTCCTGGGCCTTTTCAGGTTCCAGATGTCAGCCAGGTTCGTTTGCAATCTACTGAACTCGTGCACAATTCTTCACGTACATACAGATGCTGACTGCTAGCAAGGCAGAAATCGACTCGTTCCATGAGGCACATTTCTCCAGTGCAGCCATAGATCTCTTCGGCGGGCAATTCCTTCGACCAGAACAATCCTACGACGACGAGCAATGTTACGAAGAGTATGACAGATTCGACTACTATGAAGAGGAGGACGAGGACGACGGCCTGGGCTACTATCCAGATGATGTCAAACGGACACTGACAGACGAGCAAGTCGCCATATTCCGACACTCCGAACTCGAGGGCCTGCGTCGCGTCGAAGCCAAGGTTGCTAAGCACAAGTCGGAGTCGGCTGCGTTGCTTCAAGAGGCCAAAGACGATGCTGCCGCCGAGCTCATTGCCGAACCCATCAAAACGGAGCATGGCGAAGACGAGGATCTGCCCGACGCCCAAGTCGAAGTGGAGGATGCAGCAGATGGTAGCGAGGACGGCGAGATCGAGGTCGAGAAGCCGCAGTTGACCAAAGCCGAGATCAGACGCCGGAAGAAGAAGGCGGCGAAACAGAAGAAGAAAGAGGGCCAGAAATTCCAACCAGAGAAGAAGCCGGATCTGCGCAAGAGGACCTGGGATGTCGTCGAGGCTGGTATGGACACCTTGGACTACGACGAACTCGACGCGCAACACGATGCTGGTGCCAACCCAGCTGCTCAGAGAAGACGGATTTCCTACGATGATTGAGAGCTCTTGGGGCATTGGGGGCAATCTGCAAGACAGAACATCAATACACTATTGACTTTTGGTCGATCCATCCGAAGGCGCCGTTGACCATGTGAGGTATGGCCATGTTCATCCAGGTCAGTTCTGCATTCACCCTTCTCCATCTTTCCTAGATGCCTGCCCAATGTGTTCGCATGATGAAAACCTTAGTATCGTCATCCTTAGTCGGAAGCTTGCCAGAAGCCGCTTGATATCAGTCTAGCTGTTTGATAGTGGTTTCGAAGGCGAGTGCATGTCGAGTCTATTAATCTTCTCTCTGAAAGCGACAACACAACTACCCCGTCTATTATTCGTACTGTGCCAAATATGACAGCATAGCTGACACGGACATAGCAGCAGGTCAATTATACTTGATGAGGCATCACACTGCGCCGACCTAGCATGGCACTGAAGCTTTGCTATGACCCGATTAATTACGCTTGCCCAGACTCATGTACTGGTATAGTTGTATGCCGAGTTGGCCATGTGCGAATCAGGCCTGACTAGATAGATAGTTGCAGGATCCTGAGGGAGCTGCCAAGCGGCTCCGAAGGTAGACTTTATATGTTCGGTTTCTGTATCTGAAAACGACGTCAGAACTGAAGATCTGGATCAGGTGGATCATGCCCATCTGGGTCGAAGGAGTGATGAAGTCGGTGCCTGGGCCTCTGTACCCGGATGCAAACACATGAAACCCGGTGGAGGACTATGATACGCCGTATGACAGTACAGAGCCTTTAATGGGACTATTGCTATTCTCATATTTCGCGATCAATCAATGATATGTGTTGGTCCCGTGATGGAGACTTCTTGTTCAAATTCGTGTTCAAATTCATATTGGGCTTTTATTCCTAGCTACCCGCACAGACTTGTTACATGGCTAACCGTGGGTTGCGTTCTTTCGAATAACTATAAGATCGCAGTACGCGAGACACATGATAGCTAGGTAGGAATCAGGCCACAGGCTGAATTCGCTCTCGAGGCTGCGAGGGCGACGTGAATGGCTAGTCGGCAGCTCGAAATAGAACACCCAAGGATCATCATGCTGGCCGCCAATGCCGACGCGCCATCATTCGGTGGAGCGAAGGAAGTGTTGAAACTTGAAGGTGGGAATCCCCAGCGTGCCCAGCTTCCAAGCGTTGTTGCCAGATCAGCGTATGTGGCGATAAATACTGTTCAGCGCCCCCAGCAGAGATTGGAAGAAATCTAACCAGCATTATACACTGACTTTCGGCACTTTGGAGAAGGCCGCCGTATAGAACAACGACAGTGAAAGATACGCACGTATAGAGTACTGTGTGCGCATACGAGAACACGGTCTACACGTACTGTACCCACGACCAGCAGTTTACCGAAGTTCGGCCGACTGCAGTGCCCCGCCTTCCAGTGTCCCTTCCAGATGGCGCGAGGCAGCCCAGGCCCAGGCGCTGGCAGTGGGGACCGGGCCAGCAGCCCCAAATCAACGTCCCCATCCCCTCCTCAGCCTCAGGCGCCAAATGCCAAAGCCAAAGCCCACGCCCACGCCCACGACCGCACAGACCGGGTCTCGAAAGACATCCCACTTCCACTTCTGAGCCTCTGCCCGCGCCTGCTCCAGAACGGCCTCTCCAAGCTCACCGGTCTTCGACTGCGAGGCCTGATTGCGCTCGGCATCCTCGTGCTCAGCCTCTGCATTCCCCTTGCGAGGCGCTTCCAGAGCACACCCGACGTCGTCGTCCACATACCCGACGAAGTCTACCTCCCCGACGAAGCCCTCCCCCCGCTGAACCCCGACGTCCCCCACCCCCTCCAGGTGGACGAATCGACAAACATGGCGCGAGTCTATGCCGACGTCAACCAGAACATGCCTAGGAGCTACTGGGACTACGACAGTGTTAACATCAGTAAGTTGCACCTGGTTTCGCCTCCATCTTTTACCAAATGAGCAACCACTGACTAAGGCGTGCGTGTCTAGGCTGGGGCGTCCTGGAGAACTACGAGGTTGTCCGCAAAATCGGTAAGTCACGATACGATGCGTCTCTACGGCTTCCAAGTGCGAACGAACAAGATGCTGACCTCGTGGGCTTTTCTATCTAGGCCGTGGAAAGTACTCCGAGGTGTTCGAAGGCATTAACATCGTCAACTACCAGAAATGCGTCATCAAGGTCCTGAAGCCGGTCAAGAAGAAGAAGATCAAGAGAGAAATCAAGATCCTGCAGAACCTCTCCGGCGGCCCCAACATCGTTGCCCTGCTTGACGTAGTCCGAGACAGCCAGGTAGGCGGCAACCCTCTCGTAAGCGCGTTCGTTTCGGAGGCCCAACTTTCGGGCTCTGCTGTTTTCTCCATCGTGTTTAGAACTTGGGCTGTGACTGACGCTGTTGGTGCTTTGTAGAGCAAGACACCTTCGTTGATCTTCGAGTATGTCAACAATACCGACTTTAGGAGCTTGTACCCCAAGTTCAACGACATCGATGTTCGATACTACATCTACGAGCTGCTCAAGGGTCTCGACTACTGCCACAGTAAAGGGATTATGCACAGAGACGTGAAACCTCATAACGTTATGATCGATCATGAGAATAAGAAGGTATTGCCCCTCCTGCCGTGTCCTAGGCTGCCTGGCTCACACATATCTAGTTGCGTCTCATCGACTGGGGTCTGGCTGAGTTCTACCACCCCGGTACCGAGTATAACGTGCGCGTAAGTCGTCCTAGCGTCCACCCCTCTAATTCGCCGGCTTCTGTATGCTGGCTTGCAACTCATACGCACCAACATATGCGTACCATGTCAACCCACACGGCCTGGCTGCGTCAAACAATTATGCAAGCTGACACCGGATGACCAGGTCGCTTCCCGATACTTCAAGGGACCTGAGTTGTTGGTGGATTTCCAGGAGTACGATTACAGCCTGGACATGTGGAGTCTTGGCGCCATGTTCGCTTCCATGATCTTTAGAAAGGAGCCTTTCTTCCATGGAAACAGCAACTCGGACCAGCTTGTCAAGATAGCCAAGGTCCTTGGTACCGACGACCTGTTCGACTACCTGGACAAGTACGAGATCGAGCTCGACCCCCAATACGATGAGATCCTCGGTCGGTTCCAGAAGAAGCCGTGGCACAGTTTCGTCAACTCGGAGAATCAACGATTCGTTAGCAACGAGGCGATTGACTTCCTGGACAAGCTGCTGAGATATGACCACCAGGTTCGATACGTTGCCTTCCTGTACCTGATTCCCCACAGCTAACAAGCGCCTAGGAACGTCTCACGGCCAAAGAAGCTATGGCGCACCCGTACTTTGCCCCCATCCGGGACGAAGCTACGCTCAAGCAGTACCTGAATGGTGCGACCGTCAGCTCCGAATCTTGAGAGGCAGCAAACCTAACAGTTCTCTTACGAATTACTGAGATACCCCAAATTCATCGCTACTATGCCTTCTTGGAGGTCATCTGCATCAACACTTTGAGGGGACGTGGAACCACTCTGCCCACAAAGTGAATGCTGTCGCATTTTGCACTGCCGTATGACGACATGCCTAGTCCTCGAGGGGCTTCCAACCTGGGTTAGATAGTGTTCCGCTCTGTAGTCTGCCGCTGCCCGCCCATGGCATGCGTACTACTGGCTTAGGGGGCACTGGCCCCCTGCTCCCTTATTTGCGAGGCCATTGATTCATTACAAGACTTCTATCCTCGACCTCGTGAAATCAGTCTCTCGTTCAGCCCCAGCCTCAGCGACACCGTCTCCCAAAATCTCAGTTTTCGATTGTCACTTACCTTTTCAGCGTAGAACCGGATGGAAGGACCTGGTTTTCCATCAGCAGGGCTTTGCACCCCTTGGCGTTCCCGGTTATGTGCGGCATGGGCGGGCAAGGACATGGTTTTTCTTCCTTTGGGGAATTAGGTGGAGCATCGCATAGGGCACTTGAATTTTTTCTCCTTGATCATGATCATGCGGTATTACAGTAGCGGTCAACCGGACCAAAAAACGACGATCCCGGTGGACGAGAAGGAATGGATGGGGAGCTCGAGTAGCGTGTCGAGTAGCGTGCAGAGATAGATGATACTTGATATTGAGGGTATTATTGACTTTCCAACATGGCCGATGGGCAGCAGCGAATGTGGTTTTGCAGGTATGGTATGAGGTTGCCCGATACGCGGCAATGTGACTGGGATAGTTGCGTGCATGTGATTTGATGTGTTTACATGTGAGAGACTACGGCAGTGAAAGTAAATATGTATGTATTGACTGGTCCTCGCTCTTATTATTAAACGACCGAATAAAGAAGCTGGGTTTATTATAAGGACGCCTGGCTCGAATCATCCGTACCGCAGATACATATACTCTCGAAGACAGCACGTGTCAGTTGAAGGTGGCACCACTGTGAACTTCAGTCAGGCCCAATCGCCTCCTTATCAACTAGGCATTTCATAATGAAGAAGTGGAATTGTCTAGCCGGGATCACATAATGGGCGAAGGACAACAGATTTGTATCCGGTTATTGGAATTCTAGCTCTCATCGAACCAGCAAGCAGATGTCCCCACCTGGTAGGGAGCGGAACTTCGAATCCAAGCTACTTACTTCACTATGAGAAGAAGATCGTACACATGTGCCACAACTGCTGTGCCAAGGAGGGAAAGACATAGCAGTCCGGCTATTTGAAACCATGGTGCCAGACGCTCAGAGTGTGCTAACCAGTGGCCAGTCTCAGACAGGCATATGTCCTGCAAGAAGCCATATGTCTGCTCGCTACCCTCTCAGCATGCCCGAGCAGCAATTCAAATCTGGATTTGGGCGCGCCAAACAGGCATGATTCCGAGATCATACACCCAGTCAGGGGAGATGCAATGCCAAGCTAAGCCCCGCTCCGTTTGGTTCTTTGCCCATCTTGCTAAGGGCACGTGAGGCAGAAGTCCCGGTCACACTTGAAGCCATCCTCACCACACCGCCGCATCGTTCCGCCCGGCGTGCGCACCGGACTCCCCGGGGGGTTGCCCTGCCTTCTCCGGCGGGGCGTGGCTAGCAGGTTCTCGACTGCGGTGCGTGCCAGAGGCGAGCTTTGGACCGCAGAAGCGCCTAGCTTGCGCTTCGTGGTCCGCGAGGCTCGGGAGTCCGTCGCGGGCGCGGCGGGACGTACGAACCCGGAGATGCGATCCGGCGTGCTGGAGCGGACTCGTGGGCCGACGAGGAGGCTGTGTCTCCGGGAGGTTCTGTGAGGTGAGGGCGCAGGTGACGAATAGAGGTTGATGCGGGAGAGCCTGGAGCGGAAGGAGCTTGGGCTTGATGATACGATGCTCAGTTCATCGTCATCTCGGGGGTCGTCAGGAACCAGCGACGTGAGGGCGAATCTCTTGGCTGATGAAGTTAGGTGATCACCAGGCCTGTGCCTTGGCTTCTTAGGTGTTACGGGAACAGAAGAGCTCGCGCGGGACCTGAGCGATCGAGCCGGAGCGGGTTTCAGGGGCTCGGCAGCGTCGGCATGGGCGTTAGAGCCATCGTTTCTTGGCCTCAATGCTGGCCGCAGGGCTAAAGCAGACACTGCTGGAGGGCTCCGCCTACGCGGTAGCGGTGGTAACATCGGCTCTGGGACTGGATCGGCTCTGATAATAATACTTGGGGGTGAGCTTGGTGGATTATCATTTTCAGTGACTCCTTCCTCGTGGTCAGGATCGCGTTGCGAGATGTCGAGTGCCGGCGCAAGATCGTCCTTCGTCGGCGCTTGTTCCAGTGTTTGACTCATTTCCTTGTCAGACATTTCCGGTAAATCTTGTGTCTTGGTTGTTTCGAGACTAGCTTGCGGTGAAACAGCAGGTTCAAGCACGTTCGAAACTTCTGGGATTCTGTCTTCCATAACATCATCGGGTGGAGAGCTTCTGCCAATACTGATATCCACACCTCTGGTCTCGCGTTTTTTCGCGTGTGATAATTGCTCAGGCCGGGAAACCGGCGGAGTGTTCTCTCGAAGGAATTCTGGCAATGGCACCAGTACTTCGTCTTCCTTGTCTGAGTGGCCAGTTGAAAGTCCCACCTCGTTCTGTGAACCGACTTCCGTAATAAGGGTTGATGGTTCGACCTCTTCCATGGCGGCCTCTATAATGGGAGGTTCCAGATCATGCGAACATATGATTGCTGGTGGAGAGTTAATGTGACCCCGATCCTGCATTTCCTCTTGCAGTGAAGATTCTCTGAGAAGAGTTTCGGTTGCATCGTTGTCAAACTTGACCGGTTCTGAGTGCGTCTTATCAACTAGATGCTCCGGATTCAAAGGGATATCTTGGGGCTCTGGCAGTGCATCGGTATCAGTCATGGTTTGGCCGCCTTGTTGAAACTCCTTAAGTCGGCTATCTTCTTCTGCGCTTGGAGAGTCTTCCGTGTGCATGAGTCCTGGAGATCCATCTACGAGAGTCTGTGACAATCCCGATTCCGTGCAATCTTTCGCTGTAGTCCCTGCTAACCTTGCGCCGCGCTTTAGCCACGGGATATCGCCATATAGATCCGGCTGTTTGCGGGTACGTGACGAGCGTCTTGTCTGTAGATCCAGTCGCTCAGCATGGTTGGCGATTAGCTCCTTGCTCTGCATCAACCTGACGCCATTATCCTTTGCAATCTTCGGCGACCCTGGGGGCAGAATTTGCGTGGTATCAACTGGTCCGGTGGGTTGTTGATCCTGTCTTCGACTGGGACTAGTTTGCGGGCTTGACGAAATGCCCGTTTTGTTCGGTCGCCCTCGTCCGCGACGTAACTCTGACCCAGTATCTTGGCTTGCAGCTGGCTTCGGCTCTACAGGATGGTTATGATCTGTTTCAGTTGGTTTCTCTCGTTCCTGCTGGTCGGGGATTTGAGATTCTGCTAGAGTATTTGTTTTTTTGGGTCGTCCTCGTCTTGCCGTCGCCGTATGCTTACCACCCCCCTGAGCCACTGAAGCATCTGTTGTGACGCCCCTTGGTGGTTGACCCGGTTGGCAATGTTCAAGAGCGGTTGTTTTCTTCGGCCGCCCTGACACGCGTTGTGTCTTTAGGCGCTCCATCTTCATTGTACCTGCTTCATCTGGCTTGGCAACCTTTCGAATTGTTTGCTGTGAATTTCGGTTGAAGGCAGCCAGCGACAGTGACAGCGACTTCTCGGCGGTTTTTGCGACGGCCACTTCGAGGGCATCCCGCTTGCTTCTAGCGACCAGGATCTCATCCTCCTCAGCGTCACTCGTCGGTGTCTCAGTAGTAGCAGGTAATGAGGTCCGAGCAAGAGACCCTGCTCTCGCAGTTTTCCTGAAACCTTGGTGTTGAAACATACCACCCAGATATCCATATGGACCACCCCCGGCAGCCATCATCGCCGCCATCTGGTTGAACTGAAGCTGTTGCGAAACCCCCATAGCCTGGCCCATGAACCCGAATGCATTCAGGGGGAACTGCATCGGGAACTCAGGAACCTGCCACGTTGGATCGGTCGGGTGATTGCCAAAGAACGAAGGGCCCATGGCGAATGGGTTTGCGGCACCAAAGGGGTCCGAGGGAAAGGCGGGCGAAGACATTGGACATGCGCCTTCGTTCATCCCAACAGCTGGGTTCCACGCCGGCTGTGGTACTAGATCGGTACCGTCTGTGGAGGGGTTTGCCGGTATGAGCGACTTGGGCTGCGACTGTTTCGCAGGGCCATGATGCTTCCCTTTCAAGGCTCTCTCCTTCTCCTCCTCGCTCGACGGAGAGTCCTCTCTTTCGCGATCTTTCTCGTCTTCCAGAGACTGGAGATGCCCATTATTAATGACGACTTCGCCCGTATGGAAGTCAATCTCGTCGGCGACACCGGTGAAGTCTTTCCCGTATTTCTCGAAGATGTCCTCAAATCTCGACTTGAGTCGGGTCGCAGCCTTGGCCCGTCCCTTATCGAGCGCGTGCAGGGGATCTTGTCGAGCATCGAACTGAACGTCGGTCAGGGAGAGCTCATCTTGTTTTGCTTCTTCCTCGTCGCTGTCGTAGGGAGCTTGGCCGGACTTCAAGCGTTTCGAGGGTGGCTCCATGCTGGGATCGCTCACCTCGCCATCGCCCGGTGGCTTACTAGAGGTTGGAGATGGGCAACGAGCACGCACGCGACAGCCGGAGACGTCGCATTAAGATAGCGAGCAAGAGGCAGGTAGCCAGCTTGCCATCGGGTACCTGCTTAGCAGTTGAAGTCGAAAAAGCAGGGATCACGCCTCAGGAGGAGCATTGAAGTTTAGAGTTTACTTCTTGCCGTTTTCGCGCGTGTTGGCTGGTTGACCCGCGACGCTACGTCCAGCGGCACCAGGAATGCCACTACCGGTACTTCCAGGGGCCTTCCTCCGCTAGGATGTGGCGTGCAGTCGCCCGAGCTGCCCCGTGGTCCGTGGATGGTGGGCCGTGGCAGGTGGGCTGTGCCGATCAGCTGATGACGTCGCGTGCATAATCGACGACCTCCCGATCGTCACGCTCCCGTCGTTTGCAGTATCGCAAGCGGCTCTCAGGCTTCAACTACTGTGTAATAGGTAGTTGTGCTGGCAGCTCCAGCATGGGATCATCACGTCTACCTCCAAACCAGTCACGGAATGTTTTGTCAAAAGTGTCGCGCTCCTCTCAAGCTGGATGGATCGTTAGCAGAGCTCAACCCGGCTGCCTTTGATTTGCTAGTAGGCATGTATTCAACCCGTCCACAGCGAACATCTAACGTATCACGACTCAGCTAACCCGTGCGATCCAACAGCTTCCACATCCCAACAGCAGCCCAGACGCCCATCGTCGGCGCGACCCTCGTATCCACATGAAAACGAGAGACGCGCTCTTTACGACAAAGCTTCGAATCATGCCGGACCTCCAATCTTCAAGAAACATGGCGGCGCCCACCCCAGAGACAGTTCAGCCATGTCCTTCGTCCTGCTTACAGAGTCTCAAGTAGCCCCTCCACGACTCACCGCGCCCACAGAACAGCCGGGTCCGAAGCAGCAACGGCGGAAGTCCGTGTCAGCTGGGCAGCGAAATGATGGGAAGCCCGCGCAACCCCACGAAGCCGAGCGCATCAACAAGCTCTTCGAGATACTGTCGGCACGGTCAGACATAGATCACCCGGTGTGTTTTGAATGCACCGACATGCTTGTGGAGGGCCTTCAGAAGAGGCTAGAATCTACCGCTCGAGAGCGAGACGCCTACGCCGGTTTCCTCAAGCAGGTTCAATCCGACATACCCAATGAGGAAGACATAGCTGAGTCCGAGCAAGCGCTGGCGAAGGCGAGGAGGGACGAGGAAGATTCCATGAAGGAGCTCTTGAAGTTGGAGAAGGAAAAGGCAGCTTTGGACGACGAGATAATGGCACTTGAAGAGGAATCGCAGAAGCTGAACTCGGAAGAGGAACAGTTCTGGCGGGAACGCAACTCGTTTGCGACAAAGCTGTCCCAGTTCCAGAACGAGAGGGACAGCATCAACTCCAAGTTCGACCATGACTCCCAGTTGCTTACGAAGCTTCAGCGAGCGAATGTCTACAATGACACGTTTTCAATACACCACGATGGCAACTTCGCGACAATCAACGGTCTCCGGTTAGGCAAGCTGTCTACCAAGCCAGTCGACTGGCCCGAGATCAATGCGGCTTGGGGCCAGGCACTCTTGCTTGTAGTGACCGTTGCCGATAAGCTGGGATACAAGTTTGAAGGCTACGAGCCCTTACCTATGGGCTCAACGTCCAAGATCATCAAATATGACTACCCATCCCCATCTTCCAGCCGCCTCGGCGCTCATAGAAGTGGGCCCCCACCGGCGCCCAAGAGAAGCGTCCTGGATCTGTACTGTTCCGGAGGCGACTTGCCGTTGCAGATGCTGTGGAACCGGAACTTCGACAGAGGCATGGTGGCCTTCCTGGAGCTGGTCAAGCAGCTTGGGGCCTTCGTCCACCAGCGGACAAGGTCGGACGATGGCCGGGGAGACTTCACGACCAACCCGCTGGCGCTGCCTTACAAGATTGAAGGCGACAAGATCGGAGACGATCGGATAGGGCACTTCAGCATCAGGCTAGGCATCACCAACGACGAGGGCTGGACCAAAGCATGCAAATTCGCCCTCACCTGCTGCAAGTTTCTGATCGCACACTCAAGTAACGTCAGTCATATCGCGAACGGGCGCTGAATCTGGCATTCTTTATCTTGGTCAGCTGGGGACAAAGCATCGGCGTCTGGAGTTATCGCATGTCTACCCCGTATCAGCGCGCAGATGCTGCCACTTCCCAATACGCCCCCAACACTACCCAAGAGTACCTGATACTAGCTGAATTCATGGGGTCACTGCTCTAACGTGTGAGCCTTAATGCGACCGCTTGGGCCCAGTTTCATCTTCAAATCTTTTGTCTCCTTTACCTGCCGCTGTCACGAAATTTTTATCATGTAGCAGCAGAAGGATTCGGGGGTTCGCAACCTAGTCAGTCCAAGGTCGTGTCACTAGTATGGTACTGATTTTATTTACCGACCTGCATCAACAGTCGGGGAGACGTTGGCCAACGGAAGTCTCGCGGCAGCTACTAAACAGGCTGGCCCCTGAGTATTATTCGTATGACTGCGCCACTTTCAGCCCAGGTTCGCATGTGGCGGGCTTCTGGCCAAGGGCCTGGTATTCACTCACTACTTTAGTGGGGTCTAAATGCTTCCCCTCTGGAGTAATTCTGGGGATCATGTTACACTGACCCTCCAAAAGTCTCCGAGCATCCACCACGCTAGTTTCAAAACGCGTCTACGCGCTCGCGACCCCCTTCCTTCTTCACCTTTTATTTACTCAACACCAAAACGATGGATTTACAAAAGGTTGGTACAATTCTGACCGCAAATCGCGGGCCAAACCAGGAATTTACTTCCGAAGCTCGTACAGCTATTGTGGCTGCCAGGGCGGCAGGCGCAAGGCGCAACGATGTCGCGAGCGCGTTCCATCTGGATCGGCCTCAAACCGTGACCGACATTATCAACACTGCTAGAGAGCATAACACCACGGTCTCTCGACCTCGAGAGGGAGCCACAAGGACTCTAAACAAGCGCGAAGAAGCTCAGCTAGTTGAAACGGCATAAAAGTACCCCAGGGCCACCTACAGAGAGCTCAAGAAAGAGAACAGGGTCCTTAGCTCCCATACCACTATCAAGCACGTTCTTCGCGCTTACGGGCTTCGTAAGTAGAAGGCGGCGAAGCGGATCGAGCTTATGGAAGATGACGCACAAGAGAGGCTCACTTTTTGCAATAAATACGACTCCCCGGAGGCTCTGGAGGAGCTGATGCGAACGCTCTTCTCAGACGAAGTCACGGTCCAGAATTCATCCGATAATTCGGGCGATTGGGTCATCCGCCTCTCTTCTGAACGTTACAGGCAGGATCTCGTGAACCCTCGGAGCCATGGGAGACCCTGTATCTCCATTATGTGTTAGGCCTTGATCTGGTTATGCAGCGGAGAAGGTGGCCTAGGCAAAATCATCTTTTGCGAGCCCGATGAGGATGCTCCTCGCGGAGGAGTATCTTCAGCTTCATATCAAGACGTCCTTGAGGAAGGGCTCCTTCCGTTCTACGAGGCTGGGGATCCTTTTATGCAAGATAACGCTCGTATCCATCGATTTGGAGGCACTCCAGAGTGGCTAGAGGAGCACGGCATCTGGACGATCGACTGGCCTGCTCACAGCCCTGATTTGAACCCGATTAAGCACGTTTGGGCACTTCTAAAGAAGCAGATACGGAGAATCGAGCCTGGTTTCGCTGATTTGAAGGCTAATATTGCCCACGAGGTATATGCCAGACAGTTAATCGAAAGGGCGTGGTCAGAGATCGATCCTGAGGATGTACGCGTTCTCGTCGAATCCCTCGGTAACCGAATCGCCGCAGTAAAAAGAGCAGGTGGTTGGTACACATACTATTGAATGGCTTATACAATGCAGTTTTTTTCATATTATTACAGTGAGAGATGGGTGCGTGGTGAATGCTGAAAGTTGGAGGGTGTAGGCATGTAGGGCTGCTCGAAAAGTGGGCTCGGAGACTTCTGGTCGGGGAGTGTACCCAGTAGGTAGCAGTGTCGTATGCGTCGTGTCTGCCACGAACCAACGACCATCCCCTTCCCGTCTACCTCGGGGTCTGCCCTACCCTTATCTATATAGCTCGAAACCCAGTCCTGTACACCTGACACATTTTCTACTCCAAAGAGCAGCGTAACAAGCTGTGACACTGTGTTGGTGGGTACGTGTTCAGGGCAGCAGTGCTTGGCGGAAGTCATCATGTCTCTTCGCAGAAGAGCGCCGTCTGTAAAAGTCACCTCACGCCTGAGGCCGGGCCGCACGTTCCATGATGGGGATCGCCATTGTCCAATACAGTTCACATTTTCGTCGAGGCGTTGGCACCGAGCGAACATTGGACCGTACCTATCTCTGCTCTGGGTCTTTCTGCTGGAGGACATCGGCAGCTGTCTAGCCTGATCGTGAACGATGGCTTCGATGACGAGTCACGCCTACCCTGTCTACACCGGAACATGGACCAACTGGTCTCGAGGGTCAGTCCTCGGGGCAAGATTGACGTTGACCGACGATAACGCCAACCTCCTGATCGCCTTCTTCGCCTTCTACATCACACTGGTCACATCGAGGCTGTGGGCCATAGCCTGCTTTGTTTTCCACCGCTCCTATTCTTCGCCCAACCCCCAGGATACACTGCACCATCAACGACAGGTCTTTCTGCGTACCAACCCAGAGCCGGCCTCTGGCTTCTTGAGCCTCTTCGAGCTCCTGTTCGCCTGGAGGGGCAAGGCGAGGCGCGTCTACCGCCGTCTGCTGCCCCTTATCACGCTTGCGGTCCTTCTGGCTGTCGGCTTTGCGTTCGCGACGGGCTACTCGTCACGAGTTGCAGTTGATCACGAGGTCTTATTGATTGGGTCAGGTTGTGGCATTGTCGAAAGTCAGGTGGGGAGGTCGATTGAGGAGTTCGACTCGGTGCTATATCCCTCTGTGGCCAGTGAGGTCGAGACTGCGGCCAACTACGCCCAACAATGCTATCAGCCATCCTCATTTGCAACGCTCAGCTGCGACACCTTGGTCCAGACGAGCCTGAACTCGACGGTGGACCTGAATGCGCCATGTCCCTTTGACAACAGCTTGTGTCGTCACAAGGATGCCAACATCGAACTGGATACGGGCTTCCTCGACAGTCACGAAGACTTCGGCATCAATGCTCCCTCGTCAGAGAGGTTCAAATACCGGAAGGTCGTGCAATGCGCACCCCTCGCCACCGATGGTTACACGTCGAAAGTCAATATCTCTGATGACCGACCATACACCGGCTACCATTACGGAAACAGTACTGTCAGGGACTTTAATTACACATACGGCTACTCCAATGACAAAGTTTGGGAACAGTACCGTGGTACGTATAAAACAATCGTCCTAATATAAGACCCTAGGCCTTGTTCTTGCGAGTCGATTTGGTTGTCCCTTTTCTCCTTCTTCTCGGCATAGATCGCACGGGGCTACGGGACATCTGTTAACATAACACGCAGCGATCTCAAGTAGCACCAGTGGGGCAGAGTATACCATAGGGTAATGGCTCATACCCCTAGAAAACCATTTGCTCTCCAGCTGGCGCCTATTACTTCCTCAAGTTCCAAGCAAGCATTTTCTACCAAGGCGAGTTGTGGGTGGGGGGCTATTCGAACTTCAGTCCCCTCCCTGAGCTGTTTCGATGCGACACTGATCTATTTTATCTTATTCCTTTCAGCAAATGGCATCATCTTCGTAGAGTCTAGTCCTGATAGCTGGTATCAAGCCACAGTTCTGGTCAACGCGACCTCCCGGGCGGGCACCGAGACCGTGCCCGTCTACATCCAAGCCGAAGCTGCATCGCCATTGGGCTGTACTGAGCAGCACCAAATCTGCAACCCCAACCTGTCCCAAGAGCAAGGCTGCACGCCCCTGCGCGGCACACTGGACATCATAGACATAGCCCTGGCCCTGTACGAAGACGAGTCGGCGCAAACCCGACTGGAGTAGTTCTTCAGAGCCGGTATCGGCCGAGGCGTCCCTTCCATGAACATGATCATCAGCAACATCGGCGATGGCAGCTTGACGGCGAAGAAGAGCCTCAGCAACGGGAATCAGGGACCGCTCGCGGATAACCAGTGGCAGCTCGACGTCCAGAACTGGTACGGCATCTCAATGGCCGTGCTGCAAAAGTCTTTCGTCAACGCGGCAGTCGGGCCGGCAGATGCGGCTCTCAGGTCGTTCGTCACGGCGCCTAATGCCACGGAAGAGAAGACTATGTGCAACAGCCAGGTAAGCCACTCACACGCCTTCCCTGCCATCAACAGCCAATCCGGGCAGTCACTCGTAGACATCAAACCAAACCAGCTCACACATCCAACCCAGAAAATCCGCAGCAGTGCCTACTCCTCCTTCAGCCTCTGCGGCCTACTCTTCGTCTTCCTCTGCGGCGGGCTCATCATGGCGATCTCGTGGATCCTCGAGCCCCTCTTCACATTCCTGGAGAAGCGCTTCAAGCTGCTCAGTCAGTACGCGCGCCTCGAGTGGGCCGTCAACAGCGCGCTGCAGATGCAGCGCCTGGCGCACGAGCAGCTCGGGGCGGGCAGCTGGACCCGCGGCGCCGAGAGCGTCCCGCTCACCGAGGCGGACGCCGAGCTCGGCGTGCTGGACCTGGCGGACGAGAAGCATCCACGGCTGATGCGGCCGGTACCGCTCGTGGTGACTCGGACTACGGTGCAGGTTGTGGGAGATGGGAGCCTGACGGATCGGAGACTGCGGGAGCGAAGGGTGGGAATGGGACCTCGAGGAAATCGTCGGAGCTTCCGAAGTATGAGACCACACCCAAGAGTGTGATAGAGAAGACGGCGACGCTGCCATCGCCTACGCTGTCGCTTAGCTTGGAAGCTCACCTTGACTGGACCCTTATGTGGTGGGATGAGGGGGTACGAGGAGAACTGAGCTACGATGATGAGCTCTAATGACACAAGGCGTTTCCATTTCACACTTTGTGCCGTCGTCCCCGCAGCTCGTTGCTACCAGACCAGCCGGTGTCAAGATGTGCTGCTGGGCGGTGACAGACATCTACCTCGAGGAAGAAGAGGAGGTGCATTTGGACACCTACTAGAGCGAGACCCAGAGCGACATCAAGAGCGAGACAATAACCGACCAAGCTGGAGTCGGTCAACACCCCTTTCACCTTCGCCAGGCTCCAGCCCAGCCCGTCGGAGGCCCCTTGCGGCGAGCAGGATGGGAATGTCCGGGGACAGCAGTTCGCGGTGGATAACTGGAATGTCATCGTGGCACAGCAGCCTTGCTAGAGAGTTATGCGTGCTGTGATGATAGACGTGATATTTGGCTTGGGAAGGGAGTTAGTTAGGCCCCAGAGAACAAGAAGAGCATGATTAGTAATAGCAATCAGAAGAAGCACACAAGAAAAAGTCAGGAAAAAGATTATCAAGTGGTGCCAGATGAAGCCCAGTCCATCTCTGCCAAAACCTCTTTACTGCGGCGACATCGATGCCCAGTCCGTTTCTGTCAAACCCCCTCTACTGCATGCGACATTCCTCCTCGACACCGGGCGCCTTATTGAGCTTGAGCTGCTTCATGAGGTTGTCCAGTCCCCACCCATCATCGCCCATGTACACGATTCGGCGCACCTCCCCAGCGGTAACCTTCTTCGATGCAGCATCCTTGATTACGTGCCCGCGTCCGGATTCGAGAAAATCCGTCACGACTTTTGTGGATGCATTGAGAAGGAACGTCGACGCCTTGACCTTCCGTGTGGGGCTTGCCTGGCCTGCGGCTGTTGAGAAGACGTATCCAACCAAATCGGGCAGCTTGTCCCCGTCGAGAGACAGTGGAGGTCCTTAGGGTCGACTCTCGTGAATTCTTCCTTCATCTTGCGGAGCAGATCCCAGCAGGAGCTGTGCATGGCGAAGTAGTTGAACTTGATGTCGGGCACCTCGGAGTGTATGTCGTCAGCCAGTCTACGGATGAGTGCAGCTGGTGACAAACTGATTGAGTTACGCTGTGAGGTTGTCAGTCGGACGTCCGCAAATCTTGGCATGGAATGCCTTACTAGCTGTGCCTTGTCTTTCATCCCGAGACGGATCTTGCCCTTGCCATCCAGGTATCTGTGCCGGCGGCCAGCATCCAGAACCCCCTCGATCGCGAGCGATGAAAGCGGTGCCCGCGCCCCGGTCGGAATGAGGCGGTTGCCCATGCTCAGGGACACCCACCCATTGGACTTCAGGTTTCGCCGGTTTGCTTCGTTCACTGTAATGGTCTTGCTTCTCTTGTTCGGTGCCCAGTTGGTGACGGAGGTGCCGACACTCAAGGAGTAGTTCTTGAAATAACCCGCGCGGTCTGTGGGCGGGTCGCCGACGAAGAAGGCCCCGTCGCCCTGCGACTTCCAGAACTTCTCGAGGTCATCCCATATCAAGTCGTCCGGTAGCAGCTTGTCATGACGTAGCACATGGTATAACTGCGTTGTGCAGGTTACGGCGCCGGGTTTGGCGGCGTATTGCACGCCTTGATAGTGAAAGCTCGTCCGCATGGCATGGATCCAAAGACCGCAGTGCATCGGGCAACGGCGCAGGAATTGGAAATCCGGATCCTGTCTTTGAAGAGGGGGCAGCCCGCCGAGTCCAAGCATATAGCCCTTGCATTTCTTCATCGGATCCGTATCCCATCGCGAAGCCTCCCCAACACGTTGTTGCGTTCTGGGCACTTGATGGGGACATCGGCCATTGCCTTCTTGATCTTGAACACCTCTTGCTGCATTTCGTGATAGCCCTTGTCGCAGTCCTTGCCAAGGTTTTGGAGGATGTCGAGGTAGATTTGCGCTGCCCAGGCAAACCACAGGGGTGTTGTACTGCCCCAGGGCGCGTTCATCATAGCATCCATGCCGCGGACCATCTCGTCCTCGACCAATCCCTTGCCCAGATGAGAGCACAGGAAATGCAGACCAGTAAGGATTTCCAACAATCCCGTGGTATCCTGCTCATCCTTCCGACGATTGGTCTCTCCAGATGCACCCAGGGCCTCATCGTACCAGCCAAAAACCCCGTCGTAAATTATAAACGTGGTGTTGGGGGGGTTATCAGCGCGATAACGGTTGAGTGTTGCCTGTGTGTTTACCAGGCAAATCTTGGCAATATCATATGCTTCTAGGTTGAATGCATCATACGGCCGCTGTTTCGGCATGATCTCGACCCCACGCGCGGAGGATAGGGCCTCGAAGTAGGTATAAACCAGACGCTCTGAGCCGCCGTTGTTCTCCAGGATTGGCTGAATATCGTCCTCGAGGGCGCGGGCTATCTCGAAGGCTGTGTTCGTTGCGACTGAGACAGCCGCCAAGTCCAATGAGCCGGCGACGTACTTGGCCCATAGAGACGTGATTTCGGTACGCAAAAGCTCGTAGTCATCGAACAGAGCAGTGAGAGCAAATATGGCCTCGTCGGTTGATTTGTCGGACTCGGCAATGTATTCCAACTCAGGCGTCTTCGGCACAACGACATCGGGTGCGTTGATGAAAGCGTCCGAGGGCTCATATACACCAAGAATGCCGAAAACGTTTGTGAGTGGGTTCTTTGACTTTTCAGTCGTGGTTTCCGCGTTCTTCAGCTCCTCTGCGTTGAAGACGCCGGCCTCCAGGGCCGGCTTCAGCAGGTTGCGCACCTCTTCGAGCACGTTCACGAAATAAGCATGTTTGCTATCCGATTCAATGTCCGTGAACGCCCCGCTGGCAGCCAGTTTCTTGGAAAAGGCCTTTCGCACTGTCGGTGTTCACAGTTAGCCCCTCATCATCGATAAAGCGATCACCGACTTACCCCGTATAGCGCGTTCAATGGCAACGGCAAAAAAGTGCGGGACCTTCAAGGTGGCTGTGTTGGCAAGATGGGCTGCCATGGGCGTGAAGTCCTTGATGGCGAGAACATGCTGAGCCTTGGTGCCCGGGGTCTTCGCAGGAGGATCCGAGCCGACGCTGCTATAGCCGCGAGCATAGGCAGTGGTGGCTAGCCAGTTGGCAACCACATCCGTGTCGGCCTTGTACTGCTGGTAGATGCTTTTCAGGGCCGTGGGCAACATCTTGGCAGACAGTGGTGTAGGTAGGAGATGGATTATCGATGCACTGGTTGAGGTCGACCGAATGCTTTGGGTGTTCAGGCAGTTCGGCAGAGCCAGTTTTGCTTTTGAGCGGTCGCTTCTGATTAGCTCACCCATCTAGGGCATCCGATTCCAAGCCCTGGGGGAACCAATACAAGGCGGTGGCAGGCAGGAAAGGTGATTCTGCCAAGTTGCCGTGGGTACCCAAAGCTTTCGTCTCATGCGCTCCCGGATGAACTTCGGGTTGTTGCATTTTAGTGGCAAGTTTGGTCTGAGCGCGAAAAGCGAAGGTATCGTGAGAGTCATCGGCGACAGACATAATCCCCATAAATCTGCGCATGACTCTTTGCTTTCGAAACTGATTGATTGAGTAATAAAGCGTACTTGAATCCTCATCAAGAGCGGTAGGTTAGATTAGAAATGCTTGTCCAAGCAGAATCGACACCTCTGTCGGCCTTTGACGGACAGCAGGGAGGAGGTGTTTTCGCGGGTGGTGGAGTGGTGTAGACTGGTAGTGACTCGACGCACGTGATCGAATGTGATCGCCGATGTTACACCATTGTGGATCCATAAAAATAGGTGGGGTTTGATTAGGTAATAATAAGGTTTGGGACATGGGAGTGACAAGGTTATCATGATAATATGTGTGACGTCATTCCTTTGTCTCCCTTGAACCTTCAATTGGAAGTTCAAACCGGGAAACCACCCCTAAGGTACTGTGTAGGAAACAGCCACGCAGCACATATTGCAACCTTATCCTTGCATCAGGTAAAGCTAGCTCTACCTTACCTCGCTCACCAGCCTCACCTAGCATTCTAGGATCAGCATCTCTATCTGTCTATCTACTGTGTAGTCTCCAGTTTGCCAGTCCATAGCACTGATGGACTCTACAGACCACGGCCACGGCGCGCCCAAGGCGGCGGTGCCCCGGAAGCCTGTGCCCACCGCAGCAGCGGCACCACCACCACCGTCAGTCACTAAGAAGGCCGCTCGTCCTGTTGCTCCTGCTCTGGCCTGTCTCGCTGGAACTCTACTGGGCACCCTCATCTTCAGCTGGCGATGGATCGTCTCGGGCGCCCCACTACTGCTCATTTCGCTCCTTCTCGGCGAGTGGAACGGATGTCGCGTCCTACCGTGGCTGCCACTCTGGGTCATCTTCACCACCGTCAACTTCGCCTATGCTGTAGTCGCGCCCTCATGGCTGCTCACGTGCGCTTTCGCTGCCCTGTGCTACCCGGCCGTCATCCTCTCCTGTCTGTTCCAGTTCAAGTTCGCGGCCAAATTCGCGAGGCGGCGCTCCAGAAGACTTCTGCGCCATGTCTTCTTCGTCCAAGATACTGTTGGTCTGTTTGACTTACCCGCGCTTGAGATCGATACCGACTCGACCGGTCTGTTCGTCGTCCGGGGTCTGACCATTTCTCTGTCAACCTTGACGGCCACCGCCTATGGCATCGAGGTAGGGGTGAAGCTGTCCGATGACATGGAACTCGCAATCCAGACGGACAAGGTGGTCATCAAGCTTTTCCGGCGTATTGAGATTGGCGATGTCTACGCGAACATCAAAGGCGACGATGAGATGTGCTTTAGCGACATTAAGCCGTGGCCAAATTCGCCACGCGACATGGCCAAGGATCAATTCATGGCGACTGGAACACCTATACTCAAAGTTGCCATGGCCTCATCAAAGGCCGCATCCTCTGATGTGAACGGGCGACTTGATGGATCGTCGGATCCCGAGGTCAATCTGAAGCCTGTCAAAAAACTGTCACCCGACGATAAGAAGGCCCGGGCCGACTATGACGGCACTATCAAGCATATCCTCGAGACCAGTACGAGTTATCTCGCCAGCGGCATGTTGAAGAGGATCGCCGAGGGACGTGAGCTTAAGGATCTACTGGATAATGAATCAAACCTCCGTGCGGCCATCTCTGCCCACATGCACGATCAACCAACAATAGCCCATCCTCCTCGCAAGTCGATACGGCTTACAACACTGAGCCATAACAAGCACCCAAAGGCCAAGCTGTTTTTACACCGATTGCCCTTCTTGTACCGGCTTATTCTGAACCCAATCAGCTACTTCCACCCAATCTTCATAAAATCTCTTACCTCTACCGGCTCCGGTAGGTGGTTTGCATCGCTAATGAAAAAGCACTTCTTCAAACACTATTCGACGTCGGATGCCGAGGTTCGTCGACTGGAAGGGCGCATCTCAGCGTGGCTGGCCGACGCCAACTTCGCTGTTGGGTTGACGGATATGTATTGTACCGCCCACGTCCCGATGGACACAGACTTCGATATCGATTGCAAGTTCAAGCTTGCAGACCTCAAGGCTCACCGGACGCTGCCTGAAGCTGTCAACCTAACTCAGGTCATCCACCTCGGAGGCGCTGATGCCACTTTCACCCTCCCTTCGTTCCTGCTTCCTCACCACGAACATATTATGCCGTCGAAGCTTACAGACTTTGAAGAGTTGCAAATGCAACAGGAGATAGAGGAGGCCAAGGGCACACCGAAGGCTGTGCAGCTGCAACAGAAATTGGAGCGCCGGCAAAGGGACGAAACGGCTATGAAGATCTCAGCTCACGGCCATCTACCGGCGCTGTTTGACCAGCAGCTGCTCAACTTCATTGCAGCAACCGTCAAGGCCACAAAGGTGATTGAGGTGGAGAAGGGGCATGAGGCCGTACTGCTCAAGCGGCGTGCCGACTCCATTGCAGCCGAATCCATCTCTAGCGACACCATTGTGGCCGACGTCATCACACCAGACAACCTCAGTGCCGGTAGCGCAGGCAGTAAAGACAGCAAAGGAAGCAAAGGATCGGACCGGGACACGATAGGGTCGTCCGCGTCGACTCCCGCCTCTCCACGGAACTCCGTCTCTCAATCGAACTTCACGGGTCGCATGAACCAGACATTTAAGGGTATGAACACGAAGATAGTGGATGGGTGGCGCAAGGCAGGCATCAACACTGTCAATGCTGTTGCCAACGATCGCTGGATTGCGAAGGTTGTGGGAAACATCATGAGGAAGTTGGAAAATGCTCAAGGGGATGTCGGGTACTCTGGTCTTATTACGCTGCCACTGGCACAGTATAGGGAGAAAGCGGAGACAGCACCGAAGATTCTACCGTAAGGGAGTGAGGGGGTAACGGTGTGACTGCAGTTAAGGGGCTCTGAGCAGATATACCCATTTCGACCCAATGGATGGTCAGTTTCGTTACGACATTAATCTTATGCCTATGCCTGAAACCCAGTCCTCCGCGAGGAGAAAAGTATGATCTCACCCAGTGTGCACCTTGTGCTTGTTCCATATTTCGGCCAACATTCGTCAAATTGTCAGAGACATCGGACGCGGCCTTCGCTGAGCGAGCGTCTCCTTGAGCCCATTATTACGGATATGCATCCCGAGTCTTGCTCAGGGCTGATCTCTAACTTATTAGGTAAGGTGTCGTGGTCTGAATATACATCGGTTTCTTCAAGTTTGCGGAACGACGTGACGCCTGATGACGATGTCCCGCCGACCCCACCTTCGAACCACCCCACCCTACGCAGCATGACGGCATCACCACCTCAACATCTTCGAGTCCGTCACACGCTCAGGATTCTCAGTAGGCCAGTAACTTCACAACAACCGCTGCACCACCAAAAACGATACAAATCCAGAATGACAGACTCATCCCAACACCCCCTCAGCGGCCTTTGGAAGCCCACTCACATTCAGCGCCTCCACTATGGACCCGAAAGCGTCAAGAATCACCTCCTCGAATGCCTACCAAAGGACTCCTCAAAAGCATTCATAGTCACCGGCAGCTCCTTAGCAAGCAAAACAGACCTGATCAAGCAAGTAGAAGAGCAGCTCGGGCCGAAGCACCACGCAGGCACCTTCAGCAAGATAGGTCAACATGCTCCCATTAAGGAGTTGGACCAAGCGACGGAGATGGTGTTGAAGGACGAGAGCATCGACACTATAATCTCAGTCGGCGGAGGAAGTCCGATTGACTCGGCGAAGGCCATTTCCTACCGCTTGAACGAGCGCAAGGAAGTCGAGACGAAATTCCTACACCACATCGCGATCCCCACAACCCTCAGCGCCGCAGAGTGCACTCTCGGTGCCGGTTACACGGGGGAGAACGGGATGAAAACAGGCGTGTCACACCCGGAACTCACGCCTCATGTCGTCCTGTACGACAGCAAGTTTGCGCTCGAAACGCCGGAATGGCTATGGATGAGCACGGGCATGCGGGCGATGGACCACGCAATTGAGTTGATGTACCATCCCACCTCGACAGAAATGCCCTGTCGATGGATGGCCATGTTTGCCGCCGGAGAGCTCTTCAAATACCTGCCGAAGTACAAGCAGAATCCCAAGGACGAGGACACGATTACGCGGTTGCAGCTGGCCGCTTTTGCATCCCTCGGGTTCCTGGCTTTGAACGTCGAGGGCGGACTGGGCCTCTCGCACACCCTCGGCTACGCCCTGGGATCGCCGTACCAGATCCCGCACGGCATCACCTCCTGCCTGACGCTCGGGCACGTCATCAAGCTCAAAGCCGCGGGCTCGAAGGAGGATGCGGCGCAGTTGGCGCGTATGGCTCCTTTCATCGGCATCAGCAGGTCCGGCGATGATCAGAAGGACGCTGTAGCGGTCGGGGATGCGATCTTGAAGTTTGTGGAGAAGTTGGGTTTGAAGACTACGTTGACGGAAAAGGGCGTCGGGAAGGATCAGGTACCGGTTATTACAAAGACGGCGACGGGGGCCGAGAGTGGGGAGTTGTTTGACAAGGTTAAGGGGTTGGTTGAGGATTTGTATTGAGTACCATCCCCCCCATAGAAGTCGGACACCCCCACTAGTCGGACAGCCAAACCCCACCATCACCACCAAAACACCCCTTTATTCACACACATGTAAAAGAAGTCATTCAGATCAGAGAAACTCAGCAAAATTATCATTCGAGAGCGCTGAAGCTGCTCATTTGTACAATCTAGCGGGCGCCCGTATTGCGCGGCCGGAACGTGTCAACCTAGGCTGCTGGATGGCCTCCAAAGCGGCCTCTTCAGGGGCTTTATCCTCATCTTCCTCTTTATCCTCTGACTCAACAATCATCTCTTCTTGTACCTCTGCAGGCGGTTCAGGACCAATGGTACTTCTCTTAGACAAGATCTCTGTTACTATTTTAAACTTCTTGTTAGGATTAGGGATCTTTTGCCGCTTCTTGGGCCGTAGCCGCTCCAGTTCAGCCTCCAGGGCTTTGATCTTCTGGGCTTGGATAACAACTTCCGTCTCCTTGGTCTCGAACGCGTTGGCTATCTTCCTGTACTTCAAGCGGGTGCCAGGGGATTTATTTTTGCCGAAATCCATGATCTCCTGACTTGTAGTAGGGGTCCGTTGGTCCTCTGGTTCAGAGTTTTCAGGGGTCTCAGGCTCAGGGGTCTTCTGCTTATCTTCCTGGATTTCTGGATATGTTAGGCACTTCCTGCGGCTAATTGGATAACATCCAGTGGTTCTGAATCCAGAGAGGATGTTTGCCTTAGTAAAAGCAGAAGTTCTTGCTTGGCTATAGCACCGAATGAAGTTGATCTTGTTAACAGGCGAGGCATCCGTCAAGGAATTCAGCTGCGAGAAAAATTTCTGGTAATAAGCCTTCAGGGCGTTATAGGGCACGTTATCCAGGGGCTGCATGCCGTGACTGGTGTGGGCAAGGAAGAAACAGAGCAAGATGTTAGCGAAATAACACATGGTTATGAATTCGTCCTATTACCACGCGTTAGCCCGGATTAATTCCAAAAATTTGAAGGAAGTCTAAATAAAATAAGAAAAAATCATATACGTACAGAGGTGTGGCTACCATGGCCATCTAGTATCAAAAGAACAGCCTCAGACTGATCTTTTCCTCGTACCTCGTCCACTTGTGGGATGAACACGTCTTCTAACCACTGGCAGGCGATGTCATTGGAGGTCCAGCCGTTTTCTGAGCATATAAAATGCCAATCAGCGGTTTTTCGGAATTCCTTGATAAACCATTGGACTTGGAGGTCCTTGTCTTTAAAGATAATGCCCAGTTTGAGGATTTTTCCCATGGCTGAGATGGCTGAGATGAAGGAGGTCCAACTGCGGCTCTGGGGGCTCTTCAGGAAGGATTTCTTGGTAACAGAACTACCCAGAACGAGAGAGTCAATACCTGTGAATACGATTAGAATTTTTCGGAATTAAAGGGGTAAGTAGAGCTACCATAACCCGCCATAATGCCGCCCTTATCGACATTATACATGTTCTCTAGCTTTACCTAGTCGTAATCCTCAAGAATTTTAAAGAACCAGTTAACTGCTTTGGGCGTAAACCCCTTAAAGCGCGCTAATTCCATCCTTTTGCCAATTTTGGTCTTTATTTAAGGGTTGCGGTGCTTGAAGCCCGCCATAAAGGTGTCTCCCAAAGGGCGTTCATCTCCCTTCTTTTTCAATAACTTTGTGACAATCTCACGAACTAGGGAGTGCAAAGGGGCTAGTCCTAGCATTTCCTGACGCAAAATCCATTCGACTATAGTGGTTTCTTGAGCAGGGGAGAGTCTCTGTTGCTGCGTGTGGGCTTCGGCCCTCGTAGGCTTGCCGTTAAGTCGATCAGACAGTGTTTGGGGCGGGATGCCGTGTTTTTGAGCGCTTTTTTGTAAAGACAGGCCCTCATCCGTGATATCTAAGATGGCATTTGCCATCTGATCCTCTATATATGAATAGGGAGGCATTTTGGGCGGCTATACAATGCTGCGTTGCATATAGAACAAGGCTTTAAGGGAGCCTTGCAGGGCCGTAGATTTGCTATTCGAGGTAGGAAACGCGGGGTAATAGATGACTAATCACATAGGCTAGGCGGGGTAAATTTTATATTGGAGTAAACCCCAAGGTCAGGGCTATCTAGAGCAGTAGTTACATTCTAAGTAGCTTTAATATCGGGCTGAAAGCGTGTAAGTGAATAAAGGGGTGTTTTGGTGATGATGGTGGGGTTTGGCTGTCCGACTAGTGGGGGTGTCCGACTTCTATGGGGGGGATGGTAACCTATGTGTACATCACAAGCTTGGAAATGGACGCTCTCACCCACGTCACTGGCCAGGTTTTGTGTAACATTCAGACAGCATCTGTGAGGTTCATGCACTCCCCTGCTCGTCGCTGACGCTGTTGGGTTCCAATGCATATACACGATATGCGGTTGGCTGATGTGGCCTTCGGCCCCTTGCTTGCTTCAAAGTCTACCCCGAAAGCAGCGACGCCCGCAGCGAAGTCTATCCAATCTGTAGACTTCATCACGAAACTGCACAGTGTGATGCCTATTGGCGCGCCAGCTCAGCGATGTTGGCATCCTGTACAAGCATGTGGGGAGAGCCCTCGCGAGCTGACCCAAGCGTGGTGAATTTGGCCTCGTCGCTGTTTAGCTCCCCGTCGTCTACCGGGTTGCCCGATGGTGACTGCTCAGCTGAGTTGCCCCGGATATTGCGATAGAACGCGCATCGCGAGTCCCGTTTCCAAGGGACGCGGTTCTGCGGTGCCATGAAGGGAACTGTCGTGCGGACTCCGAGACAAGACTGTCCAGCACTGACGTAATCTGCTGACGCCCGGTGGTCGCTGGAGTCTGCGCTTGGAGCGGACGTCTTGATTGCCACTCGAGACCGTCAAGGAATCCTTGCTCGCGTATGAAATACGTCGACAGGGTGTGTAGCTTCGTCCGGGTTTCGGCCTGTTCTGACAGGTAACCCACATCCTCAACTGGGGCAACACCGATGACTGACGCGGGAAGCCCTTGACTACGTCTAGTCTGGACGAATGCGTCGAGAAAGGTATTGGCTGAAGCGTAGTTCGCTTGCCCTTGTAAGCCGTTAACCCCGGTAAAAGAGCTCAAGAGTACGAAGAAGTCCAAGTTATGGCCTTGGAGAGCTCTGGCGAGATTCCAGGTGCCTTGGACTTTGGGACTCGATACGTCCATCCAATCGGCGTAGCTCGTGTTTTCAAACATTGTGTCCTGTTCCTTGGTTAATCTGGCTGTCACGAAGTATGATGCACACCTTAGGTCTCAAGGTATGAATGTATTAGTACGGGGGTCTTACCCGAAGGACCATGGCCATTTGTATGACACCCGCTATGGGAAAACGGGCTTGAACATGAGAGAGGTTCTCGACACTTCCAGAAAACAACTGGGAGGTGCAGCCAGCTGCAGTCAGTTCCTTCGCTAGAGGGATGTCTTGTTCCTTCCTCCAGTCCGTGACAGGTAGACTATACGCTTGGCTCCATGTTCAAGCATTCACGATGAAACGGAGCGACCCAACCCACCAAGACCACTGGGAAGGAAATAAGACACATTGGACCGGAAATGGATTTTGCTTCGCACGGAAGACGTCTCGAGATCAGACAGACTTCGTGGCATGCTCACTACCAGCTTGCCCGTATGCTGACCTTTCTGCATTTACCTGAAAGCATTCTTGATGTCTGATGCGGCGAAAATCTTCATAGGCTTAATCTGCTTGATCAGACCTTGCTTGTGTAGCAGCATTGTTCGCTTCAAGATGTCGTGTCTTGAGGCGTTTGTTGGAAAGCGACATATCAACCCGAAGAAAGCGGAATTCTCTTCGAAGGGATGTATCACGAGACGTGATATTAGAGGAGTTATAAGACAAAAGACCCAATATTACAGGCAATATTGAACAATGTCGCCTTTACAATGCTTATATTGACTCGACTCTCATGGATAGGCGAGACAGGAGTGTGCCTGCTGGTCGCGCGCGCCATCCCCATAAACCCATCTCACTCGTCTTTAAAGAAGCACGTTTGGCATTAAGCCCAAGCTTGGACTCTCAGATTGCTCCTGTCCATGTTAGACATTTCAATCGGAGCCGCTGTATATGCAGGAATCTGCAATTCTGACTCGACGGCCATCGGAGTCGCTGTATATGCAGGAATCAGGAGTCCTGACTCAACGGCTCCTTCTGTCTGTTGAATTGTGGTGACCATTCGGATGCCACTGTTGTTGTCGTGGCTGCTGTCATTTTCAGATCTGTGCAACACTGAGGCTTGCGGGTTTTGTGCACGTCTGGCCGAAGTGCCATTCTTGCCATAGCGCGATGCGTATCCGGAGTTACCCCATAAGGTTCCTGTGCTCAATTGAGTGCTCTTGAGTCGCTGCAAAACAGGTCGGACCAGGACTGGTATGCTCGGCATGCAGGCACAGATAACACCCAGGTGAATTTCAACGCCTGCCCATATGCCAAATCTGACCGTGTCGACTATACACATCCCCATGAGTCAGAAAATGTGCTAAGGTTACTCCTGAGGTGAACCAGTTCGCAAAAAGAAAGTATGGGTATAACCGTACCGGTAGGGTTCACGTTTCGTGTAAATAGGTCGATAAGAGTAAGCTTGTAAATGCTGATAGCAACAACTCTGTCGAAACACCTCGGTCAGAGTTCTGTTTGAGAAGAGCCAAGTATAACTGCCTTACGCGAGTCCAGTACTAAACATGATAGCGACTAGGACCTTCTTTCGTAGAGAAAGTTGGAGTTTGGCCACGGAGGGCATTGGAACTCCCAGGATCCCTGGAACATCATTAGCAGTGCCTACTAGAGTCGCGGACCCTGAGCTTCAAGACATTGTAAGATTCTCATTCGTTGCCTTCCCCCCTGCGTGCCTGATATACGTCAATGTAAATATTACTTACAGAAATCGTACAACAGAAGGATAACCCAGACAGCCCATAGGAAAGACTTTCGATCGATGCAATGACCACTCGATTCTCCATCCCAGCCCAGCCAATAGAAGGATACTGGTGTACATTCGAAGATTGCCACAAGGACCAGTGGCATGCTCATCACTATGCTTCCGTAAAGGGTTTTCCATAGGAGAGGTTCAGATTGAGAGGTCCGGAAGACGCGTATATAGAAGAGAATGATCGAGACTCTGTTGAGCAAGCGTGCAATGGTATATAATACTGGTAGGACGTAGTAGCCCTTGGATAAGCATAGTCAGTTATTTTATCTGGACAATAGACGAGGGTCTTCCTTACAGCCAACAGGTCACTGATATTGTCCAACGGGACCGCCCACAAGTCAATACCCGATCCACCGTCTTTGACTGTTGAAGACCGCTATTAGATATGCGTAGGTGCAGTGGCTATGTTGGATCCCTACTTTTGATCGCATAAACCGTGTAGGCTAGACACAACAGCTTCGTTGGCCAGCGGGTCAGAAATGGGTACTCGCAAACCGAAGCACCGGTGGCAAGGAACAGAGAGACTCACCATAGCGCCAGAGTTGGCAAAGTCATCCCACCACAGGGGAAGAGCCATGAGTACTCGGGCCATGAGGCGCATGGCAACAACGACGGCCGTAAGGGTGATAAAGACAGCCAGCACAGGGACATAACTGTAGTCTAAAGTCGGCTCAACTCCGCAAAGCGTATTTGTCGCATTTGTGGCGGCTACGGTAGACAACACCCTTGATTAGCATCGCCTGCCGCATTAGACTTCGGGAAGATGACGCACTAAGGGAGTCTCGGATGGTGCAAGTGGACAAGATGCACGCGGTTGCAATGCTTCGCAAGGCCTCAGAATGGCAGATGCAGGATAGATCGGTTGGGAGACAGGATGAGTTCGTCACGGCCGGGACGATGCAAGCATGCTTTCCGGGTGAAATGGTGTCAGCATGACCACATTTGCTCTTGCTGAGGCTCCAGTAACAAGTGAAAGTGAGTCTCCTTACAGCGCAGGGTGGCAGTGATGCCGCTAGGTGGGTCAGGGATGCCATGACGGTATGACACCAACAGCAACTAAGTTACGCTTTGGCTTTCCACGTTCTGAGCAAAGGACAAGTGCTCCTGCTCATTGCACTACGATCTAGAATGTACGGACTTACTTTATGTATCCCTGCACCCCCAAAAATACTGTCGGTGTGCGAGACACTGTGACATATTCGGTATCCCACCAAGGTTGAAGTCTCATCAAAGCGTTCCGGACACGGGAAGGATTGTCGGCAGATGACTTTCCAGGGTCAGTTTTTTATATGTTGGCAAGTACCGCGTGTTGCAGTCCATCTGATGATTCACCATGCATGGTGGAAGTAATGTTAGGCGGGCTGTCAATAGACGTATCGAACCGAGCCAACAATACGGCCCTCTAAGGTGCTCCAACAGTCGGTTAATATGGTGAGATGTAACAAGAGGCCGGCTGTCATTTCCATATCCGGGCCAACATTACCACCGTCCAAGGTACGCCAACAATCGATTTATCTGGTAAGATGTAACAAGAGGCAGGCTGTCATATTCAGCGAGCCAACAATAAAGTTCGCCAAGGTGCTCAAACAGTCGGTGATGTAACGTGAGGCAGGATGTCGTATCAATATGGTTGTCTCGATCCAAGCCAATAAAACCTCCGCATAAATCGCCGCATCAGTGACGCACGGAATCCTTTACCACCCATCCATCTGAAGAGGCCCACAACATCAGTTGTCCTTCAGTGGCATCTGCATAATCAAGAAAAGCTGTGCCCCTGCGACCAGGAAGGGATGGCTAGCATGCGCTCCTGCGACTTGGAAGGGGGCTCAGCAATGCCACATTACAACGCTATGGAGTGGTATCCAATCTAGTGATCAAGGCTCTGGAGTTTCCCATCATGCACATTGGTTCACCAGCACATCTTCTTCAGAGCGTTTCTTCACCGCTGATCTTCACGGCGTTTCTCCCCGAGAAGCTGGCTTGGCCCCCAAACGGTGGGAAGATCCAGGGATAAGAGCTCGATGGCACGATCGAGAGGGTGAGGCCTTGGGGTTCGGTCCGTGCTGCTTTGAGCAAGACCAGGGCCTCGAACCACTGCTACGCCATTAAGCAGCTTCGATTGGAGTGTGCCTACGTTGGCTCTACGCAGACCCTCTAACGTTACCACCACAGACAAGGATCTCCTGCCTCCCCCCCCAGCTATTCGTGCACCATCATCATATGCCACTTAAACCCAAAAATCGAAATGAACATTCAATTTGAGTTATGCTAGGTCATAATGCAAGTTGCTCTCAAAATACGTCCACCGAGTATCGATCCATGAGAATCTTGATCCACCATTCGTCAACCTCTGCCTCTGTCCTGGCACCACACCTCTTCACCGCCACTTCTCGATACATTTTCCTTACCACCTCCTTGGCGCCTTGACTCATGGCGCGGCTGCCGCATACGTACACCCTAGCCCTTCGCTCCCACAGATGCAAAAGCTCGTTACGGTCAGCCCACACGCGGTCCTGAACAAGACCCACGAAGCCGCGTCGGCCTCGCCTTTCGAGTTCGCGTACCGTACATCGATAACGGCACTGCGCCGTAGCTCCTCGGGATGGATCACGTGTCGCAGGCTGCGACCAACAATGTAGAGCAGCATGGGGGCAAGCTGTTCCCTGAGTGCTGGTTCTCGTCGCACCATTTCAGCGCGGTGGGCGACAAAGCCGAGAAACGGCGCGATTCCAACGCTGGCATATATCATGATGATGGGAGTTGAAAGCTGCGGTGGTGGACGGAAGCGGTCGTGGCCGGGCCGTGAGGCGCAGGTTAGGGTATCGCCCGGCTGGAGGCCGGCAAGACGGTTTGATGCGAGGCCGGGTATGGCGCCGTCCCGGGTTATCAGGGACCATGTTAATGCGCAATGATTCGGCGAGGCCAGCGGTGAAGAGGAGATACAGTCTAGTCGTGGGCGAATTGGCGGGAGTAAGGTGACTAGCTGTGCAAGGGCAAGCACACTGAGAAGCAGCTCCAATATCGATGGTCGGACGGTGGGGGAAGTGTTGAAAGAGCTTTTCGCAATTTCTGATAGCCCAGCTTTGTCTTTCTCGCTCGCGCAGGCTTGGATCAGTATCTCTATTTGCTTTGTACCGATGGCCTGTTAGCCTCCATGACAGTACATAGGATTGCAGGCATCCTACCTTGGAACTTGCTGGCAGGCTCAGCTCGTGGTGGGAAGAGATCTTGCTGACGACAGGATCTGTCTCATCGTGTCCCTGTTTCTTGAGAGCGTGTTTGAGCCTCTCTATGTCCTGTACGGAGTTGCGAGGGTAAACCTGGAGATAATCGCCAACGTCATAGCCAGCCCCTTTTGGGAGTTTGAGCTTAGCCCAAAACTTGGGGCGAGTCTCTTCGGCGGTCAAGGCTTTGATCTCCTCCACTTCGACATCCATCACGCTGGGCAGGTCTGAACCCCCCGAATTGGGATTCTGGTAGTTGTTATCCAGCGGCTCAGTGTCGACAGTATCTAGTAGGCCATCATGTACCCACTGGTTGCCATGGATGTTCGCGATACCTGGCCACAAGTGGTCTGTTTGCCAGGTGTCAAAGTCGGCGAATATGTTCCCTTCACCGGCATCAACTTGGCCCCGGTCGGCAACAGCTTGCGCTCCGAGCTCTTTCAACCGGTTGTCGAGGAAGATCGAAGTTGCCTGATACGTGTGCTGCCATTCTCCTGGGTGTAAATGGTCAGAAGCCGTAAAAATCATGCATCTCTGAAGCGTGGGTATCTTACTGTTACCACAGCCGAATACAGCATACTGTACCGGTCGAAAGCTGCCACCTTCTTGGTGGGTTAACCATTTGACAAACTTGGTAGCATTGTCTTCACAGTCTAATTAGCGATCATCCTAGGCAAACGCCACGCAAGTTCGAACAGATTACGCTTACCTGGGGGTTGTCCCTCATCCTATCTGGAGTCCCTAATCACCCTCATCGAAGACTTAAATGCCCCCTTATTAAAGCTACCTACTTTACGCTCAATAAATACAGCGCATACTCATGCACTTGCACCAACGGAAAGATGCTTTCTCCCATCTCTGTCGTAACCAGACAAGCCCTGAAATACACAACGAATCAATAAACGAAAGCAACAACAGAGGGTAATCATCAACTGAAGCCTCAGACTCATCAGCCGTCTTCAGTCTGCTTCTCCCGAGCTGACCTCTCAGCATCAAAGAAGTCCGGCAGGACCTGATAGCCCCGATGTTTGCCGAGTTCCAGAAAATTAGCTGCGCTTGCCGAACAGCTTATTTCCCCTTCACACAACAACACCAGCGTCTTTCATCACTGACTCTGTCTCCTACCCTCATGTTTACTGGACAGTAGTCCAAGGGCATCACCCCTCTGGACGGACTTTTTGCGTCGGACGAACAGTCGGCACTGACGAACTGCGGGGAGGCCGCGCCTTCCCCTTTCCCTCCTTCTCTCTCCTTCATCCTTACCCCTCCCCACAACCCTTCATGCCGCGGAAGGAGTGACAAGCGGGAATCACCCCGTGCTTGCCTCTTGCCTCTTTGCTCCATCGGCACTTCATCGGGCTGCGCGAAGGGTTTATCAGGGCATTTACCACCTGCAGGTAGTATTCAGTAAGTACTCAAGTTTCCTTGGTCGAACGATATGATTCATATGATGATTAAAATATCCGAGAGTCAAACTCAGCTGAAGATAACCCACAGGGCATCACACTGTTAAGAACGGGTGATATTTTTGAGAATCAATCCCTTGTCAGCCAGTGAATTGGGAGTAATGCAGAGGCGACTGATTCGATTCAGGTAAAGATGGATGTCGACTGACCTTTTTTCTTTAAACCACGAAGCCAAGCAGCATGACTCTTGTGATGATAAAACCATGGTTTTTCAATCCAACTGAAGATAATGGGAGGAAAAAGAAGATCTCTGGGGGAGAAGCCCCCATTATATGTACAGGTGTGCCATCAGGGTGACCAGATAATCATAACAGACAGGTCCCGAATGGACCGATCAGAAGCCAGCATTCCAGAGGCTTGGGGCTGTTATGAATGCCCTGAAGCTAGCGCCTTAGCGCATTCAGCCCCTAAAGGCTCCTGAAGCCTTGTCTGAGCCTGTCTTCTCCCTCAACCTCAACGCGAATGTGGCACCAGCGAAACCTTCGTTCACACACTTTTCCCCGATGAGTCACAAGAGGACTTCTGAACGCCGAGGTTAGGGTTCAGCGCAGTGCCAATGGGTATGTAGCGTTGCTGATGACCTTCAAGGGCAGAGGATGGTTTGCCCTAATGGCCGGGCGAAGCGAGGCGTCGGTGACTTCTTCACATGCAACGCCGTAATAACACCCTCGGATAGCCAGTAACTTATTTGTGCTTGGAGCAGCACGCTTCTTCCCGAGCTGTATATGCACAGGTCGGCAAGGTTTTCGCAAGCGCAAGCACAACACGGCACGTCTGATTCCTGGCACCAGAGCAGTCGCTGGGCAAACCGGTCGTGTTCTTAGAAAGCAGCTCGGATATCCCGTGCGTTGATATTGGCCACGTGTCCATGCGTCAATACACTCAGTAGCGAAAGCTCGAATTCGTGGGGGTGAGTTGTACCTTGGACGATGGCGTGCCCGACAAGCGCTCGGCATCCAGCTTTTCGAGAGCTGCCAGGCCATCGAGAGAGCTGTGACGGAACAGGAATGCAACATTGCTACCGCTACACTACAAAAGTAGAACGTTGTCAAGCCGAGCTCTTTACCGTCTGCATCCACCTATATAACTAGTCAGAACCGTGACAAGAGCGGAGCGCAGACTCTCAAGCTGAGGATAGTGTGTTACGGTATTACATAATACCTCCACATATTTATGTACATATATACCTCTAGCTTCCCCTTTCTCTTCCGACCTTGCCTCTTCTTCCTTAGATATCGTTGAATCTAGATATTTCATCCCATCAGCCCTGACCAGCGCAGCTGCAGGCCTGATTGTCACATAGTGCAGCACCGTAAGGGGGAAATCGAAACATCCGAATACTAACCGTAGACTCCCGAGAGCCTTGCGTTGACATGACGGGGAAGGGGTGATACGAAATGCTCGCCGAGTTACTTTGAGATCTCATAGACGTTAAACCCGGCTGGCAAGGGGTGATTGACAAGGTGCTGCTCTGCAAACTGGAATAGTGTCGCGAACAAACACATCGTCCTCAGCAGCCATGTCGTCATCGGCTGCATGGTACGCACGAGCGATATCTCTAACCCACAGTCGGACGATCCCGCTGCTGCTGGTCAAGTGAACTCGCTGCGTGGATGGATAGACAACTTTCAGTTGCCGCTCTCGTCCTGTTCCCCGAATACAATGTGTGATCATGCCTTGCACAAGCCCATTGATGGTGATCATCTTCACATACTTTTCAGGCTTCGCGCTGAAAGTGACAGCACCTGCAATGATGTAGAGGATGTCTGCTTCCCGTATGATCGTACACAGGTTGCAAAAGAACAGCACGTCACCAACGAGGACACGCGTGGATTGGGTCATCTTATATCCAAGCGGCTCAGGGAGGATTGCCTGATAAGACGGTCAACCCGAGCACCTTTAAAGGCAAGATACTCGGCAGGTTTGACCAAAATCCCCAGAGGCTCCAATGACCGCAGCTGTAGTGACGAAGGTGTCTTCACTTGCAGCAGGAATGTCGGTACCCAATGGAAGCGATTCACCTACGCCGGGAGATATGTCGTCGTCAGAGAGCCTGGATGCCGGTGTGCTATCTGTTGTCTCTGGTCAATTTCTCTCCGCGTAACTTTCAGCGTAACTTTCCAAACTGCACATCACCTCCTTGACCATATCGATATCCGAGATATTGTCGATAAAGCCTCCACGACCAATTGCCTCCGGTAACATCTCCCACCCCCCTGCGGACCACCCCCCCGCGGACCAGCGCGTTCTGACCCACAAACGCGTAATTCACCAACCACCAGGATTATGGTGATCCACCATCTACACCATCACTTTTGCATCTTTTTTTTCACAAAGCACACTATTTGAATCCTTATCCACTGCTGAATCTCATGATATCATTTTACGACCGTCAAATAAAAGCTAAAGCCGCCATTTTGGCCATCCAACGCGGAGCTCCAGTCCGCTCGTCAGCCCTCGAATGGCAAATCAGTCGCTCGTACGTCAACCGACGAATCTCTGGCACCCCAACGCGGAATGAGACCAGCGCTCTCCAACAGGCTCTCTCACCGTATCTCGAACATAAGCTGGCAAGCTGGGCCCTGGGGCAAGCACGACTAGGGTATTCTCTGGCGGTCTCTAAGTTCCGTCTCATGGCCCAGCGGATGCTCCATGCCACCGGGGATGCTCGAGAATTAGGGAAAAATTGGGCATCCAAGTTCCTGTCTCGAAACCCGGAAGTCAAGATAATGAAGTCTCGTGTTATCGATTACAACCGAGTGAATGATGCTACAGCGGCAAATATCAATATTTTTTTTGATCAGTGTGACGCCCCTGACGTGGTTAACCTCATGCCAGCACGCTGGTACAACGTCGACAAAATGGGAATCGCCCAGGGGGTTAGGGACTCCCATTGGGTGGTCTCCGAGGCCTCCGGCAACGTGGCTATGAAGAAAGGGGTCAAGAAAGGTGAATGGATAACTGCCCTAGAGTGTGTAAACGGATCTGGTGAGACCTTGCCGCCGCTGGTGATTCTTAAGGGGATTAACGTACAAGCCCAGTAATTTAGCAACCAAAATGAGGACAAATTCATTAATTAGAGGTTTATTACGTTGCCCAATGGATGGACCTCGAATCCCATTATGTTAGAATGGCTTCAACATATCTTTATTCCTCATATTCGGGAGGTCCACGGCAACACATGGATGGTTTTGGTGCGTGATGGCCACGACTCCCACACGAATGACGAGTTCCTAGCCACCTGCTTGAGAAACAAAGTATGGTTGATCTTTTATGAACCTCACTGCTCCCATGTAGTCCAGGTGTTAGATGTGAGAGTCTTCAATTTGGTAAAGAAGAGGTTAAAGACCTTACTCCAGGAGACACCCAGCGGCCGTCTGGGACTCAGGCCATCTAAGGAGGAGGTTTTGGAGTGCTACGAGCAGGCCTGGAAGGACACAATGACGCTCCTCAACATCAGAATTGCCTGGAAAAAGACTGGGATTGTTCCTCGCAACAGAACGGAGGCATTGAAGTCAAAATATGTGATTCTGGAGGACAAGGGGGTGGCCAGGGCACGCCAGAGGGACCCTAAGGCTTCCGAGCGAGCCACAACACCAGATTTTCTTGAGATGGTAGCTAAAACCATTATCACAACACCCTCTGGAAGCCGGGCTTTGCAAGAGAGTGCTCAAAAGCTCGAAAGAAAGGACCCTTCCTTTGGGGGGCCCTTTGAGCGCTTGTTGGTGCAGAAGGCTGGCAAGGCCATGGATGTTCAGGCTGCTACCATTGCAAATCTACGGGCCAAATGTGAGCTGCTTGAGGCTCAAGTGGCTAAAAAGACTAATACTACTCGAAAAGCAGTCAAACCAACACCAGGGAAACGATTCGTCACAATGGCTAACATAAGGGAGGCCAAAATGGAGCTGAGGAACAGGAGGGTCTATAGGGACTCCGCTACAGGCGAAGAGGTCCCACAAGAGGTCCCTGGTGAAGATTTAGGGTCGGAATCGGATTCTGGGAGCTGTATTATGGTTAGAACACCACGACCTTAGTGTATTTAGCAACTGTGGTGGTTGTAGATGGCTTCATCTGAATGAGAGTGGTGTGGTGTGGAGTGGTCCGTGGGGGGGTGGTCCGCAGGGGGGGGTGAGATGTTATCGCGAGCCACAGCATGCCATCTTTGTGGTCGACGCCTTCCGTGCTAAATGTTCTCTCATAGAAGAGTCCGACCTCTGATATCCAAATGGCCGTGACCTCGTATTAACCATGGATTTCCCGGATGATCTTTCACGCTTGTCTTATAGAGAATCTAGCTGCCTCTACAATGCGGTCAAGGATACGAGAGGAATTCAAGCAGTCTCGGCAGTGAATAACCACTTTGTATAAATGTTCATTAAATAGAACGCATCATTTTTAAGGGAGTTCATATTTTTAAATGACTTGACATTTTATCTGAATTATTTTAGCTACATAAGCTCCTAGAAAGGAGGGGTAAAGTCCTGTTGACGATATCTGCGAGGTCAGTACGAGCGGTCTTTTCAGCGACAAGGATATCAAAGTTGAATCTCTGAGATGAGCTGCTGGTACTCCGTCTCCAATAAGTCTTCGGCATGCTTTTCCCCATTCATTCGCCATGGTGGCAATGAAGAGCTGGTGTAGCAAGTCCGTCTGCCAGAGCAATCTCGTGCGATGTGCCCAGCTCCACCACAGAAGTGGCAACGTACGTGCGCCGCGATGCCAGCAACCTCGCGTTCCTCGATGCGGCCCTCGTCATCGCGAAACGTGCCATTAACGACGGCCAAATCTCGCAGTTGCTGTCGCTTTCGATCGTTAGCCTTGGGTGCAGCAATGATGGTCTCGATAACGTCCTGCAGCAACTCTTTAGCGGTATCTAGCTTCTCGCGTGTGTCAGCTGTAATGAGGCAATGGAGCGGCTCGTGTTCGTCGCCAGCTTTGTTAGTATCGTGTCGTCGCCCTCGTTTGCCTTCTTTAACTGAGCCTCTCCCCGGATGGCAATATTCGCACCGGAATTTGCGTTCAGTTAAGCTAGACTGCGCCCTCGAGGTCCCAAAAGTTGGCCAATGAAGTTGACTTCGGGAAAGTCCTTCACGGGAATATAGATCTTCTCTTTGAACGTCGACTGCGAAACATATCGTGCGGGAGCGCGGTAGTTCGGGATGGCTTTGATCGCTGTTCGGATCAGTACGTGACCTTCATCTTCGAGGCGCTGACGCTGGCGCTGCTGACGCGTGTTCGTGCGGCGACCCGAGGCGTCATATGTTGGCTCTGAGGATGGTGACCTGCGACCTCGGTTAGCCGTAACAACATCGTTCATGCGTAGTTTCTGAGTGAGCTCCTCGATACGTACGTGCATCACATACGCGTCGAGCTGCTGGCTCGTCATGGGCGCTGTGATTGCTGTGGGTAACTGCAAGGTCGTGTTGTCTGTCCACCGACTGATTCTGTGAGAAGCCATGTTCGATGTTGATATACTTGAAAGGGTTAGCTGGGTTGGTGATCACGGAATATGAGTTTGGCGTTGGTGGCCTGGGGGTGGTGTGACTTTGAGATTCGAGGATGATGCGGGTGTGGGAAAGATCAAGGACTCCATTCTTCGTGGGGGCGCTTGCTTTTTTATGCACCCGAATATCCAGGGCTGAACGTGACTCATCGCAGAAAGGTGTGTTAACGAAAGGTTTCGCTACCCGTGCCATGCCCCACTTTATTCAGGATTCGCTCGGGCTCACCAGCTAAAGCTGGTGCTGGACACCAAAACACCCAGATCACCAAAACACCCAGTTTCTCAACCATTCCCTCTAGATCACACTTTTCTTCAGCAGCTTCAAAGCATATTTAATTCGGTAAAATGGAAGCACGCTTGCAGGAAGCTGTCCAGCATATTAGAACCGATTTCAGTTCGAAAGTCGCTACGGTAGCCCACGAATTTGGCGTATCTTACGATTGCCTTTAAAACCGTCTCACGGGCCGCCCAGCAAGAAAAGGCTAACCAGCAGCAAATACGAAGCTAACACTTGCTGAAGTGGTTGCAATATGTCATTATATTGATCGTTTTGATCGTATTGACCTTGTTATACACGTTGAGTTTATTACTGACGCTGCAAATCACATTCTGAGCGAGCGAGCGCCTTTAGCTATACAGGACAGCCCACCTACTATTGGCCAAAAATGGACCAGTCGCTTTATCAAGCGTTATGGATGCCACCAGCGGCTTCAGAAGCAGCTTTACGCAGACCGAGAGGCATCTGAAGACATTGAGCGAGTCGCTTAGTACTTCCAGAAGCTCAAGGAGACATACAAAGCAGAGGGTATCCCTCCCGAAGATATCTGGAACATGGACGAGACTGGCTTTCGAATAAGTGTTGGAAAGAACCAGCTCATCGTCACCAAATGAAAGAGAGCCCGCTATTTCAGCACCCCTGAGAATAGGGAATCTGTTACTGCTATCAAAGCCATCTTTGCGGGTGGAGAATATATACCAGCCTTTCTGATTCTGGCAGGCCAGCTCCATATGGCCCCATGGTATCAACAACCTGAACTACATGGAGATATAGCTATTATCCCTTCTTTTAGCGGTTATTCAAACGATCAGATCAGCTTGGAATGGCTAAAACATTTTAAAAAACACACAGCAGCAAAGGCCATTAAGACGAAACGGCTCCTTATTCTGGATGGTCATGGTTCATACCATACGATTGAATTTATTCAATATTACGAAGATCACGGCATCATCCCTTCTGGCATGCCTCCAAACCTGACGCACCTGCTGCAGCCGCTAGACGTGGTAGTCTTCTAGCCGCTAAAGCATTATCACGCAAAGGCACTGGACTTAATGGTCGGTGATGGCCTGGTGAACATCACAAAACTTGAATTCCTTAGCTGTATTCAGCAGGACCGCCAGCAAGTATTCAAGTCTAGTACCATTCTCTCTGCCTTCCAAAAGACTGGTATCTGGCCATATAACCCGCTGCCGGTGCTTCAAATCTTAAAAGAATAACAGCCAAAAAGAACACCTACTCTCCCAATCTTGGCAGGTTCCTTGTTATTTGGCACGCCAATGACCTTACGCCAGATCAACAAAGTGGCTAATAAATTAGATATAGTGCTAAAAAACAATGAAAGTCTTGATCCTAAGTTTGCTGCTAATATTAGCCGCTTTATCAAAGGGTCTCTAATAAGTGCTACAAAACTGGTCCAGACTAAAAGAGACCTGAGGAGGACTAAATATACTGAGCGCGTTCAAAAACAACGCCGGGCTACCAAGAATACTCCATTAAAGTCAAGAGGGGTGTTGAAAGTAGCTGATAGCCAGCAGATGGTCCAGCAGAAGGAAGAAGACCAGATAATCAAGGCAAGAAAGATGGTTAAAGCAGCAGATCTAAGGGCTCGCAATGCTGTGAAACGCTGTTTTTCTAAAGCAGCAAAGGAGTCACGTAAACAGAGGCTTTCTGGGAGACTGGCACCAGCGAAAATCTACGAATCTGGCCACAGTTGCAGGTGGTTGAGACGTTTCTAGTTAGATAGATCGAAAAACTGGGCGTTTTGGTGATCTGGGTGTTTTGGTGTCCAGCACCAGCTTTAGCTGGTGAGCCCGACCGAATACCGAATAAAGTGGGGCGTGGCACGGGTAGAGCCATTGGCGTTGGGGTTAAGGGAGAAAACGAACAAAGTTTAGCCATAAGCCACTAAAACAAAAAAACACCGTTAATTTGCTCAAGGTTACGGCAGAGCCTGAATTAATCCACATTATCAATACGACCTCAATCTGCTGGGTTGGGAACACGAAGTCTGCACGCCCAGGTAGATGTGCCATGTGTCCCATTTAGCAGCTGATAAGTTGCGTAGCTTCTTCATTACCTGCAAGCCACCACATGTAGCACCTTCATGAGCCTCTAATCGGAAGCATGGGGCACACCTGCGTTCCTGCTGTCATCCCACCCCTGGCGCTGGTCCTTCGGCGCGCGCACCGACAGTGTATTCAAGAGAACAGCCAGCACCGCGATTGTAAAGGCGAAGTATAATGCAGCCCAATAGCCAAGCACGCTGCGACCCTCAGTGTCTCTGTGAATAACCTGCGCCTTGACCGTCCCCGCAAGCCCAAGCGCCAACCTGTTGGCGCTCAGGTTCGCTGTCGCGATCAGCTACGCCGCAACGCCTTGCTGTTTATGGCTCACGCTGTTGGAGGCGATTACCTGCGCAGCGGTGTACGTAAATCAGGGCAGAAGCTCCCGATGTTGATGGCAGGAAGCGTCTGCGCCCAGTAGATCTGCTGCGCGGGCATCGTCGCCAGCAGAAGGTTCGAGAGTCCGACTGCTCCAGCGCCGATGGCAAGGACCCACTGCGCGGCCAGGCGTGGGATAAGCCAGGCGGCGACCAAGGTCGATGCGATGGCGCCGATTCTGAAGGGGATCCAGGTCACGGCGATCTCCAACATGGAAAGACCGCGGACAATCTGTTGCCAGGCGAGCATGTACCACAGGGAAATGGCGAAAGACATCGCGCTCAGAAGTACGACGAGGAGCACCGTGGGGAACGAGGACGCTTTGAAGACGTTTAGGGGCATGATCGGCTCCTTGATATGGCGACTCTCCCAGACGAGGAAGACTGCGAAGACCACAATAGAGGTTGGGAGAAGACTAAGGTTAGTCTCGTAGGGTGTCTTCTATCTGTCAGTCGGAGCCTGGTTCCGCACAAAGCCGTACAGGATGAGCCCGGACACGCCCAGTGCGGCGCCGACGTAGTCGATCGTTCCATGATGATATGTTCCACGGGTGTCTCGGGCGGGAGCAAAATCCAGAGCAAGCCGACGATCACAGCAGCAAGGATTGACAAACACCAGAACATCCACTTCCAAGGCGTGATGACGGCGGCGAGGGGGGCCCCGAGCCATCCGCCCAGCGAAGCCGCAGCTGCGAAAGACGCTATGGAGAAGTTCTGTACACGTCCTGGGCCGGCAGTGGTGGACAGCAAAGCCACAGCATTCGGCTGGATCAGTGCGCCGCCGATGTTCTCGACCCAGGGCTCGCGACCAGCTTGGAGTACAGAGCGATACTGTTTCTATTCCGTCGCTACCTCTCGGCATCACCTTTGCCCATTTTACACAAGCCAGATATTGGCACCTTGGCTCTCAAAGGGGCTATCGATGGCATTCCGAGCGAGCCACACGTCAAGAGGGAGATGGAGGTCCTCGGGATGGGAATGTCCAGGACCGGTACAGTATGTGAGTTCAGTTGCTTCCATTGATACAGGCTTGCCCAACGGATTGCGCTTATATGCCCCAGCTACGGCCGCTGCACTGAATATTGTTGGCCATCGCAGCTACCACGCGCATGAGATCTTTCAAACCCAGGAGCCGAATGAGTCTGTCTAATGTCCATCATCATCGTGCGGGCCGTCACAGATGTCGCGTGTATCTGTTTTGCGGACGAACTTGTCGAAACTTGCCCCAACGCGAAAATGATTTTAACTATGCGGGACCCAGCATCTTGGATCAAGTCATTAGAGAGCCTATAATAATCCTCAAGCTTGTCGAGAGCGACGAGTACAAATGGGCGGGGGCAATGGGCTGTATCGATACTGTAAGGCCACCAGTTCATTCAGTCTCATCTGTGCCACATCATGCGCACAGTCAACTAATAACCTTTGACCACATGAGTTTCTCGGGCCACATCTCGACTGGGTGCACATGTTTCTCCGCTGCTGGACGAAAGGAGACTAGCAGAACCGCGAAAAGCTGAGCCAGGCAATGCTCGACCACAACGAGCACATCCGCAGAACGGTCCCCAGAGACAGGTTAAAAAGAAGTCCATGTCAAGATGGAATGAAACAAGGAGAAGGGGTCGTACACGGCCAGCAAACAAGTGCTCATTCTCTTCATTGCACGACTAACCAAGTTATGCCGGTTGACTAGGGACTCCTTGTATGTTTTCATTATATGCCTGCCTCTGTCTTATGTCTTTTTCGTTACACAATGGCCATAGCCAGCGCCCGACAGCTTGGATCGGCTTCACAGAGGTTCTGATTCTTACAAATCACACTGCTGGAAACCATGTATCGACACGGTAACAGATTTCGTGAGTTGAGTAGGTGGCACTACGTAAGGCGAGGCGCTTAGCAACGCTGATACGACGAGTTTATCCGCGTTTTTTTTCGAACGTCTGGTAGCACCTGTTTACCTGCGTCTATCTAAGGGTTATTTCAATTCTGCGGCGAAAGACAACAGACGATCAGGCTCGAGAACACCGCAAGACTAGCCGCTCAACCTCCATCGCCTAGCCCCCCTGATCTAGTACTTGTTAAAGCAGAACGTCTTCCCCTCCTCGTTGGCGAAAGTCTTCCCGCAGCCGTTGCATACGTCGTCGTCGCAATCTCCGTTGCCAGCGCACTCGTCATTGACGCAGGCCGCCCGCTTGGCCTTGAACAGCTGCCTCGGGTGGGAGGCCGCGCTCTCGACGCCCGGGTCGCGCCTGCGTCGGGCGGACCCGTGGCCGCTGGTCTTCTCGTCCCACTCTTTTTGCGCGTGGTGTGTCAGCTCGACGCTCTCGACGACTTCGCTGTCGGCGTCCAGCAGGTATAGCCTGCCGTCGGGGGAAGCACCGTACCAGCAGTCTGCTTTGCCTTTCCCGCCGAGGATCTCAACGGCGTCCTTCACGGTGTTCTGGCAACAAATGTTCAGAGCTTGGATATGAAGGGCCAGTGTGATGGAGATTCCTCGCATGCGTGCCTGTCTGTTTCCTTGCGCTGTGTTTATGGGTGGGGTGGATAGGAGCTTACTGCGGAGAGAGAGAAGTTGGCGAGTGTCGATTGGACAGCAAATGCTGCCATCAGCGTCGCGATGAGCGAGGCCTTCATGTTGGTGGTATTTGCCTTGGGGAAAACTGGCAAGGAATGGGTAGGTGAGCTGCGTTGTAGCGTTCGGGTTGTTTCGTAAGATGGCCTCTGGTACGAGTTCTGGTATTGTGAGTTGATGCGGATACCTAGAAGCAGGACATTTGGTGCGCCGCCCTCACACTTTATAGACATCTCTGTCTGAGTTCTCGAGCATGTCTATTTTCATCGCCTGGTGGCGACGATGACGACAAAGAAACGGAGAGCGGCAACGTCAGTCCGTTGGGTCTGTACCTGCAGCGATTCCATAGTGATCACGATGGGGAGGAGGATGACGAGGAGAGTGGAAACACCGGCCTCTTGGTCTACATTACCCCATTTATTTAGATATATATATAATATGCATAGCTACGTTGCCATAAGTATATAAACCGAAAGGATGCAGGTGGGTAACGATGACAATAATATATTTACAAGCAGATGTATATATCTTGGTATATATTAAGTATACATTACTGGGGTTATGGGGCGCGCTACTGTTCACCATCCTTATTCCATCACGCCATCTGCCCTTCCTCCTCGATTCTTCAACCTAGTCTTTGGTCCTGGAGGAAGGGCTTTTAAACCATCCAGAGAGCCCTCGCCTATCGCCATCACCTACCTCACAGCTCTGAATAACTCTGCCAAGTGCAGATCCCACCAAGCGCCATGTTATCACTTAGAACACTGGAGGGCGTGGCACGGCCATCCCAGCAGCAAACATCCTGTTGGCACAGTCAAACACTTCTCGAGGTTCTCAAGGGTCCGAGGATATCAACGTCGGTCCCGAGTCTCTGCGTGGTACCCACCGTTAACCTTAACCATGCAGTCCACCCGACGGTCGTCTGGCGATCCTTCTCCTGAGCAACTGTCCATGTATACCAAGTAGCGAGGCGACACCAAACCTGGTCTTCAGGAAGGAAGTGCTGGCACGCTGGTTAATCAGTTCGCCGTAATTGGTCAATCTACGCATTGCAGACGCGGCATTGATCAACATAGCATGCAAACATTTATTGCATGTACTTGATTTATAGGCCTCGTATCTAATGACGCCTATTGTATCACGTCCAAAAGCCAGCTTGCAGAGTGGCTTGGACCCAGCAGTACCTAACCTGGCTGAAATTGCACATTTCTCACCTCGAGCATGTGCGAGCACATAAACCACCTCCCTAGTGCAATACGTACAGAGGTATACTCAAAGGTACACCACAGCAGATCACTGTTTGTGCTGCCGCCTCTCTCGTCTCTTTTGCCTCTCATGAGCCTTCATAGTTTCTTCGTCCCTATACTCTTCCGGCAACTCAAAGTCTTGCTCCATGGTCTCAGGGATCGGGTGACCCCAGGCCAGAATCGTCCTTCCTCTCCGTCTACCCTTGCTCAGAGCTGCATCACGTTGGTGTTTTTTATCGAAGAAGGACGTGAACTCTCGCAAGACCATAGGCTCCGGTGATCTCGGGGGTGGTTCGCCTCGGGACCTCTTCGAAGAACTTGACGCTGCATACTTGGCCCGTGCCATGGCCTCGTCGTGTAGTTGTTTTGCAGATGCGTCGACGTCACTGTAATCAACAGGTTCGCTTTCGTTCGCATTTTCGCTTGCGCTTTCTTCTTCTCCCGCGTCGACCATCTCCACGTCTTCATCTACTTCCTCATCTGCATCATCGCTTATCTCCTCTTCCTCATCCTTTCCTTCGTCGTCCTCCTCTGCTTCCTCGGCAAGGGCGCGTTCCTTCTCGAGTTTCCGCTTCTTCTCTTCTTGGCTCCATAGGCGGAATTTCTCCAAAATGGCCTGGCAACCTCGGATGAAATGATCTCGCGCTGGTTCAAACGTCTTTTTGCGGCTTTCGGTGACACCATTGACGCCCATTGTCCTTAGCCAATCATGGCCTTGTAGCTCATTGAGCAATCGGATAATCTGGTCCTTTTCATGTTGCGCCCGGCCTCTCTCCGTGTTCCGGATTGACTTCTCTAGTCTCTCAGCCTTCCTGTGCGATGGTGCATAATATGCATCGGGCAAAGGATCCACAACATGGTTTCCATTGTACCCTGCCTCGAGAAAAGCGAAGTCGATGCGTTGGGAGTCGTGGAGTCCGGAGAAAAGGTTGTCGGCGTAAGCTCGCACGATTGGGGAGTTGGGTTGGTGACTCAGATCATGTAGCTCGGCATCGGCAGTAGGTGGTCTGGTACTTTGCGGGCGATCGGTATCGACAACAATAATAGGGGTATCTGAATTGAGAATGTCTAGACGGGGAGGAAAAGTCAGCGACTGGACGACCAAGCAGCATTGAAATACACAGAGAGAGGGGCATTGGCTCATCGCAGGTGGGTGGGCGTATTGGGGTGTTTACGTACGTTGCTCCTTAGGGTCATTGCCGATTACTTCGTCATAATCGGGGAAATAGGCCGCCAACTCGCTCTTGAAGCGAGTGGCCTCCTGGGATCGCAATTTGCGACCGGGTCGTTCTTGAGCTGAGCTGGTATCGGCGGCGTTGGGCTGCAGCCGGTCTAGTTCGTGTCTGATGCCACTAATGACCTTCTCTTGATGCTTCGTGAGGCCATGATCTGTGGTTGTCGCCGTCGTGGAATCTTGGGGTGGGGCGGGAGCGGGACCAGCAGCAGTTGAAGGACTCTGAGCGGGTGGAGGGGGTTTCTGGACGGGCGCGACCGTAGGTTGTTGTTGCTGCTGATTCTGGTAATTGTTCGGGAGGTTCGCAGGAACTTGGGGTTTCACGGTGATTGATCTTGGCGGGCTGAGGGCTTGCGAAACGGGCCTGGCCAGAATCTCGACAGTTATTCGGGCCCTCTTGGTCTTTAGAGGGTCGTGGATGTGATCGATGTTGTCGAGAGGTCGCTTCATGCGGGTAGAATTGGATTGTTGGAGGATGTTTTGCGAGGGTCGCGTTTTGGATTGTGTCGCGATGATCTGGGCATGTTTGGCATCGTTAGCAGCTGCTGTCTGCTGGGTGTGGGCGCGGCGCTGGTGCTGGTTCAGAGTCTGGTGCTGGTGCTGGTGCTGGTGTCTGCTGTACTGCGGGCGCTGGAAGCCTTCAGCTCCTGCTGCTCGTCGGGAGGATGTGGCCATCGCTGCTGTCGCCAATGCGAGAGAACGAGGAGGCGGTAGTACGTGGAGCGATTGATAATACAATCATGGTGGTACGGGAGCGGGAGAGGGGACAGGTGGAAATGTTGCGACTCGCATTTCCAGGCAGCGCTTTTGGCAAATTCTCCCAAACAGCAGCCCGAGCTGAAGCTTAGCTGTGACGGTCCATTGTCCGGACCGTGGGGTGGTCGCTGCGGTCATCAATTGAATCACCTGTCAAATGCATTGATGGATTGTTGGTGTCGGCAACAGCCTGGAGGTGCACCGCAGGGAACACACAATAGCGACTGCAGTGGACAATTGCCCATCAAGCTCAATCGAATGCCCCCCAGCTGAACGGAACAGGAGGAGCGTGCGCTGCCTAATCAATGTCTTAACCCCGCGCCGCCTGATAAGGCGTCGCCCCTTTTTATTATCAATATGGTAGCGTCGATCTGCAAACATGAAGGCTCCCGCGTTGAATCACAAACTGCAACGTCGACTTTCACATTATGCGACAATGCGGACTACGACTGATACGCAATAACTTTGGTATCTCCACCGATGCACCGCGGATATTGCTGCACAGCACTTTCTGATGCGATCCAAGAAACTGCGTTGGCGAATGACGCACAGAACGGTCTCGGCTTCCAGCGACTTGTTGTCATGAGGTCACTGTTGATGGCCCATGGTCCTATTTCACTGCAGGTGTGTTGGGACCGCGACCTCAACACCAAGGGTGATATGGACTTCAAAACGCGAAAACTATTCGCAAGACTTACCGGCTCCGGTGCTCCCGAACTCGAAGTCAGGACTAACGTTGATACTGGGTCGACTCGGTCGTTGACGCTGCGTGTTGCGCAAGATCCGGTGATCTGGTGCCATTACTTGCCTCGGTCGAGATGACGGCGAGACAACTCATCTCGTATGCTGAACAACTAAGTTTATAGGCTGCTCAAACCCACAACGGCTTGACTTTAATCATTATCGACGACATCTTAAGGTGCCTGGGCAAGCAGCTGTGCTGCATAGCTGAGATGAACCTAGGTAGGTAGGCGCCCGTGGTCATCCTCAAGCAGAGGGGCCCGGCTGGGCATACGGGACTTTGGTCATTATCGGTGGGTTATGACCCGAAAATTCCACATCCTCATGCGGTGAGTTTGGATGGCAAAGTGACGTGAAGTCGTCGCAGCCTTGCGGCTCTCATGGAGCGCGCCCTTGTTCGGCTTGGCTTGCTGACTCGCGCTGTGTGACTGTGACTGATGCAGCTGCCGAGGATACGCCACCCAGCCAGGAAACACATCCTTCCATGCAGGTCGTCTTACATGACCTTACCAAGAAGCTGGACAACTGCCCAGTTACAGTTGCAATGGATGCGACCCTATACCATTCTCCTTCGTGGTCTTAGACCTAGATCGCCGAGGTCAAGCGCCAGCTAAGGTTGCTCACTCTTCTCCCTTCTCTCGTACCACTGGTAGCATGTTCTTCTCACGCAGGCCAGTGTCACGTATCAACGATCCATAGTAACGTTTCATCGAAGGTGCGTTTCCAACTCGGCAGCTCGGGTTCTATTCTATGCTGATCACGTTTAGGCAAGTTCGTGGCAATACCCTGATAAATAAACCTTCTTTCTCGCCGACAATTATACGATTCCCCAACAGCAGGGCCTCGCACCTGAAGAGTACATATACTGTTGAATGGGAGCCGGAGATAGGCACCGGAAGATCTCCAGTGGGGCAGAAACGCACAGGGCATCTGACCCACCAAGAAGACAGATGATTAATCTCTGCACGCAGAAGTTTGTTTGTTTGTTTTGTTTTTAACGTGGGGGGTAGCTCCTCAGTAGTGCAAACCACGCCTCCCAGAGCCTCTGCATCACAGGGTTGTGGAGGTCTCAAGATAATAAGTACAGTCAGTCCCGCTCACGGGCCCATCCCCGTTGTTGCGGCGGTATGACCTTGGGGTCATCCATCTGGTCCTTCAAGAAAGGCTATCTATCAGAGGCAGATTGTTGAAAAGAACTTGCTCTTCTCCACGAATTTTGCCCATTCTGTGCTCCTCTCCCCTAAGTATTGTAAACAAGCTGTCCTAGGCGAATGCCTAGGCAGTAGCCGATTTTTCCCCAGCCTCTTACAAAAGAAAATGTGTTGTGGTGTTTTCTTCTCACCACAGTTGCAGTGATCATTCAAGTCTGTGTGCCCAAAGCGTTCATGGTAGTTGGCAAAGTCGCTATGTCCAGATCTGGCCGCTAGAAGTCTGTGTAAAGTACTCCTCTTAAAAGATATAAGGTCTCTTTTAGTTACTGCGTGTGAGTATACTTCTTGATACCTAGATTCTGATTGGTCTTTTTACCATTGATTGAACTCCTTTCTGCCTTTTTTTTTGAGATCTCTCTTGATCCAAGAGATTGTAGGAAGACTTATTGTGTCTGTTTCCAGTATGGCACCCTCTTTTGTTAATGTGTCGGCAGCTTTATTGCTATCAATATCTCTGTGTCCAGGAATCCATTTGACAGTCACTCCAGGAGTGTGTGCTGTGACAAGTTCTTTAAATCGTAGAAAAATATTCTGTGATGTCTCGGGTGGAGTCCCATTAAGCCCATCAACCACTGACGTGTTGTCCAGGCAGACATATAGCTGTTTTCTGTGTCTAATTGCCCTGGCTGTTGCAAGACCTTGGAGAGCACCATAGACTTCAGTATCTACTACTTCTGCTTGCAGAAGTCTACCCTTTCCCCGGTATACTTCTTGAGTAGTGTTGCCTTTCCTGATGGTGTAACCCCATCCAGTGCGGGTTGTACCTTGGTCAACCAATTGTGATCCATCTGAGTAGATGATAAGGTCAGTGTTCATATTTCTCTCCTTTAGCCATTGCTTGAAGAGCTCTGTTTCTTTGTCTTTGTCTTTGCAGATTGGGGGCTTCTTCCATAATGGCCTGGTAAGTGTTGGTCTCTAGAAGTCAGGGACTAGCTGGAAGCTCCTTTGTAGCCTTGTTGGATCCTTGCGGGCTTGTATTTGGAGCCTGCTAACAAGAGGGTATCTCTGGTCTATTCGTCCTAGTCGAAGGCCGTGACTTCGTTGTATTGACTCTGCAAGAACTCCAGCTGGGGGAATCTGCGATTCAAAATATAGGATATGCCCAGGGTGTGTTTTCCAGACTGGCAAGATAGCCCTGATTGCCGTTCGTAGTACAGCATCTATTGTCCCAAGAAGCCCCTTAATGCGCCATGCTGATGTCTCACCTGAGCTCCTGATTTTTTCCATTCCTGGGTACCAGGTTTCCAGGCCGTGTGTAAGAATAGGAATAACACAAGCTTTCACAGCCCTCCTGATTGATTTTACTGGGAGTCCCTTAACTGTGTTGCATAGTCCTTGAAGGTGATTTGCTACCCTACTAGCTTTCTTGGCCCAGTGAGAAACATGAACTCTGAAGTTTAGTTTTCTATCGAGAAGGACACCTAGCCATCGCATAGAATGCTTAGCTATTTTGTTCATTGTCTTGTGGCGGACTGGAGGATTGTCTGAGTTCTTTTTCCGCGAGAAGTGCATGATCTTGGTTTTGTCGGGGTCAAATTCAATAGTATTATTGTGTCCCTATTGATTGAGCAAATGAAGGTTTTCAGAAGCCTCTGTAGTTATTTCCTCAAGGTTCTTTCCAATACAGAGAGTTGCTAGGTCGTCTGCATATCCAAAGTGTCTTCTTTTCATGCCAAGTTGGGCACAGATTGGCTCGGTATACAGCATGTAAAGGATTGGAGAGGCTGGTGAACCCTGTGGTAGCCCACAAGTGAGAGCTTTTATATCGGTCATAATACCTTTAAACTGAACTCTTGCGGACCGCTCAGACATGAATGACTGGACCCATCTTATAAGAAAGCCTGGCCAGCCCTGTTCTCTCATGCGAACCACCAGCCGTCCCTTTAGGGCAGCATCAAAGGCCCCTTTCACATCTGACGTGACTACTGTTGTAACCAGGCCTTGGTCAAGGGCCTGCTCAATATCGTGTATGAGTGCAGCTACCAGGTCAGTGGCAGAGCGCTCTCTGCACGCAGAAGAAGAAGACAATCAACAGAATCATCAAGATCCGTATATTCAACATATACTGCCGTTAAAATTCGAAGTGTCTAGCCCCACATCACTTTTACACATACACACACACAATTTTAACCTGGTGCTAAACAACTAGAAAGTACGTTTTTTGACGATAACTTTCTTAACTACTTTTTAACCACTGTCATGGCGAGCGTACTGAGGAGCTGGGACATGGCCAGCAGCAAGCAGCTATTACTCTATTAACGAGAATATCAAGACTAGAGAGGAAATGAAGAGAGAGAGAGAGATAGGTACAGTGGGAGGTTGCCCCTTTAAGGGGATCCTCTGGTCAGATCCTTCCCCTATTAGGAAGTATCCGCTTGTCATGTGGGAAGGTCTGTGCAGGCCGTCACAACCACTGTTACATATATTATTCCGTATGTTCTTAAATATTAGCAATTTGAAGCTATTAAAAATATACGATATGATGTATATAACGGTATTTTAAAAGTATTATCGTATAGTTACGTGGCTAACGATAACGATAAGAGTACGGCATTTAAAGTTATTATTATTATTATTAAAACGTCGTATATATTAACATATATTGATAGCTTTAATTCGTACTTATTAATATGTAGTTAAATTAATATTTCCAACGTTAATATAAAAGCGTAGTAGTTATAAAGCGTACTTTTATTGCTATTACCGTTAATTCGTTAAAATGCCGAAGTTTAGGACCTTACGTATCAACTTAATGGCAGCGATAATAAAACACGCTTTATAACTATTACGCTTTTATATTAACGTCGTATATATAATCCCGAAATATATTTAACTACCAATAACTTGAGATTATCTTAAAACATACAGAATAATATATGCAACGGTAGTCAGGAAGCGTTATCGTTAAAAAACGTACTTTTGTCGTTGTCGCATGCTATCTTAGAACTGTGTTGTGTGTGTGTGTGTGTGTAACAGTGATGTGGGGCTAGAAACTTCGAACTTAACGGCAGTACTATAATCGTCGTTACTCGCAACATCAACGCGACCTCACTGCAACTAGTCATACAACTCCGAGGAATGAAACCTTGCCCAGTACGCCATCAGTAGTTGCTAATCGGTGTTTTCCCACGATTGTCTGGGGTGTGGCTACTTCGAGAAGTAAGCAATCCGTACTACCCCTTGTCAGACACCGGACGGATTTGGGCTCGAAAGAAGTGGTAGCTACCTACGAGTTCTCTTGCATACAGGTTCAACATTCATAACTCAAGAGCATCAGTACCTTACATACATGTCTGGGCAGAGGCACGAGGACAGAAGGGGCTGAATACCGTCAGGCGTGGCTGCATGTGTGGCAGCTCATTGTTGAGATATCGGTATATCGTAGTGGGCCAGGAGTCCACAGCCCTTGTCAATGCTCAGTGAGTTCGTGTTCGCTGGCTGAACAATGGCCTTGAATAATGTAAGCAGGTGCATGGCCGTGGCAAGTGCAGGATCTATGAGGGATCAACCGATGACGGGATAAGCATGAGGCGGGAGTCACATGGGAGCGCGGCACACCAACAAAAGGTAATAACAGGCCGCCTCTTCCAACTTCCAACCACCCTTCCTACCTTCGCCCTTCCTCCAGAATTCACCTCACGAATTCACTTTGATTCCGCAGCTCGTCCGGTGCCCTGGAAGCCTGATGGGACCCTGTCAATGAGCAAATCTCAGACCCAGGGTACTTCCTTCCATCTGCGAATTACGCCGGCATCCATAGCCGGATTGTGTCACTTCAAGCACAGTAATTCACAAACCAAGCTGCAGCTAAGGTAGGCTCAAGCTGTCACCATATGCCTTCATGATACTTACATAAATACCTACGATTACCCTCGTTTCAGCGCCGTCAAAGGGGATGTGACATACCTTACCTACATGTACTGAGTCCAGCTCCTCCAGCACCCTGTCCGGCAATCGGCAAACCTCTTGTGGCTGACGGCAACAGCGGCATGCCAAGACGAAACAGAACCCCTGTCCCCAAGTCCAGCCTCCTACCCGTTTATCTACCGACCGCAGCGCATGGGAATATGCCCATAAGATCATATGGCTCTGATGTTTTGGTTTCGGCGTTCATTTGCTGGCTTCAAAAAGACGTTCGAACGACCTTCCACCGGTCCAGAAGAGTCTGAAGATGCCGCCAAGCCACCTGCACGTGGGCCGACGACGATAACGACAATGACAGAGACGCCGCCGTCTGGGCGCTCTCCATCGCCGACGCCGACGCCGACGCCGTCGCCAATGACAGCCCCAGCCCCGCATCAGCAGCAGCCGACGCCAACGCCAACGCCAAAGCCAACTCCAAAGTCACTCCCGTCGCTACCGTCGGCCCCGCCATTGTCGTTGGCTCTGCAGGCCGAGCCCAGAACTTCACCTGACGCAAGCTCCTCTCCACGAAGTCACCAGCGATACCTGGACTCGCTCCAACCACCCTCCGAGAAGGACTTTGCGCGATTGGCGACCCTGCAGGAACAGCGCGAGAGGGAACACCGACACCGTAACCACGAGCTGCAGCGCCAGACCGTCGCGACCTCACAAAAAAGCATGGAGGCGAGGCGGGACTTTATGCACACCAAGGCCGTGGATGGCGATAAGAAGGCGGCCGCGCATCGCCATTCCTTGCTCGGGCACATACACTCGAACTCCCTGTCGCGATCGCGGCCGGGCAGCAAGGATGCGCAAGCCGGTGAGGGAGCAGACCCGGACCATGACTTGATGCAGTCGAAAGCCGCAACCGTCATTCAACGTAACTATCGCGGATATCGCTTGCGGCGGGAGATGCAGGGCCTGGGATTAGATCCGTCAACGAGATGGACACATGCAATCAGAGATGCGCAATGGAAGGAGTTGACCACCCCGCGGCCTAGAGGGGACAGTTCACTGAACCCAACGAACGAAGATGCGAATGGCGACACGAGGCCCAGCACCAGCAGGTCGGCGGCGAGGCGGAATTGGATGAAGATTGCGACCATTGCCCAGCGCGCGGCTGCAGATGAGGACTCGGACCACTCCAAATGCAGCTCATCAGCTCCGCCCACGGATGAGGAGCCGGAGAGAACGACTCCCGAACAGAGGGAGGCTGCGAGGAAGAGGAGGATGAAGGCCCAGGCAAAGCGACGGGAGCATGCGAAGATGATGGGACTGCAGTATTTCCTAGAGATGGTAGATCTCAAGCATCGCTACGGATCAAATCTGAGGACCTACCACGAGGAGTGGAAGAAGAGCGATACCAATGAAAACTTCTTTTACTGGCTGGACTATGGCGAGGGCAAGAACATAGACTTGGCCGCCTGTCCGCACGAGAGGTTAGACCGGGAGCAAGTGCGGTATTTGAATCGCGAAGAGAGACAACATTACTTGGTCAAAGTGGATTTGGAAGGGCGTCTGGTTTGGGCAAAGAACGGAGTGCGCATAGACACGACCGAGGAATGGAAGGATAGTATACATGGCATCGTGCCGGTAGATGATCCCACGCCGGCTTTTGCGCCCGCAATCGAAGAGCATACTCAGGCCAAACCGAACATTGACTCACCACCGGAACCGCACAGTCACAACCGCCAACCTAGTTCCGGTTCCGATTCCGATTCTTCGCGGGAGTCAGAACTGGAGGCAGCCATGGCAGCCAAATACGCAAACCCGGGGCTCGACAACGCCAAGGGAGCCAAGAAGGTCCGGCACGTGTCGGCGGCAACTATCTTCAACAAGCTCCTGAGAAAGTCCGTTCGCAAGAACACGTGGATCTTCGTCGCCGATACCTCCTTCCGGCTCTACGTCGGCATCAAGAACAGCGGCGCCTTCCAGCACAGCTCCTTCCTACGGGGCTCGCGCATCTCGGCCGCAGGCTTGATCAAAGTCAAGAACGGCCGCCTGTCGTCGCTCTCCCCGCTCTCGGGCCACTACAGGCCGCCGGCCTCCAACTTCAGGGCCTTCGTGCACAGCCTGGAAGACGAGGGGGTCGACATGAGCCACGTGAGCATCAGCAAGAGCTACGCCGTCCTCGTCGGCCTTGAGGCTTACATCAAGACGCAGAAGAAGGGCAAGGAGGCGCTGCAGAAGCTCACGCACCAGAAGGAGAAGATATTGGCGCCCGAGGAGGCCCGCAAGAAAGAGGAGGCGCAGCTGGACTCGAGCCAGAGCGCGGCGATAGAGAGGAAGGTTCTGAGGAAGGAGGAGGTGCTGCGCGTCGAGAACAAGGCGAGCGTGCGGTTCTTGCAGAAGTTGGGGGTGCGGCCGCGCACGCCGGTGGGGCAGCAGAATGGGGAAGGGGAGACGGTAGAGGCGTTGGGTACGACTGGATGAGATCATGATGTGTTTGGGCATGCTGGACATGGGCTTGGACATGGAGGGGAATGGGCGTCGGTGCTGCGGTGGCGTGGGCGGGTTTCTTTTGGTTTCAAGGTGTTCTTGATATCCCCTGTGTTGACGTCTCTTATACCAATGTATCTACTAGCTTGGTACGGCTGGCATCATCAATAGTACTAGTAGGTTTTATTATCTTCTTACCATCTTGATGTCACTTCTTTTTCGATCTTGACGGCAATTGCCTCGCTTTTTTCGTATGATGACAGTATGGGTAGCAATGACTCGCCGATACGCAATGGAGAAAGACATCATCAGGTCTAGCAGGTCGCCCAACAGCACCCGTAAGGCACCTATATAGCAATGATATGTCCTAGAGAGAGCCCAGAGGGTCACATAGGGTTACAGAATAGTTAGGAAGACAAGAGCCCCCTCCCGCCTGGGCCTGAATCGGCAAATTACCACCCATCCCCAAACCCATCCAACCAACCCAGGAGCTACATTTCTCCAACCTCTTTCTTATCCCCCATCCCTCAAAACCGTTCACCGTTATCTCTAGGCTTCAGGCACAATGATCATATAAATGACCCTGTTGTCCAGCCATGCGATGTCCGGCGGGTTCTTGTATTCGCCGCCGCGTCTGAAAAGGCTGCCTCCTGCGGCCTGTTGTTGATCCCTCAGAGGCTTTTGCCATGCCACTAGTTGGCCCCTGGCACCGCGGATTGGCGGCGCACATGGCATTTTTTTCTGGTGGTTAGGTATTGTATGGGTGGAAAGAAAGGATAGAGGTGTGAGTGTGGATTGAGAGGGACGGTTGGGGGGTGGAAGGGGGATGGATGGTTCCGAGAACAAGTCTGGGAAAGGCGAAGCTCGGTGCAATTTTAACTGAAAGAATAAAGTCAGAAGGGGTCTTATGACATAAAGTATCTCTAAGTGACTTAGACTTCATGGCCCAGGAGGGATGTGGGTGTCATCGTGTTCTCGGATATCAGCACGACGGATTTACTTCTGCAGTGGACTGGGATCAAGGGGTTCGATCTGATTTGTCTCTTCCTACATGGCCCATCACTAGCTTGGGGATGTTTCAAAGAGTGTGCGCTAAGCCACGGACCGACGCATGCTTTCCGGATCCGCTGTAAGGCGGCATGCGGCCCGGCATCGAGTCTCGGCGTGTCACAGCCGACCACCCCTCATCCACGAGGCTAGTTCATACGCCTCTTTATACGTGTGCTTAGCACTAGTCTTGCTGTAGGGTTATCGACGAAGTAATCTACTCACTGATATGGGACCTTCAACGTGCGTGGTTCGATCCGCTGTAAACTCGTCAGCCCCTGTCGGAGTCTTATGGGCGACGCTCTGTTATTCTTCACGAGTTACGACTACCGTACCTACTGAGTTAGAGCGGGGTTTCCCAGAGCGGCGGAGGTCTAGGTCGCTTGCATCAATGGTTGCAGCATCACGATTTCCATAAGGTCCTTGCCAGTGTGTTGATGACTTTACACGCCACGAAGAATTTCATCACAGGATATACTGAGCTTACGAAAGCCTCCCGCGACCCTAACCGCGGCGAGAAAGGACGTATCCAAGTGATCGCAGCCTACTATAGGACTTGGATCGACCATGAAATCATTATAATAGCAGCTGGGGCTGACCTACTGGCGTGGCAACAGCGGGGGACGAATCACACAGGACGTGTAGCTGAAGATGATAAATCGAATGAATGTATATAGTTGTACAATAAGGAATGTATAAAGTTAGGTCAGCGCAAACTCCAGATAGAAAACAGAAACCAAAGAAACGACCTTGACCCGAAGCCTAGAGGGGTAAACCAGCGAATGTGCAGTTATACCGCGAGGGGAGTTTGATCCATCATGACACTGAGGATTTTCTCGAACTGCTCGCTGACGGTAACGTTGATTCCCTGGCAGCCTCCTGAGCCGCCCAGGTTCTTGCACAGGCCATTACAGCCAGCCTCGGAGTAGGCTTCGTAGTCAGGTTAGCTGAATTCGAAGACATTGGAGGACCAGGATGTCTCGTCTAACTCACCCCACGTCTGGCTCAGCGGGCCCAGGCCGAAGTAGAACGACTTGGACGTGGTGTCGATGGTGTAGCACTTGCGGGCAGGGGGCGAGGCGTGGTAGGTCGGGGTGTTGCCTCCGCTGTTGTCCTTACTAAAATTGGCGGTGTTAGGAGGCCTGAGTAGGGGATCCGGGGAAGGGGAGAGGAATGTTACGGTATTACATAATGCCTCTACATATTTATGTACATATATATCCCTAGCTTCCCCTCTCTCTTCCGACCTTGCCTCTTCTTCCTTAGATATCGTTGAATCTAGATATTTCATCCCATCAGCCCTGAGCAGCGCAGCTGCAGGCCTGATTGTCACAAGGAAGAAGCGCTGGGAGTGGTTAGACTTACCAGTCGTCGTTGGGGTACTGGTTCAACTTGGCGTTGGCTCGAGCTGCGATCTCTGGGCTGTCGGCTCTGGGGGCAGGAGTGGCCTGGGCGGTAACGGCCAAGAGGCTCACAATGGCGGCGAAAGTGCTGGTGAACTGCACCTTGGTGAAGTGGCTGGTTTGCTTTGTATGAGATATTCTGCGAATGAGTCTGTGGAAGAGTTGGCTATGGGGTGCAAGTGTTGCGGATGTTGATAACGTGGATGAAAGCTGTTGATGTTTCTGATGTTGTTGATTCTGTACAAGATACTAAGAATGTCTCCTTTTGTAGACAATACCTCTGTCGAACTCGAGCTCTCGAAAGCTCTGCTCCTCTGGCTTATTGGAGATGAAGCCAACCACCGAAGCACAGCAAGTCCCACATCCAAGGAATTCCGCCTACATGACATCGCTACCATATCGACGTCGATGATATCTCGAAATAGACTGGGTCCTAGTAGCCGCTCGTCTCCATGTCCACCAGGTGGAACTTTGAGGACCAGTCTCATCGGGGAGCTCTCACTTGTTGCTAAAAATGAAATTTCATCTTATACGGAATCCACCTCCAAGGATTGCTGCGTATGGGAGGTAGATGAAGATCGCCAACTTAGCCGTCGCTCAAGTGGCTGGTTCCTACTTGAGTGAATTGTCCGGCAAAGAGCTGAGCGCCGAGTGAATCCTGTGACCATGAGGGTAAAGATGAGGATGAGCATGTGGGCGAGAATGAGGGAAACATGCCTCGTGCATCACACGCGTCCGGACAGTTTGGTATTGTCATTATGTCATGGCCCCCTTGTGCCACCACCTGCTGCCCGCACAACTGGGGAACTTGTCGATCGACGGATAGACGGTGGAGAGAGATCCTATCAGCCTCGGGGTCAACCATGCGTGAGTATTTTGGGAACGAGAGCGAGCGTTCCCCGAGCGGCTGAAGAAGTAGCAAAAGGGCGCAGGCTGACATTACCAGTTGCAAGGCTGCTGCGTCAAAGAGGGCTAAGCTTCTCACGATGCACCCTTGGACAGGATGCGCTGATCTACAGCGAATCGGATCGATCAAAGCTTGCCTATACACCCCCTCAATGCTAATTGGCGCGGATCCAACCGCATGGCCGTCAGCGGGACTCGTCATGTCAGCTACTTCTTTGGCCAGCTGCATCTTTAGAGAACAGGCATGTTGATTGGTCACGAAAGGGGAACCGAAAGCGAAAAACAAAGGTCTGGGGTCTGCTGCCCGGCACGGAAATGTATCGTGAGAGATCAAGAAGCTTGGGCCGACGAGCTGCAAGGGGAATTAGCACGTGCCTCTCCAATGCAATGTGCTTGAGATCACCTACCAGATCCTGGTCAGGAACTCTGTTTCCATGACACCTTGGGCGGTTTTGATGTTCTTTTCAAGAGCCGAGATCTTCTCCTTGTAGGAGAACTTGTAGTTGAAAGCTATGACTATCCGGCGTCGCGTCCCCGAGGAAGGCGTCACTACGACTGTTTGAAGCACCGCTTGCAGCTCTCTGGTGTCTCTGACCAAATCCGCCGCAATGCTTCTGAGGCTAGCCCTGGCATGCTGCGTCGCCGAGTCCTGTTCATTGGCGGGACGAACGTCTGTGTTGAGACAGACGGGATCGAAGTGGCAGAGGTCGCCTTGAACCGACGTCAGGAGGGCCGTGAAGTATGCTGTATTCAAAGCAAGGCCAAGCTCTAGTGAGCCGTCTTTGAACGATTTCCTGCATAGGCCGATGACCTTGCCAGTCAAAGATATGACTTGCATCACATTGCAGACGAGATTCAGGGTAACGATGGCTTCTGCCATGACGACGCTTTTCGACCCTGGTAGGGGGCAAGTCGCGGCGTGCGGCAGCGAAAATCGAAGATCGGAGAGTATGAGGCTCTGGGACAGGGGGACTGCCCGAGCTTCTAATGAAAACCCGATTACTCTCTGTAGTGAACAGTTGTTTCATTGGATGCCATCTCAGGCTGTGTCATGCACCATCTCCAAGCCAACCCCGCCTCGGGCTTCCCAGTCAGCCCAGGGTTGATTTGCAGGCAGCCTGCATGACTTCACTGCTGATACCTGAGTCCAGTAGCCTTTTTTCCATGAGTAGCTGGCTACGCAGTTGAGCGCATTGGGCGTACGAGCATTAGCTTGCCCTTGAAACTAGGTGACTTTGCCTGCCATGAGCAAAATATGCCTATGCAAGCGGATTGCTTTGACAGAACGAGCTGTGTGTGAAGAGTGGTGCGAAACATCACCGACCACTTGAATGAACATTGAGCAGTCGCGGAAATAGAGCAAGTGCGACACAGTCGCCAGTACATGCTGCTCAACGGCGGCAAGGGAGAGGCCAGGGTTGTAACGAGGCCACCCGACAAACCTGGCGCAGAAAAGGAAGCCGGAAAATCATTCTCCGCACTCCCGTGGTGGAACCAGAGAGCGCATCATTACAGCAGTAACTCGGTTAATGTGATGTATGTATACATGCATTAATCACCAACCAGGTTTTAAAGCAGGTGATGTCGTTCACAGATTGACACCGTTCTCTTCCACTCCTAAGCTCGATCTTCGGCTGGACAATGGGATGATCGAGCCTTGACCAGCGTTCGGTGCTCCAAAGCATATTTCAACCTGATGACGGGGGTCTCTCCAAGCTGGAGCTGTCGACTACAAGACTGATGCCACACGGGACGTTCGGCCCGGCGCCCAACCTGATCAGGTTGCCCTCCCGGACATGACCGGGAGCATTCCTCGTGGAGCGCGAGGCAGCCACGATGGTGTCGCATGTACTTGCGCAGCGCGTGATGCCAACCTCGGCGGCATGGGAGAAGTTCGGTCGCTGCTAGAACTCGGGCGACTTACTGACGAAAGTCAGGTTAAAGCAACGCATCCCACACCGCGGTGTCGCGCTCCAGCAACTCATAACGTGGCTCCTTTTAAGTGCAGTCGTCCTACGGAACGGGGCCTCTAATCATGGCAACCAGGAGGTAATGCTGCGTCCTTTGGCGTCCTTGTGACAGTTCCTACGTTGTCCTGATGATAGGAGGACAGAGGGCTTGCAAAGTCAAGCACATTGTTGGCTTGAGAGTGCGATGCATCAATAGCGTGGCGTGTTTAGGATGATGACACAGGACGGGCTATTCAGGAGACACATCATGTGGAAGAAGTGCGCAGATGACTGGAAACAATGTTCTGAAGCTTTGCTCTGAAATAGATTAGGGCGAAGGCCTTACGACGTGTTCCACATGTACGTAAACGTGCCCAAGTAAGCGTCTACTATGGACACCTCTGCTGTAGATACTATATCATTGTGAAACATTTAAGCAGTATATTCCCGGCCTCATAAGTCTAGTACATAGCTTTATGCGGGACTTGCTTCAAGGTCCGACACGTGTCAAAAATTGGAGGTTTCGAGCAGCCCAACATCGTGAGGTCAGGTCCTCAGGAGACTCCCTCCATCATCCGACTCACCAAGCTGCACCTTCACGTCTTTCGCAACGCTCATCTGCTCCTCCAAATTCGACACGTGCCCAAACTGGGCTTTGGTATCATCATCAAGGCCATGGAACAGCACAGCAAGAGCACTACTCTTCCAGACCTGCGTGCCCGTCTTCTCGGTGTGATAAATCGCCGCCACCAGAAACAGCGCCGTGCCAAACACAAGCACGACAGGAAACACGGCAAAGGCCCAACGCACACTGACATGCAGCTCATCCGACAGCGCCCTGCCGGCGACGGGCTCGGCATCCGCCCCGAAGCCGCGGAACGCGACCGTCATCGACGTCGCCGTGTCGCGCATCAGCATGTAGAGCCCGTCGGCGTACTCGTAGTAGTTCCAGTAGAACGCCTCCTCGCAAATTTGAGTCAGTAATTGCTTCATTTAGGTATTTTGCCGGGGAAAAATGGAGTCGTAATGCGTGTCTCGGGAGCAAACGCTCTTGACACAGGCTAGGAGAGGAAATTCGCGCTCAGGGCATGGCCATATGGGGAAACAAGAGACTCCAAAATGTACATACCGTCACGACGTCAGGGTCGAAGAAGGTCTTGCCGCTCGAGATGCCAACGGTCAGGTTCACGACGACCGTGCTATCCGTCACGGTGCGGTTGAAGGCGGCCGGGCTGCGCGTCGCGGAGCCGGTCGCGAAGAGCGTGGAGAATCACCCGCGCATGCTGAGCATGGCGTCGAGGCTCACCATGTAGGCGGAGCCATCAGAACCAATACTGTAAACGTTATGGTCGTGGCCGTCGTCGAGGTCGGTGTTGTCGAGGATGGTCTGGTTGACATCTGAGTGGACCACCGTCTCGCTCATGACGCCGTTCGAGACTGTCGTCTCCAGCGTCTGTACGCAGGCCGAAAGGGAGCACTGCTTCGCCCAGGGCTTGATTTCGCCCGCGAGACCATCGTACGCTTCGGTGCCCATGAAAATGAGCTTCATGATCATTGAATGCGGCAGGTCACCGTGCGCCGCGGGAACCTGCGACGTCATGCTGAACACTTCCAGACTGTTGTTGAGTTTTGCGCCTTGCGGCACTTGCCAGCCGCAATCGCCGAACGTTGCGTTTGACGCGCAATACTGGTCGATGAAGGGGGTCAAGTCAATGCCCTCGGAGCAGACGCCGAGAGTCTCATAATGGTCCCAAGTGCAGTTGCCAGTCTGGCACTCGAAGGCGAGCGAGGCGCCAGGCCGGCCGTTCTCAGCGAACAGTCCGTTGTATACGGCGGACTTCAGGGGTAGGATTGGCACGAAACCGGCTAGATGACAGTCAGTCTTATACGGTGGCTTCTATGAAGTGGAAATTGGCAACTGGCTTGGAGATGTGGTCCCTGGTAGCGCTCCGGTGTAGTTCAGCGCCCGGTTGACGCTGGCGCCCTCGAGGCTCTCCACGGCCTTACTTTCGTACTTGACAACTTGCTGGGCGAGTGGTCCCAGTAAGAGTGCACCGAGAGCTATGACTACTCCGAAAGATCTAACAAAGCTAAGTATGCTAGAGTCAGGCACCGGTCAAAAGTACCATGAACGACGGGCCACTCACCCTCCCCGGCCGAATATCAACAGTTTCAAAGCACCCAAAGTGCCCCGACTTGCGTCGTCAAACCTCTCCATGTCCATCAGAGGCGCCCTCGAGTGCTTGAAGCGGATCCATTTCAGCTGGCTCAGCCCATTCTGCAGCGATACGTTCATAGTGGCAGTCGTTGAGGGTGGCTAGCAGTGCAATGATGGTATTGAGCGTAATGGTGTCGTAAGGCCATTCAGGCAAAGCGCGGCCGTTGAACCGGGCCAGCACTCCCATAATCGATGCTATAGCACCGGACGCAACGAGCATCGTCGCTATCTCGAACATCCAAGAGCGGGCCACGCTGGGAGGAGACGATGCATACTTTATCGTCGTTGGGGCTTGAGATGAGAGGATGGACCCCCCTATCGGCATCTCTACCGAGACTGTACTCCCGCTAAGCTCGCGCTTGTGTGCTGGTTCTGATGGAACGCCGTCTGGTGCCGGTCAGAAATGATCGACTTCGTGGAGTTCGATATTCGAATAATGTCTCTGAACCCCGTTGGACGAGAACAACTCGGGCGAGACGACATGTTCTTGCCGATTATATGAGAGGCTGGAGACGCTATCACTCTCTCTAGACCATGAATACCGGTGGTTAGGTTCGAAGCTTTGTTGAAATTGAGAGTACGCCATGATTGTATCGAGTATGTTTCAATTTGAGACAACCAGGTCGACAAGGGTAAGTATGAACAATACGGCTGCATATCTCACCCTCGATCGAGAGGCTGAGTCGAGCCTACAAAGACATTTAAACAGCCTGACTGACCTCCAAGACTACGAAAGCCAGCTATGCGCGCACCAACAAGCTGCGAGCCGCATGTTCTCCAGTCTTCCACATCGTGCTCGTTCGTATCTACCCTCTTCCCGAGAACAAATGCCTATCGGTACCCACCACAAGGAGGACTGAGCCGAAGCGGCGTGCAGAACCCAGGGCCGATTGGCATCCTGTCACGAGCAGCTTCCAACTGCAGGCCAGTCCATCCATTGACAGGACAGCGAGGCGCCAAGCTCGATGCGCCAAGCTGAGGAAGACATGCAGATCGGACCCAGAAACAGGTTCAAGAGGTCCAGCCGCGCGAATCGTACATGGCTATAGCCTATAAGGTGGTTGGAGGCATGCTGCAGAGTTCCTGCTTATACGTGGGGTATCTCTGCATGTTGATAAGCCTGCACCACTGGTAAGGCTCTGGCGTATTGGTGGTGCGCTCGCTGATGTGAGCGTCGGGTTTGGGGGCGGAGGGTGATAGCCAAGATGGTAGCATGCGATTTTCGTGTCTATTATTATACACAGACCATCAGTGCGAGGTTGTGGATTACCACCTCGGAAATGCCACGAATTTTTTGTCAGCTACTACTGGTGCGCATAGTGCTAATCGATTAGGCCACCGAGTGCTTGCCTAAGCGACGCCCTATGCCCGGCTTCTCCGTGCATAGGAGGCGGGCTGGCTCGATCCTGGTGTATGTTTGAAACGAGGAACGGTTTGAGCAAGATTTTTGATTCAGTGATCCAACAATGTAACACCATGGACGTACAGGGAGCCTTCCCGTATGTTCATTTCAATCTGCTTCAGTATCCGTTTGGACCCCCCAGCAGCCCGGATCCGAACATCCAGGGCCATACCTGAGCCCGCAACCTATCCAATAGCAGCTACATGGTTAGTAACCAGACAAGTCCAGTCTGAAGTGCCAACGTAGAGGGTATTGCCATCGTTGGAAGTCTGCCCAGTGCTGAGCGTAGTGCCCAGCTGCCAAAACAGATCAGCCGATATGCCGTTCGCAGAGAGGGCAGTGGCTTGCCATGGACTCTCGATGCTGCAATGATCTGATGTTGTACCATCTAACATACCCGTTAGCAATTTTCACACTTCAACACCTTCCACCAGATGAGGGATTTATCGCAACTCACACTCCTCGAACAAGCAAGGCTTCCCAGCCGCCGCGCACGCCGCGCCATGCGATGTGATCCACGCATTACCCCAATCGTTCGTCGTGCCCCAGGAGTCCGGGTAGAGGTGGAAAGTCCCGAAGTCAAGATCTGGAATCTTCAAGTTGGCGACGAAGTCCATGCCCTCCCCGTACGTGTACGGGTAGCTGCCGTCGCCAGGGAGCCCGAACCCCTCGTCGCCCATCGTGACCAGGTGGTTCGGGTCGAGGCTCTTGATGTAGGCCGAGGTCGTGGTCGCCCAGTTGGTGACGACGCTCGTGGCGCAGCCGTTGCAGCGCGGCTCGTTGGCCAGCTCCCACGCGAAGATGGCGGACGAGTCGGCGTATCGCGCGACCACGGCTTTGATGTAGGCCTTGTACTGTGTTTGTGCGGCTGTGTTGGTGTACCAGCCTTCCTTGGTGCCGCCGAAGGCGGTTACGTACTATGAGAAGGGATGTCAGTCCCCAAGACTATCACCAGCAAACAGCAAACAGCAAACGGCCGAGAGGGCTGGTTTCTCGGAGAGGCTTTTCTCTGCTCCGGGAGATATGAGTACTTACCGCAGGCATGCCACCATAGTCACTCCAGTTGTTCACGAAATTGACAATCAGCTTGATGTCGCGGGCCTCGGCGGCCTGGACCACGTAGTCGAGGCGCTGCAGCCCGTTGGCGCCCGTGTTGATCGTCGAGCCACTTGAGGACAGCAGTTGGTAGTAGACGGTGCTGGACCCGGGGTTGGATGTGACGTCGTTGAAGCCCCAGACACGAAGAATCTTCAGACCCGCGTCGACGAGATCGTCCAGCGCAGTGTCCACGTCCGCGTTGTTGGTCAGAAAGCCGATCCAATACGCGTTGGTGCCGGCGAAGTACTTTGTCACGCCGTCGATAGTGAAGAGCGAGCTGGCGGCCGAGGGATTGTCTCCAGCCGCCCCCGGGGTGTTGGTTGGTATGGGCGTGGACGTGCTGGTTAGCACCGTGGTGGTGGCGGGAGACGCGGTGCTGGTGGTGATAAGGGTCGTGGCCGTACCTGGCGCTGTGTCAGCCTCTGACTTTGCTTGTCTTCTTCCTTCCCCCCTGCTTCTGGTGTTTCGCAGTTCATTCTGGGATTTGCTCGTACCCGGCACGCATTGCGAGTAATACTGGTTAGAGACCTGGCACGTTGAGCCCGAGACGCAGGTCGTCTCTCCTGTGTAGCTCGTGCCGCCACATTGGCCCCAGAGTGCTACCTCGGCGGAAGCGACACCGGCGAGGGAAAGGAGGCTTGCCGTGAGGGTCTTCATCTTGGCTGCGATAGCTGTGCTTCCCTTGTAAACAGCAAGTGACAAGCGCGAACCAAGAAAGGCCGGCGGAGCTCACGCTCCCTATTTGTATCCTGACCTTGGTCCGTATCAACGTCAGATGGATATGGGATGCCAGCAGGCACATGCAGCGCTCGACCGGGATGGGTCCCAAGATCCTCTCAGCTCCATCATGGACTCTCCGGGCGGCCGTCGCGCTCAGATGGATAGATCATAGTACGGATGTTGATGCTCCATGCATACGTTTCGAGCAGATTGGGCCTTGGGGAAAAGCCCCAATCCAATCTCCATTCTCCATCGATAGGCTCCCCGGTCTCCAATCAATTTCAGGGGCATGAGCCGGGTGTTTGAACTCCATTCGGTTTGGCCTGAAGATGATGGCAACCCAAGATCGACGCGTACCCCACGATTCTCCGCATCGGTATCACGAGCGGGACTCGTGAGCCCGCGTCCAAGATTGCAGGGTGACTCGTATGGTGGAATGGATTACCATGCGTTCGTCGGGTCTTCAAGATTTGGAGATTTGGAGAATGTCCGGACGCATGGAGATGGGAGACTTGCCATAGACTCGGGCTCCCGGCAAGGGCCCCTGATCCGGAAGGCATGAAGCCGCCGCAACACCCTCCGAGATTCCCCTTTAGGAGACCGACACCTCACATGACCCGGTTTTGATGAGTGTTCCCCGTGGAGTAGTACGTATTTAGAAGCATCCAAAAGCGACCCGCTTATTACTGAAAGCTCATGACGGAATCAGCCGCGGCCCGCCACGAGCTGGTACTCTTGGGGCTTTCGTGGATGCCGCAGATTCGTCGATGAGGATTCTTCGGATGTTAAGCCATTCAAGGATGATGTCTTGCGCATTACCATAGCCGACCGGGAAGCTCGCGTGCGCCATGGGCTTATGCCGAGACCAACGTGTCCCACCCTGTCTGTGCTGTTGCACAGTGAAGCCCGAATTGGGTTCCTTGATGAGCACTACCTGCGCTTCTATCATCAGCCGCTGCCCTCCGGATACGCCACGGGGACCCCCTTTCTCATCTCCCCCTTCCCATCCGGATACACGCCGCCCGGTCAAAGACTATCGGCCAGAAGAAGGAGCGCCAGGACCGCTCCGGCTCCTTGTAGAACACTCTCCACCGCCACGGCTTCTTCTCGTCCGTGATGACTTCTATGCTCTACCGAACGCCGCGGGATGTCGTTTCGCCGTGTGAGCGGTAATACACGAGGAAGTTGTCATGGTGCCGCTGCGGACTGCTCCCAAGTATGAGCCCCGTGCTGAGCTCCCAGCCTAGCCGCCAGAGGTCGTTGTCTCTGGGCAGCGGCTTGGGGTCTTATGCTGCCAGCCGGGATACCGTATTTGCAGTGAACACGTCCCCGGGCCCCGGCACCCCGTCCACGCCGCAGATCCCGGCGGCCCTCAAGTCTGTGTCGCGCAGCCCGTCGGTGATGCTGAGCAGGACGCCGTACAAGACCGGCAGCGCGATCGCGCGGTATCCGAGGCATGGGATCGTTAGCCTGGTTGATGCTGTCGCGTACCTGGGCTAGGACGCCTGGCGCTCCTTTCGGGCTGCGGGTGTGAGCAGGCGCTTGCCGCGGTCACGTTTGCCAATGTCTCTAAAGCGCACGTCGCGAGGCGCCACGATATGATGCTTGCTGGCGAGGGCGATCCACGAGGTGCGCTTTAGCTTCCTGGCTACTCGTCACGATTTGCTGCTTCGCCGCTCATTAACTCCTCGCATGCGCACACTTGTGCTTTGAGCTATTGGGTAGGTACTGATGCGCTGTTGTTTCTGCTCGAAGGCGCGAGCGGCTTGTTCCACGCGCTGCTCGGGGCTTAGCGGAGCCGGGTCCGCGGTGAGCTCTGCCATGATGGGATTCCTCGTTACGCGATGTTTCTAGCAAGCGAATCTATAATTAGTACGCATTAAGCAGATGTTTAATACGACTACACACCCGAGGCATGTAGTTGTTTAGCAAGCATCTGAAGTTAACCCTAACCTAACCCTAACCCTGGTACTCTGTGTCCCACAGCTGCCCAACTCTCTACCCGGTCCCACTTTTACGGAAACACCCGGGTAATTATCTCTAACACTGGTTGTTGGGCTTGAATCTGAGATGTTTTCATTTCTTCATGTTATCCTTTCCGTCAATATGGAGATACCACGTATAGATCTCATAGCGCAACGATATTTGTCAACTGTCACAGGTACATTGATTACGATCGCGCTTTGTCTCTCGTTGTGTATCCGAAAAATGCTACCTCGTGGTGTCCGGAAATGGACAGCGGGAGTGTGCTAGTTCTTTGTTGGAAAGCGTACAAAGCACGTTGAGGAGGACGACTGTACCTATAATCTTCATACCGCAGCTAGGGCCTGTAAACCTGTTACTACGATAATATAAGCCAAGCAAGCGACCACAAGTCCAACATGGCGACCTTGCGAGTCGGCGCCGACCTGTTTCTTGGTGCGCCAAACAAGAAACAAGTGAACGAGATACGCAACCACTTCAACGCGCTCCCCGACTTCGCCTTCGAGGAGATCATCGGCCGTGGCGCGTACGGCCTAACCTTTCGCGTCGTGGAGAAATTGGCAAATGGCAAAACGCGGAGGCTCGCCGTGAAGCGCGCGCTCTCGAAGGAAAGCGAGAGTGACCTGCGGAGGGAGATCACCTGGATGACGGTATGCATATTCCGAGGATCATATGGGGGACGCACGGCAGAAAGCAATTAGGCAAAAAAAGCTGGATGTAACTCAGTTCTAACTTCCTTTGCCGCAGAGACTGGGCGGCGCCGCCCACATCGCCCGCGTCCTCGGCACGCGGAACGTCACCGGCGGAAACATGACAAATACGAGACGCGGTCTGGCACAGCTATTTCGCACCCGGAGCAGGTTCCTGATCGGCATCGAGGGACCGGTGCTGGCATTGGAATACCTGGAAAATGGGAGTTTGGCCGGCATGTACAAGCGGATGTGTCGAGCCAAGACGGTTCTTCCCAACCGCATCCTGTGGAGCTTCTGGGTCTGCTGTGAGTGAATACCTATTCCCATCTCAGGTTCTTCACAGATGCGTTGGTCCTCGTCATGGTGTCAGATTCTCACACCAGAAACACACAAGCAGTAGTCCGAGCCTGTATAGCAATGGCGTACCCGCCAGACCGCGGCATCAACGCCACCCCGCGGCTCGAGCAGATCACGGCTGGTGCGATCCCCGGCACGCTCGAACACGGGGACTTGCACCGCGGGAACATCATGATCGGACTCACCGACGACTTCGGGGAGCACGGGCCCATACCGGGCCTCAAACTCATCGACTTCGGAACGGCCCAGACCGACGTCAACACCCACACGAGGGCAACCCCCGGCACAAGCTGGAACATCCGAGAGATGAGCAACATGATGCTCGATATCATCGCCCACCGCACAGTGCTAATAGAAACCAATAATCCCGTTACGTACAAAGGGTACGAGACGGGCGCGTCGGAGATACTGGACGTGCCCGGGGGCGGAGGCGCCAACTATCCGACGTTAGATGAAGACTTTAGAGATCTGATGGCCCGGTGTCTGGCTCGGGACCAGAACTTGAGGCCTAGCCTGCCGGCGATCCTGACTGAAAGCCTGGCGAGGGCGGGAAAGGGGGCGGCTTCTTACGGCGCGAATCAGGCGCTGGAGACTGACGAGGCGATCCGGGACGTGCTCAAGAATCTGATATATGACGCCAGCACAACGTTGCCGAGCGATCCGATAGAAATAGGATGGGTGCTTGTCTAAGGAAATATACTTAACTCTTTATACCAATGGGGATTATCAATGGTGTGGTCATTGTTCTCGCCGTCGTTGTCAATGCACTCGCGAAGGTCTCACAGGATTCAGGGGTTTATACCCGTTCGAAAATCGCTGTCTCTCAAGTAGGAAATCTAAGTCAAAACACTGAAGTGTCATTACCCCAAATGCGCTCAAACTGTCAGCAGTCGCACGGAATTGCTGAGCTGCCACGCCACGTCTGTGCCACACCAAAGCATCGTGGGATTCATGTATCTTCCTCTAATGACCAATACCACTCATTTGAGTGCTTCGCACGAACATTCCAATCGGAATGAAGACAAGAATATGCGTTTCATGTGAGCAACTCTTTTGCTAACTCACTGGTAGGAATATATTTGCGTTTTAAGTCCCCCTGACTGTGAGTGTTTGAAATCTGCCGGGCCGGTCATGACACGGCATTTGGATCTTCACCTCCTGCGGCGCAGGCGCGCGCGGCGCAGAGAAGTGACTCTTTCCGTATCATCAGATCCTTCACCGCCTCGGCCCTTCAGCGGTTTTCATCTAACCCTCCAAGGTACTCAACTAATAAACAACTAGCAAGGTAGGGATATATTGCAGTGCTGGGTAATTGCTTAAGAAAAGCCAATCAATTCTTACTGTTGGTTTGATATGGGGGCTGTGTCTCGTCCAAGCAAGTGAATGTCGGCTCATCGTCAAAGTTTGGGTTTCCGGCTGTGACAGACTCCTGAATTCTGCTCGCACGTCATACTGCGCCTGCTATATGTTGTGCCCTTGCTCGGACGTTGAAGGTTGGTGTTGTGAGGGTAGATTTGGCGATGTCTGACTTTGGAAAAGAAGGACAAATGCAGAGCCAATCCTGCCATCGCTGCAACAGGTGATTGAAATCGTCTCCATTGAGCTTATGATGAGAGTGGAAGGGCGGAGCGCTGGGGACGTTGTACGATCAGACAGCTGATGAATGAGGGCGAGAGAGTAAGAACTTAGAAGTGTCGTAGGGTGTCAGTCCATCACAATTCCGACGTGAGGGAGGCCATCCATCATCCCAGATTTGCATTGATTCGTTCACTGCTGTCGCTGTGCCGCTCGCGGTACGATCGCCCCTCAGAAGTCTGCGTACCGAAGGTTTTGTGTGTTCCCGAATATTGGCAGAACCACATTTCTCAAGGGTTGCTCTGGTCTGATTAGTCCCCCGATAGACATGCGATCTGGCTTCTCCAGATCAAACGAGTCAAGAAGCAGGTAGCGTACGTATGTAGAGCATTCCCGAAAAGGGGGGAGATCCTCTTCGCTAGCGCTTGGAGTGAACTTAAACCTCGACTCAGCCTAAAATCTGACTAAGCTCCCACCACCCCCCCGCTCAGGGATCCTCTATTAAGGAATACGGCGTATCGCATCTTCTGTGAGACTAACGCTTGGTCCCAGTTGCTATAAGTACCTGGGATCATCCTGACGGCAAACTCAATGGAATGACGCCCGCTGTCACGCCCACCTCTCGTTCACTACTGAAATAACGACTTGCTACTTTAAAGATCATTGCTCTCTGCCCATTGCTGGAAGCCCCAGGTGCGAAGCCTCTGAGCATAAGCACACCTCATGGCTGGACCTACACCTTCCGAGGCGGACAACCCGTTCCGCGACAACCAGGCGATCGACGACGAAAATGACATCGCCGAGCCAGCAGCAGCAGCTGGCTTCAAGAAGTACCTCATGTACTACACGGCATCGCGGCTCGACGTGACGCTGCACTTGCACACCAAATCCAGTCCCGCGATGTATTATGTTCAGTCGAAATTGACTTCCCTGATGCTGCTACTCCGCCGCGGCGCCGATACCCGCACAGCGCCGGTGGTCGCCTTCGCCAAAATGCGCGCCATGTCGCGCCACATGCTGCTGGGCCGAGGCGACTATGAGGCCCTGCAGGCCCGGTCCGCGACGGACCAAATCGCGTGGGAGGAGCTGCGCCGCGAGAAGAGCCTTCTGCGACGTAGTGACTATGTGTTCAACACGGCGGCGGCCGCAACGGCGTTCCGCTGGCGCAAGGACAGGAACGGGGCGCTGAAGACGGTTTACGAGTGCGTTGTTGACGACGGGGCTGAGGGCGGGAACGACGGCCGCGTCGTGGCGCGACTATTCAGCGGCGGCGCGCTCAACTTTAAGAAGGGCGGCGAGATTGATGTCGCGGAGGGCTTGGATACGGTGCTCGAAGAGATGCTGCTGATGAGCGCATTGGCTATCTGGGCGATGGAGGCCTTGGACTACCAGAGCCTGCGGAAGGGGTATGATAGCAGTGGTAAGAAGATCTAGATGCCCAGAGGACGGCGGGGGTGCAAGCGGGTGGTAAATCGTGTGTGTACGAAGGCTTCTCGTGACTTGGCGCCGTCAGTATCAGATACTTCAAGAGAACGCGGTGTTTGGAAAAACCGTGATTTAAACCCAAGACTTCAGCACTTCGTCCATGGACGTGAGAAAGGCGTCCGCCTTGGAACGGACACCAGGCCCGCGGGCAGAGTGCAGTCGGCGCATACCGGCGGCTGTTAGGGGTAGTATCGCTCTGTGCTATGTGGCGAATCGGCGACTGTGGTGGGATACCTCAGGTTGACGACGATGGTGTCCGGTTGATTGAAACTCGACTGGTCGTCATTGGCCGACTGCCTCTCTGGCGGACGCCCCGAGCGTATTTCCGTCCGGTACATTCGTGGCGTTTGTATTAGGAATGCTTCAGGTTGTGTGGCGTGGTGTTGAACGATAGGGGCACTCACCGAGTATCCACAAGGCCGGCTTCATCCCTTGAAGTCCCATTTAAAGGGGATATTCCAATAATAACACATGTTGGGCAGGATGCTGGAGGGAAGGACGTGGTAGGAGGAGTGGGACTCCAATTGCCGACTGCCGCCATGTCAACGGTTGACAACACTGCTGCAGACTTGTATTCGGTGCAAAGTCCTCCTCGCTGAGGTAGACACGAGCTCAACTGTGGCAATACTTGTGTCTTGCAGATCCTGGAGTGCTAAAGTTAGGACAGCAGCAGAGAAACAGATGTCCAGGGTGGTACAGTCGATCCCCACAAGTCTCCGTCCCCACAACTCGATCCCTTCCCTCTCAAGATAGTGACAAGTCACGAAACAAACACAGTAGTATAGGGATATCGATTCCGGGAACCCATCCCTCATGCCTATCCCGGAACCCTTATGCTACAATGACATATCGGGGGGTTTTGAAGGTATAAAAATACCAGCGATAAGCTAATAACAGTTCGAAAAGGCCTATGCAAGTCTTTTGTGGATGACGTGGGTCTAAATGAACAACGGGAATAGTCAAAGATTGGGAATGGAGACAGATTGAGCCTAGAGCAAGAAGGATTCGAACCTATTCCCGTAGAGGTTACCAGGATGGTAAGTAGATTTATGCCGAGCGGAGCCCTGATCAACAATGGACTCACATACATCCTGGCAGAGAATATATCTCCGAGCCTCCACTGCACATGGCGCCCGCGCTACTACTTACCATCCTGGTGGCCTGTACACGTTTGTTGGCGTGTGTCTACCACTCTTCCTGTTAGCTACCTAGGTAGTCAAGCCAGGTTGAAGTGGCGAGAATGGCTCGCGGCTGGATATAAAGGGGCTGCCGCGCCAGACTACGAACGAGTCTTCTAGTTGAAAACCCATCGATATCACCTCTCGCTAGCATCTTGAAAGACACCAAACAGTTAGACACCTTGTTCAACCAGTCATACTATGCAGTTCACCAACTTCCTTCAGGCTGCTCTAGCTGCAGCCAACCTACAGCATGCTGCGGCTGCTCGGCCTCGCGCCACACTACACAAGGCTTGAGCGACAGGAGCTCTTCCTGCCCCGTACCCGGGGTCCCTGGGCTTGAGGGCTTCTGGATCTACGTATGCGACAAAGCCGGCGACAACTGGTCGGACAAGTTCTATCGAAAAGATGCTATCGACGAAGCATTGAAGAAATTCGAGGTGGAGAAGTGCCCCGGGAGTCATGGCTGCCCTTCAGGCTTCACTAAGAGAACAGATGGGATGTTGAGGAAGCGCGCTGATACTATCTCTGGGACAGGCGAATGTCTCTCTCAACTTAACCAGTCTGGTAACGTGTAGACGACTAATACGGTATTTGGTGTAGACGTGCGCTGACGAGAAGTGCCTGGTTTCCGTCAAATCAGAGGCGGACGGTATACATCGCAACAAGGAGTTCGACTGCACCGAAGGCACAGTACGTACAATGCTGTTCACCGCCCCATTTACATACTGATACTATGATAGTGTAACAAACTAGGAGACCTCTGTTACTTGTACAGCAGTGGGAAGGTCCAATGCAACATCCAGGTCACTAAGTAGCTGTGTCAATCATCAACTGTGTGTTTGCTAATTTCATAGGGGTCCGTCGATCGGCCCAGGAGTCCAGTTCAATCTCTCGGCCGATTCTGGAAAGTCCTGTCACAAATAAAACACAGTCACATCGACTAATCTCATTTACCACTCATTATTTGCATCCCTTATGAATGGTATCGTGTCCCCTCGCTCTGCTTGTGTTAGATTTCAAAGTGTTCTATTAAGGAGAGGAATTCCAGCTACTCTGGAGCGGCCAGAATGGCCCTATATATATCCAAGATACTAAAGGAAAGGATACGTGGCCTTATATTGGCCACGTATGTGACAGAGTCACAAATGGGGATGGTGATCCTGAAGGATGACTATAGATGGGCTAACGTAGCCCAGAATCCAACACGCCCTCTCAGACTGAGGGAATTAACATAACCAGAATATCACCCCTTTACATGAACCAGTCCTAGCAACCCCAGAAACTTGAAGAACCTTACCTTTGTCAAAGCTTTGGTGAGACCGTCTACAGGCATTTCATTGGTTCCAAGGAAAGAGAGCCGTATATGGCCTTCCAAGATCTCCTGACGAATATAGTGTTCCCTGACTCGAATATGCTTAGTTCGACGATGGAATTCAGCGTTCTGAGCCAAGTGAATAGCTCCAGCACTGTCTGAATGGATGTTGATAACATTTAGAATGAATCCAAGTTCCAGCATCAGTTCTCGCAGCCAGGCAGCCTCTTTTACGGCTTCAGAGAGTGCGTAGTACTCTGATTCCACAGTAGATTGAGCCACAACAGTCTGCAACTTGGATACCCAGGAGACAGCGCCCCCAATAAACGTGAACAGGTAGCCTGAGGTGGACTTGGCGCTGGTTTTGATGCTTCCAGCATAGCTGGCATCACAATAACCAATCAGCAGATCCGGAATCATCTCAAGAACCTCTTGGGGGGTCTTCCCGACATATTCGGGACCTCCAAATTTGATCCCAAGATCTTGAGAGTGCCATAAATAACAAAGTAGGCCCAGAGCGGCCTTATATTGGGCTGAACCAGGATTGTGGAGGTATCGCGAGAGAACACCCATAGAGTATGCAATATCTGGTCTTGTATATGACGCAGGGAAATTCTCAGAACCGATCAGGGACTGGTAGGTCTGAATAGGACATGCATCGATCTCAAGGTCGTTATTCAGGGACTCCATCTGTTCCACTGCTTGAGGAGATATCGGCACGTTCATCTTGCCAGTGTTCTGATGGTTGAATGCCTCTGCGGTCCTTTTCACATACGTCTGTTGAGAGAGATATAATGTCCTCTCAGCTCGGTTTCTGACAATATGGACTCTTAGGAAGTGTTCAGCAGCTCCCATGTCCTTCATCTCAAATGTAGAACCTAGTTCTTTTTTGAAGGCAGCGATCTCGTCACGATTAGCCCCCAAAATAAGGAAATTATCGACATAGCTGATCACTATAATGCCACGGCTGATGTTGACATAGACTGCGTTGTCAGAGACCAGAGGGTCGAATCCGAGGTCCTTCAGAGCGCTGCGAATGCGCTTCTGCCACTGCCTGGGGCTCTGCTTGAGCCTATATAGCGGTTTCGCAAGCTTCATAATTATGCCAGGTCTCCAGTTGATGGTATTCTCATCTGGATACATCTCAAAGAAGTCAGAGAGACCATCAGGTGTCTCCATGAAGATCTCTTCATCCAGTTCTCCCATTAGGAAGGCAGATACAGCATCCATCTGGTCAATTTCCCAGTCCAGAACGGCAGCAATGGCTAGAAGGAGCCTCCAGGTGGTAGTACGAGCGCCTGAGGCCTGGGTTTCGAAATAGTCGAGGCCATGGCGTTGCATGAAGCCTCGTACAACCACCCTAGCCTTGTACCGAGAGGTATTGCCGTCAGAGTCCCTCTTCTGCCTATAGACATTGCGGCTAGAGAGAGTTTTATGCCCAGCAGGCAGATCAGACCTCTACAAAGGAATGAAGGTATTATTGCGCAGTAATGCCCGTATCTCTGTATGAGTGCCATCCAGCCATTGAGGTGCCTTGGCAGACTCCATGGCTTCCTTGTAGTTAGAAGGCTCGTCATTACGGGGAAGTGCCTGATCAGGGTCAGAAGACGGCCAATTGGCATAAGATGCCTCGATCGTAACATGTGGAGATATGCCAGGGGTGGAAGACTCGGCCACGTAGTGGTTGTGAGTCCTCCGAGTGCGCCCTCCGGAGAGTACATTCTCTGGGTTGAGCCCTGATTGGATTCTTGACTTCGGAGCAGCCGTTGGGGCTACTTCTTGATGAGGTGGTTCAGATAATAGAAGAATCGAGTCAGCTAGAGCAGTACTAGGCTCAGGGTTGCTATATCCAGAGTCAGAATGATGACCATCATCATTATCAGAAGCGTCAGGGGACCCAAGAGGGGTCCCTAACGTGACAACTGGTTGGGGTGAATCATCTCTACCATCCCTTCCGTTATCTGACTCGATATATATATGCTGAGGATCGTGAGCGCCCTCTGGTGAAGACGGCGCTGGCAGATCTTTAGCATTGGGTCTGGTTGTCTCATAGTCATCGAGTGTACCACAGAAGTTTGGAAAGATGTGGATCAAATCCCTTGAAAGTACATACCCATCCAAAATCTCAAGATGGGCAGTAACCACAACCTTTCTCAGGTGTGTAAGATACACCTGGTACTGGTTGGAACCAAAGGAACGAAGAATACGACCTCTCCTTGCGTGTGGAGTGGTCTTGTCTCCCTTAGGGCGGCGTTGCTGCGGCAAATGGACCACAGCGGCCTGCCCAATTGACAGTAAATTCGTCAAATCAGGCTTGTTATCCTTTCCAGGGTTCAGATCGTCAAAGAAAACTTCAAAGGGAGTCTTCTTAACGCCCTGGAGGAAAGATGTATAGCTCACATTGAGCCTATCACATACGGCAGGTCCAACAACCGGCCAAAGGGCTTCAGGTAGCCCGGAATCCTTCATAATACTGCGAATGAGAGCGTGTATAACGCCAAAGGATCTCTCAGCCACTCCGTTCTGCTCGGGAGTGTATGGAGCGCTGACTTCGAACAGGATACCACGTTTAGCTCCCCATTGCTTGAATCTCGCGTATTCAGAACCACCATCCATTCGGAATCGCTTTGGATAACGCCCGTACTGGGTGTGAGCGTATTCACAGTAGCGAATGGCTTGGTCGGAAGCTTCCCCTTTCTTCTCGTGAGGGCAGTACTCCCTCAAACGAGACTTGCCATCCACAAATACGGTGGCATAGAGAGAACCATCATAGCCTTGGACAGAGTGCTTGGCTGTATCCATATGGACCAGGTCTAAAGCATGATCTGGATGTTCCTGCTCAACTCGAGAGACTAGGCGACGTAGATTGGACTCCAGACATTCCAGACAGGTGAATTCTTTTGTTAGCTCTTGTACATTCGGCGGCAATTCAATCCCTTTGGTGATACTGGCTGTCTTGATCAGGTCACCAATAGATCGGTGGCCAAGTCTTGTATGCCAGCGGTGGAGTAGTCTCAGCGCCACAGATTTGGCTTGAGAGGTTAGTTCCTGGGAAGAATCCTCGGATACCATATTGGTGAACACGTTCGGGGCTTGATTGATCCCGTATACGTCCTTCTGGACACTAAGGATCTCTGTCTGAACGTACATTCCCTGGTGGAATGATGCCACCCATGTCCCATGGGGGTCAAACAGATCGCGGATCATCAAATACCATCCTTGGCGATACATCTGGTCTCCCGAGAGAATGTTGATTGGAAAGGAAGGCACAAATAGTACTCCAGAGATTGTCCGAGTGACGGTATCACCGTTGGAGGTAATGAATGGTATCTCCACGTCGCCAACACCTTGAGGAGTAACAGGGCCTCCTCCAGTGTTAAAGGGGACCAGGTCAGGGTCCATTTGAAGGCGAGTAAACCACTTCTTGCTATTGCAAATAGGAACGGTAGAGCCTGTGTCAAACAGCCATGAGTCTGTGCTTGTCGTGGCATGAACGATGTCGATCAGATTGGTACTCGTTCCCTGGTTGGCGCTATGTGGTCCTTGAGTGAGGACAGATTGACTGGAGATGGCTTTATCGGCATAATTGCACCATTGAGCGGCGTCAGAAGCGCCAGTACGTCCACTCTGGTGAGTGGGAGCGCTGCTTGAAGGCCTTCCATCTTTCCTAGCCTTCTCAGAGGCCTGGATGATCTGGCTGAGGATGCGTTTGTTGCATCCAAGGTGGCCCTTCTTCTTGTCAAGCTCTCCGCACTCATAGCACCAGATAGGATCCGTGGTATTGCTGTTGGAAGAGCCCTGGTTGACTCTAGGGGTTCTGGGGCCATCAAGAGATGGGCAATTACTGCCTTTCCCCTTGTTCTTCCACTTGCTCTTGCCTTTACTAGGCGTAACAGGCTTGTCAAAGTTGGTGGCAAAGGTCTCATCTTGAGCCTTGCGAATCTGTATCTCCTCCTGGAGCCGGTACAAGAGATTCTCGGTCGTAGGGAAGATTCCACGGTTATAATCTTTCGAGATTTCGTGGTGAAGGGTTGGAAAAGCCGTCCGAATAGCAGCCAGGAAATTGGCAATGCGAATATTCGGAGGATATGTGATATTTTGCCGCAGGACCTTGTCCATTAGTCTGCGGTAGTTGCCCACGAACTTGTCTCCATGGTCAGGGAATCGAATGGCAGCCAGTTCATCTATAACGGATGAAACTGCGTCAATTCTCGTGCCTGAATATGCCTGTCGCAAGGCTATCCAGATCTGACCAGGGTCAAATAAACCCGTGATACAAGAATCAGGGTCAGACTTGATGTTCTGGGTGATAGCGAGGTATAATTTTGACCTCTTGATGCTCAGACTAGCATCCAATTCAGGGGGCTTGGAAGAGGCTCCCGCGGAAGGTGTGGCTGGGGCGTCGACAGCTCCAGTTGTGACCTTATATGGTTCCTTCTCGTCTGCCTTGATGACTTCAAGGATAAGAGACCAGAGCCTGAGAGTAGTGAGCAAATGCTCCATCGTTTGGGCCCAGACCTCCCAGTTCTCCTTGCCGACGAGCTTCTGATGGTCTTGGAGGCGAGGGATAGAGGTGGATGTAAAGGCGAGGGCCGTCTCTGGGGTGGATTCAGACATAATGTAAGAAGGATAATACGTCGTAAGGCTAGCCTACAAATAAGGCAAAATATAAGCCAAGGAGCGACCTCTTTCTGTATAAAAAGAACAGTTACGACAGAGAAACATTTTGAAGGCTTGCGACAACAAGGGTAGCTAGTCCTAGAGGCGCGCAAGCAGAAAAAGGGTGATCAGAATGAATCAGACCAGTAGAAAAAGCTTAAAAGGTAAGGGCTGCTGGAGGTCGTGATCGATCAGAGATGCTACCATGTTAGATTTCAAAGTGTTCTATTAAGGAGAGGAATTCCAGCTACTCTGGAGCGGCCAGAATGGCCCTATATATATCCAAGATACTAAAGGAAAGGATACGTGGCCTTATATTGGCCACGTATGTGACAGAGTCACAAATGGGGATGGTGATCCTGAAGGATGACTATAGATGGGCTAACGTAGCCCAGAATCCAACAGCTTGTTGTCTTCCGGGGTATTTTGTTTTGGCTCCTCCCTTTCGGTCGAAGAGCTTAATAATAAACATAAATCGGAAACCCTCACGAGGCCGCAAAAGCCGAGGCACCAGACCTCTTCACCAGAACCTCTCGTAGCAGCGACGGACCATCGCCTGCACTGGGAACCCGTACGAGGTGGCTTCGGTGAGCTTCGATTTAAAGCTCAAGAAAAGACGTAAAGATAGAACGGGAAGCTTGCGTATCAGTCAAATCCGGCATCAGTGTAAACAGCCATGCGATCACGAGGCCCAACAAGCAGCCTGCACAATTGGACTAGGTATAGCTTCGTCACAATTCTAAGGCATAGCATGACCACGGCAACACCCTATCCGCTGAGCTGACGCTCAGCTCGTAGGATTAGGCGGTAAGACGTGGCTGAAGGACACACACCGGTTGGTCGGTTGGTTTGGCTGTGCCACCAACGTCTGACATGATACGTCTGACAAGAAGGGGCAAAATCAGCCCTCTAGAACCAACAGTGAGTTTCGGCGTGCTTGTACGACCTGGACTTCCAATGACAGCAGCCCATGCGGCCCTTCCGAGCGGCCCGCACCAACATCTCACTCTCAGCTGAACCCCATCTGTCAGCAATGAAACGCAAAGTCCTACGTTGATGCCTGGTAGAATATAAGCACGGAAGATGCTGTGCGGTCTTCCTACCGCACTCTGTTTCTTAGACGTCATTTCGCGCATGATACCTTGTACAACGTTTGAACCAGATCTCCCAGCCAACATAACCAGTGGACCAGATCTGCCTGCTCCAGAGACTACCTAGTCTAGACTTGCTACATACGAGACATTGCCCACATATCACCGTTCACACCACAAGGCTCCCTCCTACCGTCCCCTCGCCAGTACTCACGCCGAGAAATCCACCATGGTACAAGTCCTTCACGGGCACCTTCGCCCACGACTTCCCCACCGCTCTCGGTCTCGCCGCAGCCGCCAGCATCGTGCTCCTCATCGTCGTGTGCGTGCCGGCGCACCGGGGCCCGCGCTGGTGCGGCCGCGTCTACAGGGACGAGCCCGGGTACGAGCCATCGGTCGAGGAGGGATACACATCGCATGATCCCCTGCCTTTGATACAGGTCGGCATGCACCACCCGAAGCAGTATCGATGAGGGACGAGGATCCGAGGCACTGGATCGTGAGTATGGTTAGGATGGGTCTTTGGCGTTGGGTGTCGGTCGTTGCTTCGGGCTCTCTTGGTTATTTGTCGTCTAGAAGCACTATCGGTGAGGCGATACTGCGGCCGACCATACGGAGAGCACTCCTCTAAGCCCGAGGACACACCTGATCCGACTTCGTGATCGTCGCTTGTCATACAACTGAGGTTGACACCACGGCTCTCGCACCAGCGACCCGTTCCTCATACAGGCTTCCCCAGTCTCATCGCCGACACCACCGCCAGTGACACCCTCCTCGATGTCGCCGAGATCCAATACGCCTCAGCCAGGTGTTTGACAGGAGCCAAGATCGGCATCGCGGTCGCTGTACTCCCTTGGAGTGATAGCTATTGGGGTGGGGACTACGGCTTCAATGGAGAAGTGTCGAAGGGGGCGGAGGAGGGGTTTCTACTGTTAGCCCGCACGAGCAGTCTGAGTAGCTGGGGGTCAGGCAAGGACAGAGTCCAGCCCATAGATATGCATGGAGGATAGGGGCGTGGGGCCGGCACGGATGCAGGGCGTATAGCCTTCAATCCATGAGAGCCGGTTGAGTTAACCCTGAACTTCTTTTAGTAACGACACATTTGTTGTGCTTACTTACTACCCGAGCCGACACTTGCTGGATGTACGTAGCATGTCTTACCGCACGTGAGACGAAGCCTGAAGAGAGTGAGACTGCTCAAAGCAAGGTTGAAGCGATTTGGGTATATATGCTGACAAGTATGTAAAGCCATGTTCTCGCACATGTGACACACACGGCTGTCCAACAAGTATCCAATCGCGTCTTCCGCCCCATCTCTTGTACTACACAAGGTCAGCACTATACGTGATCAGTACTACGTGACCACGTTATTCCCCACGGCCCCATCAGCCTTCCCGTGAGGCTTCTCGAACATGCTCGTGCTATTCAAAGGCGCCACATCGTCGTGGATATACAGCTGCATGACCTTCGGTCCCGGATAGTGCCGCGTCGCGTGGATGAACCACCAGGCGGCGGAGAGCGCGACGGTGCCGAAGAGGATCACGCTGTTGTAGTTCATGCCCTCAACCGTGGTGGGGAGGGCATAGGCTGTGGGCCCTCGTTAGCATGGATGTGTAACCTCAGACGGGAATGGATAGCACTCACGGAAGCAGAAGAATATATCGAACAATGCGATCAGCAACACGGCTATCAGGTTGATCGCGAAGCCGGCTTTCCCCAGATGGAACGGGCCTGCTGGGAAGTACTTCCGACCAGTGATCATGTTCGCTGCGAAGGGGATCGCGTAAGAGATGGTGGTCAGAACGATGAAAGACCCCGTTAGAGCTACGAATGCGCTGCTGTTTCCGAGGGGTATCGCACCCAGGCCCGTGGCGATGATCGAGACGAAAAGCGTAGCCCAGACAGGACAGCTCAGACCTTCGTGGACCTCGCCGAAGATGCCAGAGAAAGGCACGGCGTTGTCTCGAGCTAGGGCCCAGTACGTCCGCGAGTTAGTCAGCACAGTCCCGAGGCAGCAGCAAATGCTACTCAGGAATATGATGAACAGGAGACCGAATGTCGCCCCAGCGCTGCCAGTTGCCTGGAGGTAGATACTTGCGAGGGGGTAAGTGTTGCTGTCGCCTATCAAGGCGGAGATATCCGTGATTGCATAACTTAAGGCGATGGCGAATATGAAGGCATACAGACCGCCTAGCCCAATTTGTAAACCAATAGCTCTAGGGAGATCCTTCTTTGGGTTGGGGAGCTCCTCGGCTATGTGTGTGATGGCGTCGGGTGTCCCAATAGTGAAGGCGCCGTTGAGGACACCTAGGAGGAACGCAACACCGCCTTGCCAACCAGTCAGGTTGTTCTCTTCGAACGAGTTCCAAACGAAGTGGTTCGTCGCGTGCGTCTTTGGCATGGCTGCAATGACGATGATGGTGATGACACCGCCAACAATAACGAAAAACATGCCAGCCTTTTGTGTATGCGGAACGAGCTTATTCGCAAAGATGACGAAGAAGGTCGAGATCCACAGGACTAGGAGATAGGTGATGTAGACGTGCCATGCCGCAGGTACGTAGGTGTCCTGGTGGTACGTCGCATACATCTGGACGAGAATGTTTGCCGTGATCTGAACCAGAGCTGCCAGATCAAACATCCACCCGTAAAAGTTGATCCATCCCGTGAAGAAGCCGACCATTCGACCATATCTGGGACCAGCCGCAATAGTCGCCCAATGGTAGACACCACCCGCCGTAGGTACCGATGAAGCAAGCTCTAGGGAGGTCAGAACTGTCTCAATATGATTCGCATGTGGTTGGTGGGTGAGACAGCGTGGGGGTGGAGACCAGGGACCCCTACATACCTCAGCAAGGCTCAAGCCAATGAACGAGTAGTAGAAGATGGCGACGATAAGCCCGAAGATAAGACCCGGTGGTCCGCCATTGCCTACAGACGATCAGACGTGTGCCTCCTTGAGAAGTCATGACATCAAAGACTTCGGCGGAGATCGAGGCCTGCTTACTGATGGAGACCGATATGGACGACCCCAAGGCTGCCCAGGCGTTGTCGACTGTGAGTGCAATACCAACGATGCCCAGCAGGCCGTATTGCCGCCTCAGTTGATCTTTGTGGCCTGTGGCGTTGACATCGGTACCTCTGTCGACGGCCGCGATAATTTCGTCGTCCATTCCTCCATTCTCAGGTTGCTGGGGTTCGCTGAGGCTGGAGCTTTTCTCCGCCTTGCTAGCCATGTTGTGGTGCGTGCCTCATAGACCGCGTAGTGAAGAGATGAAAGAATCGGCTGCCCTTGGTCGACTAGGTTGCTCAAGCAAGTCGAGTGAATGAATGTTGAGTATGTGATGCGTAACCGATGCCCCCTTAATGCGCTTATTGGTATTCCAGATGGTAGTAGATGGCAGTGCCGTCGCTATAATGAGTCTTGCGGGCAAGAAACAAAGGAGGGTTAAAGGAGGACCTGAGAGTGAAATGTAGATAAGCCATAGAGTGTGAGGCGTAAGATATGCAGCGTCAAAAATACGAAAGATCCGATGTGACGCAACCCATACACCTTGTAGCAACGAAGCCGTCGCCCTTTGCCGGATGAAAACTGTCCCCTGGTTAACATCGAGGCCGTGGGATCAGATTCCCAACCCAGCCCCAACGCCACTACTGCCCGAGGGGGAGGTACCAGCTTGTCTCACCTGCCCGTCGGATTCTCTGCGGGTGCAATGAGCCATCGGCCGCATGGAAAGCGCGGTGCCCTACTGCCGCCTGTGATTTGCTGGGGACTCTGCAGAATCTGACGTCGAGTATACCGCGCCGGACTCCTTACCGTACGTCGAAAAGCGCGTGAGCGGGGCGTCCAACGGCTTCGGTGCAACGTACCGACGATGATGCGCCACAATCGATAATCCGGTCAAGCAGATGACATTCTACGATCTTGTTTATCGTGGCCCAGGCCATCTGGCAGACTAAGAAGACGAAACGAAATTAAGGAGATTTGCAACAGGTGCTTGCTTACCTTAGCTTGTTGTCAAGTAAAATGTCCAGTGCTGTGCACGGGCTGTTGACACTTGTCGCAAAGCAGGTATTGTGCAGATTGACGAACGCCATCAATTGCTCCAAACAGATTGGGTTCTTGCGTCCCTCCATTTCCCCGAGGCTGGGCGTTGTCGACTGCTTACCAGGCTTCTCAGAGAGTGGTTTGAGATGGGAGAAGAAAGATCTCCGTCAACGACAAATTTAAGGTCGACCCCTGAATGAGTATCCACTTTTGGAGAAACCCGATACTAGCATATTGCATGACCAATTCTGTTGATCTCGACTAGAGATTAGTTCGACCCCCTATTTGATCTGGTCCGCATAGGAGGCTGCCCATCCACCCGACGCCACGATATCCCCCTTCAAGACGGGGAAAAATGATCACAGCGTCCAGAGGAGGTAATCGTGTTAGTTTGAGCACTGTTTTCACCATGGTATGAAGTTCAAAGTGGCAAGTGGGCTTAATTCTAGAAGACAACGCAGCATGTTGTGCCGAGTTCATCGCGTGGCCAACCTAAGTAGGCTACCCAGTGTCTGTTTCCCTGCTAGATATGTCCATATGCCTCCAATCTCACCTCCCTATCAATATCGCCTAAGCGCAAGCTGCTGCTTATCGACCCGCATAGAGAACTGGTTCGGAGTGCCAGGCTCGGCAATGCTCAAGGTTACTCATCCGTACTCATCCACCCACCAGGCCAGATTGCCCAATTCCTGTTCATCGCCTCGTGCCTCTATCCACAGATCCTCCGGCTCCCCGATATAGTTCTGCAATCCGGGGAACGCCTCGGGGTCGTACTTCCTGCGGAACGCGTCGAGGGCGCTCTCGTTAGCGAGTTGGAGGTTGACGACGCACATCTGCATATCGAAAGAAGGACGCTTGTAGTTCTGCTCTTGGACGGTGATGTATATGGTAGGCGGATGGGTCTCGCACTCGCCCATGGAGGTGGCGAGCGGCTTACGCCGTTGTACCGCGTAGGCCTTGTCCAGGGCGACGAAGAGGTCCTGCGGGTAGGTGAACGGTATTTCAAGCTTTTCCCGTTCTTCTTTGAAAGCGAAACTGGGTGACTTGGTGCGGTTCTTGCGCTCGATGGCCTCGAGATCGATCGAGGTGGGTGAATGGGTAGACGGAAGGGCAGGAGCAGAGTAGCCTGTCGCGACGTCTCGACTGGGCCTGGGCGTCTTTCGCTCTATGGTATCTGTCTGATCAACGCGTCGATATCATCTGCTTCGGTGTCCTTGATGTGTTGGGGGCTGTTAATCGTGTCTAGCAGGCCGTAATTGGGCTGCTTCCCCTTGGTGATATGTGCTTGCTCAGATGGCTCGGTATCATCCGTCTTCATCTTCTTGTGAGGTTGAACGGCATGCAGACCCGAGCCATGTTGCTTGCGCCTCGCCTCCCGGTTATGACGAAGCATCGTGGTACCATCTGCCTTGGTAAATCTGCGAGGTCGGAAGTTGCTGGTCGCAGGTCCAAAGGAAGTGCTGGCAGAGACGACGGCAGCACTGTCCTCAAATTGCATGCATCTTGGCTGTGAAGGACGTGCAGTAGCTGGTGTTTGACGGGCGGCGTTTCTGCGCTGGGTGAAACCCTCATCCATCCGTCCATCAAGCTCGCCCATCCTGTAGATATATTAAGTACTGGAAACTGCACGCATATTGAGGTAGGTGAGGTAGGATAGATCTTACCACAACTTCTGGCGGGCAGAGTCTGCCGTGTACGTATTACTTATGTCACCACCCGCTTGTCCGTTGGGAGGAGCCATTGCAAGCCCATTACCCGCAAGTCCCAGTGCACCTTGGGGTCCGGCGTCGGCTTGAGAGCCCGAGCCGTTGGAGAGAGTCTTGCCGTTGTCTTGCCGTTGTAAGGGCTGAAGTTGTCCATGATGGTTTGCCTGGTCCTCAGCGATTGCATCAGCAACGGCCTGCTTCCACCAGTCCATGTCAGGCTGTAATCCACTGTTCACGTCCTTGAACGGTGGCATGATGATGTTTGACACGAGCTTGCGCTGCGTGATATGCGGTTCTGGTGTCGCGGTGTTAAAGATCTTGAAGGGAAAGAACAAGACTGGAAATGGGTACGAGATGGGTGCGTTGTCGGGGTGTGCAAGAATTGTTGTCGTGGGGGAGGGAACGAATGTTGCCAATTTGGTCTAATTTAAAGCCTTTTGAAAGATTTTCACCCAGCGATGCCTAAGGATCGTCTTTTGTTCTGAGGCAGCTGCTTATGATTTCATGTTCTTCTTTGTCAATTGGGAATTAAGGGATGGTGGCTTGGCAAATAACAGAGATGGAAGGCGCCACCAGTAAGTTACTATCTTGAGCGCGGATTCCATAGTCCCACCCCAAAAGATTGAGAGATGGTGTGATGTTGTGGAAGGAATTGAGGCTCTGCCGCAACCTTGGAAAAATATACGGAAGGTTTTTTTTCTTTTTTCCTTCCTTATCTTTTGCTCCGGCTCGTAGCTGCACGTTCTCTCAATCTTTTCTCTTAACCTGAACGCCACTACTTCATATGGCTCCAGCGAGACCTTCGTCTTTTCACACTCAGGTCCGAGAGCCCTATAGAGACAAATTCTCGCACGGGAATCCTGCGAATATTTTCTCTATGAACCACACATAATCACACGAATCGACCAGATGGCTTTCAAGACACACCAGTCTTGAGTGCAGAAGCAACATTTGTACCCTTGACATTGGGAAGTCCCAAATAACATTACATCATAGTGATCAATGTTCTAACCAGTGTGGTTCAGGGTCATGACAGTCCTTGGTGGATGTCCCATGGGACTAACACCCATGAAAATTATTCTCCTCGCAAGTAAGCCAGGGACAGGCCCGCCACGTTGCGGATGAAGAAGACATTTCTGTCCGAGAAGGGAGAAGATGGCGAACGGTTGGAAGATTATAAGCTAAAAGTGGTAACATGACTAATGATGCAGACTGTGCCGAAGACACTTCTGATAATGAGGCAATCAGATTCATTAGCCTGTGTGCTGTTTGACACTACACGCAAGATTCCCTCCCCCAGCATGAAGCAATCCACCTACACGCATTCAGATCTTGCCAATCCCAGCATTATTAACCACATTCGAATTCGCGTTCGCGGCCGTGTCGGCACTCGCGATATTCTTGTTCTGGAAATTGCTGAAGAAGCTCGTGTCGGTACCGCTGAAGCTGCCGGAGCTGCCAAAGGCGTTGACCTGACACGCGCGGCCCAGGTAGGTCGTGCACGCCGCGTTGGTGGTGGCGTCGGGGCTCGTGAACAGCTTGCCAGATACAGGACTGAGCACGGGCGTCGGCACGTTCTGGAACACGTTGCCCTCGGCGAGAATCATGGCTCCCGAGTCGACCTCGAACATGTGATCGGAGCTGCTGTAGAAGTAGTTGTTGACCGCGTGCAGCAGCGTGTTGCCGCCGACCTTGGGGGAGCGCCCCGAGGTGTGGTGGATGTAGTTGCCCTTGAGCGTCACCAGGTCGTTGGAGCCCGTGAAGTAGAGGCCCCAGTAGTGGTGTCCGTCGCAGGTGGCGGACCAGGAGGTCGAGCCGTCAAGCTCGTGGTTGGAGATGGTGACGCGGTTGGAGGCATCTTCGCCCAGGACGATATGCTGGCGTCCGATGAGGGAGGTCTAGAAAAAAAAACGAGTATTAGCTAATAAATGGAGAAGGGCTACAGGGCGACTGGTGCGGAGGGGATTTCATCGACGCACCTTGACATGATCAATCCAGACCAGATCGGAGTTATCCAGGGTGATGGCATCACCACCCCAGACGTATTGCGGGTTCAAGTCCGTGATGTGGATGTTTTGGATGATGATGTTGGACGCTCCAGAGACGATGCGTACTAGAAGCCATATCAGTCATATTGCCCCAGAAATATTGTAGCCCTGAGCATCGACTTACATCCCTTCCCCTTGATAATACCAGCACTTCCCTGTCCAATAAGCGACTTGTTGCTCCCCACCGTGATGCCCAAGACGCCCGCAGCGTCATACGTGATCGTGGTCGTCGGCGCGTCAGGCTGGTAGTCCGTACACCAATCATGCAGGTTGATGGCGAGTTGGCAACCCGATGCCGTACCCCACGGGGCGCATCCCGACCCGGTCACTGTGCCCTCCGTGCCGGTGAAGTCGAACGTCTTGGTCAAAACGATGACGCGTGCGGAGCTGTCGCCCAGGTAGGACACGAGCTCGGCGGTGGTGGACGGGTAGACGGGTGTCGCGCTCCCGCCGCCGGTGACGCCCTTAGCGAAACCCTCGGCTGCGCCTACCACGCCCACGGCGGAGACGGTGCTGAAACATGAGGCGGCCGCGAGGGCGAGGAGTTGGGTGAACTGCATCTTGGCTTTGTTGATGCCGGTGGCCGGGTCACTGGGCTGAAACCGCTGACTGGGAGGGGATACTGAGTTCCCTTTCCACTGACCACGAGTGGCAGGAGCCGTCTTTATATCCCGCGACCCCTTGATGAGTTCTCAACATAGCATCGCTGTCCCAGGTCCGGCATGCCCGATTTACTCCACACGGAACGGACTTCAGTCCCTAGAGTGGCATCTGGTCCTAATTGTCCACCTTACGGGTGACATGGCCGGCGGAGTCAAAATCTGAAGCCTCCACGCCGCACCGTGGTGCCAATCTTGCGTATGATGGATCTGTGAGAGACCTCGCGGTGGACACGATGTCCTGCTTTCTTTTGTCGGAGCTTGGAAGCCTGTTTGGGAGTTTTTCGGAGGCACCAAGTGCTGCTCTGGCCAGGCAGTGCACCCCACGTCCTCCAACACTGCCAGACACGGAAATCGAGTTTCGAGATTTCGCGCCAATTGCAGCGCGTTCTCCAAAGCCGTCATAACCGCATCTGATAAGGGGGGAAGGTAGGTCGCACATTGTAACATCGCAGTGGTCCAGACACCAGTCGTGCGAAGGGGCATGAGGATATGGGAGGCGATTATCGTGGGAGGGAGAGACAGAGAAGAGAGAGGGAAAGATCGGCTTACCCCAGAATCGTCAGAGATCGACAGAGCGAATGGTCTTGGCCCACCCAAGGGTCTGGTCCTCGCAGCGACGATCAACAATGCTCGGTTCCACAGCAATGCAGATAAGGGGCGAAATCGCATGTACTGCCGAAATTTGACTGGAAAATGACTGCGGATCACACCACGTGCTTCGGCTTTCGTATTTTGGGGATGCCTTTGCCGAATTCTGGGCCAACCCCAGGGACGGGGAGCCGTTCCCATCACACAGCCAGCGCGATAGAGGCTCATAGAGAAGAGACGATGGTCATTTGTGGAGTTTCCTCTGAGATGTCGTAGCCATAGGGACGTAAGGGCACTGATATAGTTAGTATCCTAATTCAACGCCCATTGACTCATCTTCCGGCCACTTTACTAGCTGCGAGCCATCACTGGAAGTAAACCTTATAATAATTCTCCGGCATAAGCGGTATGTACCTATATCATGCAAGCCACCCTTAACGCTGAACTGAAATGTTGAAGATCGCCTGTTCACGAAGACACGCTCCTTCTAGCCACTTCCAAAGTCAGGTTGCCCTGAGAAATCCTCCAAGGACATCGATATAGCCCAATGCCATGTCACGCCATCCGCATGTATGTACAGCAGCGTGCCACCATCGCCCATTGCGCCGAGAATATCAAACACCAAATCGAGAACCCCGGAGTCCCAAAATTATACCCCATCCATACTATACACCATCGATACAAGCAACCGTCGCAAGTATCCGCACTCATGACTCCAGCCCAAAATTCGCATACCAGCACCCACATTCCCCACCTCCATCCACGACCGCAAAATCACCCACGCGCTCCCCATCCGCATTCCGACAATCCGGCACACCGCTCCCCGGCGCTGCCGTGCGCGCAACCTGGACCGCGTATGGCCAAGCATCAAAGTTTTTACTACCATCACCACCCCTATTCCCACCCGTCGTCGTAGCATACCCCCCAAACTGCGCCCCTCTTCGCGTCCAGATCATCGTGCTCAGCACCGTATCATTGTAATAGCAAGTAGTCACCTCATTACTGCCCTCGACAATCGGGCCAGTCGGCACGACGGCCGCGTCGCCCAGCGGCGTCGTGAACGACAGGCGCTCGGAGCTGAGGCCGCCGTCTAGAAGCGCGAGCGAGACGTTGGTGAACTGCGGGGCGAACGGGTTCGCGGTCGAGGAGATGGTGTAGACATCCTGGGCGGTCTCGACGATGGTCCAGAAGAAGGTTGTGGATGCGTCGGCGAAGGATGAGGTGCTGTTGTAGGTTGTGTACGGGTAGCAGCGGAAGGTGGCAGGGTTGGAGGTGCAGGCCGTGCTGGTGTTGGAGAGCGCGGCTGTGAAGGCGTAGGAGCCGGCGGGGAAGCGGACTGGGAGCGGTCCTTGGGATGTGTTGGAGTTGTTGTTTGAGTTGTTTCTGTGGTGTTATGTTAGCAATGTGTGATTGCGAGACTATGGTATGAAATGGCAAAGGAGAGAGCTGCTCACTTGGAATTCCGCACCCCGAGCACGACGCCCACTATGATGCCTACCAGACACATCACCGTGACGAGGGCGAGCAGTCCTACTTTGCACCAGCCACCTCTCCGTACGAGCCAAGTCGGCCGTCTGTCCTTGGGCGGCGGTTGATCGGGCGGTATGTCACTGCTACTGCTCGACGGGATGCTGAAGCTGCTGTAAGCCGGCGGGGCTTCTCCCCGGTACGGATGGTTGTAAGCATTCATGCCGGGGCCATTTAGCATTGACCGTCTCGCCGGCGACTTCAGGGGCACAGGCGGAGCCGTATCGTCGCTCTCCGCAATTGAGGGCACCGCCGGAGCAGGAGTTGTATCCTCGACCTCCGCGATAGGAGGCATCTGCGGCACATCGTACGCGCTGCTTGATCCCGGCCGCATGCCTGGGAACGACGACATCATGGTGGCGAGGATATTAGAAAGCCCAGGAGAAGTAGCGCCAATATTTCGAGCGCGAGGCCCGGGAGTTCAGATTCGAGTATATGGCTCGCGGGGTCGAGATGTTCACGTTATATGTGTTCTGGGCACAGTATGCTTGACCTCGGTTGCGGCTGAACAGCGTACCGACGCCACGGCGCACGTCGTTCACTTGGGACAGCGCAATCCGCCGACAGCTCAACAATGCCCTTCTTTCCTGTGAGGCGTTGCGCCGTCCGGGATAGTCGACCGCCACGTGCTAGGTAGCTGGGATATGTTGATTAATGCCCCTGGACACCTCAATAAAAGAGCGATTCTATTCGACGGCGTTTCGGAGCAATGCAATCAACGAGGATATGAGGTTGAAGACGCTGCACCGACGAGAGAATGAAGTCGCCACCCACACCCCTGGCTAGGGACTGGGCCTATATTTATTATACGGTAGTTACCGTCCCATCTGGACAGACAAGCTCTGTGTAGGTTTGGGGACCCCTGGGTTTGCCGTAAGCCGAGGATTGCACCGCTCCATATTCTCTCTCAATAGGGGACTGCCGCAAGACGTCACGATCTACATGCTGTAGCTCGGATCGTCCGCCGTCCGCCCGTCGGGTGCTAGCTAGCTGCTAGCCAGCGCCGCCGGACATACTCGATCATCGATGGCCGGCTGGGTTCTGACTCGGCGCCGACGAATTGGCGAATGTTGCTATTCAGCCTCACGAGGTCGATCCTATAGAAGCAAGCCCTTTTCAATATGCCGTTTCCTGGGGATAGATGGTTCGAGCGAGACAATCCCCGCCATTCAAAACCAGGGGAGCAGATATCAGGAATTGATGAAGAAGAGGAGGTTGTTGGGATGAACTAGCGGTTCATAGGTTATAGCTAAGATGGGAACTTGTGGAGGAGGCGCCAGCCGGTCTCTTGGTAGCTTCACTAGTGGTAAACAGGCACACCCAGCTTCTCTGCTTTAATCCTTGGCCAATGAGCTGAGTGTGTATCGATGACCGAGAACTTTGAAGAAGGAGCCTAAAACGTTATGGATGGGGTGTATAGTATGTTGATTTGCTGTCTTGTCTGGCCGCATCGTTACCTACACCTGTACAAGCTATGACTACAGTGATAGTTCCATCGCTCACTGGACTTCGCTCTGGACCGACTGAATAGCATCATCGATTGCTCCAGCATTTTCGACATATGGCGGTGGTTCTAAAGGGTCGTCCCCCTTCTCAACCCAAACTTGAGCGAGCTCTTGTTCAATCTCTTCCCGCCGCTGCTTCCACTGCTCGACTTGGGCGAGTCGCTCGTGGAGCTCCTGCAGCTCGCGCTCGACTTGCATCTTTTCTCTCTCAGTCCCGATGCGTTCAAACTCCCACTCGTCACTGTTGTCGCCTAGGCCGAGGACAAGGTTGAATGTGTGATACTTCTTCAGGGATGCTCTGGTGGAGATAGTGATCAAAGCTGCAGTTTGTTAGTCCCGTGGTTGTGGAGAATGAAATGCTAAGACTTACTGATTCCCCTCTCTTTGCAAGTTTCGTAGAGGAGACCCTCAACGTCGCTCGAGACTGCGCTCGTGCCCTCATCAACGATGGCGTAGTGAGGTTCGTGATATAGGAGGCGCGCGATGCCGACTCGCTGTTTCTCACCGCCACTCAAGACGTCTTTCCACTCTTTTCGAGTGTCCCATCCACCCTCTCGGTCAGGCAGGTATCCCAGTTTGGCAGCATCCAGCACTGCCTTCAAGTCGTCCTCGCTCTTACGTTTCAGGCGCATATCTAGCTCGCCGTCCGGGTAGATGACCTGGTCGCGCAGAGTGCCGATGCTAAGATACGGTCGCTGGGGAAGGAACATGATACCATCCTGGCCGATCGACTTGGGTCGGCTCACCAGGCCACGATAAACCGGCCAGAGTCCAGCGAGGACTCGTGAAATGGCTGTCTTTCCGACGCCGTTGGGCCCCGAGATCAGTAGATGCTCTCCCCGGCGGACAATCAAGGATAGCGACTCCAACAGCTCGTCGCCCCCCTGCGGCCAGAGCCCGGGCGCAACCACAGGAACATGCTCTAATCTCACGCCATCGAAGCCCTTTTGGATAGTCCCTTGGACGTCAGACTGCGAGTAGAGCTCGTTGCCACTCGGGCGAGGGAAATAGGCATTGGCATGTACGCGATGCATCGTGGAGATGAGCGTGTAAACGCGGCTCGTGTACCCGGCCAACTCTGAAAGGTCTTTGACGGAATACATCATACGGCCACCAGCATCCGCAAGGGAAAGCATGAGCCTTTTGTTGGTGATGAAGTCCTTCATACGGTTGCGTTCGCGCCCGCCCCTTATAGCACTGTCGTCCATCTCCGATGCGCCCCCCATGCCACCCCAGGCCGGGAGAAAGACCGGAAGGGAGGACAGGAGGTACCCGTAGGCACTCCAGCTGTATTTCAAGATGAAGTCCTCGAGGATGTTATACCTGATTTTCAGCATGTAAATGCCCTCCATCCAGCTCTTCAAGGATCGAAACTCCCTGTTCAAGAACGTTTTCTCCATCTCAGCACCTCCGTAGAAGGCGACCTCTTCAGCATTGGCGATCAGACGAGCATGCAGACTTCTGAAGTCTCCCTCTTTGCGGCCCTCGACTGCCTTGAGTTTGCCAAAGGGCGGAGACATCCTTCGAAGGATGCTCGCTGTAAGAAAATAGTTACTCAGTAGACCAGTCAGTGCCAAGGGGCCCAATGAGCGGTAAAGCTGGTAATTGAAGACACATAGATCGACGAATGGTTTGCCGAGTGATGAATACAAGTTGGCAGCGGAAGCGCAGAAAAGGGTCAGGTCTTGAGTGATGAACTGATCAGTCCCTTGGCCGACTCCGCCGTCCAAGTTTGCTAACTTGTAGTAGTTGAGGTTGTCATTGAGGTATAGGTCGTGGATATATCGGGTCAACCGAGTTCGAAACGCGATGGATACCTTGGATTCTAGGTACTTGATCATGGAATTGGTATAAGAGGCGAAGCCACCAAGTCCACACCACTATCATGCACTTAGTACGTAGACTTATAGTTATTTCAGGGGAACTTGTAACTGACCTTGAGTAAGTCCCATAGGAACTGTCGGCCGTGGCCAGCAACCAAGTCACGAACGATCTCACCATCCAGGCGCGCAACTACTAACGAAAGATAGGTTCGCAGCATAAGAAATGCGCCGTGACTCACGAGCAAGCCTGCCTCCTTGCTCGTCCATCGCGGTATCATAATGCTCATCAAGCTCAAGAACTGATGCAAGAAGGCAAGATTCAGCCCAGGTTTGGTTTGCGCCGAAGGCACAGTGCCATCGCCAAGGCCAGAGACCTTGGGCGGGTTCAGGAAGAGCCGGCGGTGCGCCTCGAAGGTCAGAGGCTTCGTCCTCTGGATGACCACCTTTGACGTACTATCTCTATAGGGGACGTAGATGGTTCGCGATCCATCCTTGTTGAAGAGCCAGGAGTTTGTGCGCAGGAGTTTCCGTCCTTGCTCTTTCTCCTGCCTCGTCCGCTTCCACCATCTCCGGCTACCTTCAGCTCCGAGGATTATAGAGGCAGCGAGGGCGACGGTCGCAAGGAGTTTGGTTCGTCGAGAGGTGTTTCGAAAGCGATCCTCGATCAGCTTCTTGTACTTGTCCAGAAAGGCCACAAGGGCATCTTCGGAGGCCGAATGACGAAGCGTAGATTGCACGGCCATCGTGATGGGATGCGAGACGCGCACGCCCTCTCGATCAGTACACTGTCGATAGCGTAGGTGTTGCCATTGGCAGCAGATGGTCCATCGAACCGTTGGACGATATTGAATGAGGTGTGTAGGCGTAAGCTAGTCAATGTTTGCGGAGGCGCAAGCGAAAGAGTGAAGAGGGAACAGAAGGATGCCGGACAAGCGCATGTCCGACATTGCTGGCGATCAAAGCGGGCGAGATCACAGGCGCATGGAACTCAGCCATGTGGCATGTGATGGTTCCGAGGTTGGTTGGCATCCCTCCACATGCCCAGACTTGGACCGGCGCGGAGGGTCGGGCTTTCAAGCCACATTACCCCAGATCCTAGGCGCTCCCAGATGTGGCGCCGTGGCTTGACGAGTATCTTGGCAGCTTGGAATGGACCCCATTGTCTAACAGTCTGAGTGGCGGAGTGGCTGCACGGCATGAGTCCCACAACTTAACCGTCACGGTAACGGGCGCCAATGCGGCCAATGAGAGGCCGACATTGCAGCTATTGCATCTCATTGGACCCTGGAGTATTCAAGATGGACAAGACTCCCACCTGTCAGCCTGTGCGCAGCGAAGCGCCGTCTTGTCAGTCGGGGAACACGGTTTACCTGATGCAGCGTTACCAGGTCCAGGTGATGCATCGCAAGTGATGCTCCAGTTTTGCATACAAACCGTCAGTTCGTAGGGAGTCCAGCTCAAAGCTAAGAAGCGGCGACGAGATGATATATAGATATCACTCATCCGTGTTGCTGCTATAACTTCAACATATTTCAAAATATTTCTTATCTGGTTCTAAAAAAGGTAGAATCTGAGATTCCTTTACATCCAATGTAATCTCCATCAGAGCGGTAAAGGTGACCAGTGCAAGCCCAGTAACTCCCATTGCAAGTGGGACCCGCTAGACTTTCGTACCTGATGCCACCAAGTCGGGTTTCCTTTCTAGATGTGCATTTGAACCCAGTCATAGCCAGTATATACCTACGAAAAGGATATAGCAAATTAGTGAAAGCTCGTGATCCCTTTCGCATCACTATCAGCTCTTGCCTGGAATACACCTACGTGGGTACCTAAGTAGACCCGAAACCACACCCATTGGTCGGCGGTGGCCGGCCAGAGACAGACCCGGACGCGGCCCCTGGGCGGTCAGTCCAAGGTCTCTGAGTGAGGTCCCTGGAACGGTGGAGGACAGCCACCTGCAGCCCTGGGGATTCAATGTTCTGACCAGTGACCACCCCCTGTCCCAGTGCTCCGTGCTCCAGCTCTGCCAATCTTGGGCCCGTTTCCTTTTCGAATGAACAAATCAATTTCGCTTGCGATCCTAGACCCATCTTCAGCCTCTGGCCCGCTGCCCACTGCCCGCCCGCTCCTCTAGTGCATGTGCTCACTGGAGGTGCCGCGAGATTGCAATTGATAGTGTCCCAGGTACCTCCACCCACTGGCAACCGCAAGAGTGGACGGGCATTAACCCATCCATCACTGGCAATCATTCAATTCATCCATCTCCTCCAGGTCAGCCAAGTCAGCGAGGTTGCATCTCATCTTACCTACTCCTCTGCCTCTTTTCAACCCTCCCTCTCCACGCCGAACGACGCTTTTCGCTCGCATCCCGACCACCCTGCCATTTGACCTATTGGGCAGGCTGCAAACCGAGCCGTTTTCCACGCCACCCGACCGCATCTTGAGCTCGCCTCCTCTTGGGCGAATCCGTGTGAACATCTACCAAGTATCCCGCCGACCCACCCTGCCGATATACATACCGCGATACCGCCTCGACGCGCCGAACACCCTGAATAGGATCAACCAGTTCCCTCGTTACACGCCTGGTCGTCCAAACTGCATTCTCCGTCTCGCGAAATCAATCGCTTCGCTATAGCCCTCAATCGCGACAACAGCGCCATCACCACAGCGGCCGTCGAAGGCCATCGAGCGCTGCGCCTGGGGATTGGGCAGCTATCCACCGCTGATTGGCATAGAGCACCGAGGTGAGCACCAACTCCGTTGATTCATCATCCCCTTTCCTCGTGACGACGGTATTCGCGTCACCTGAGGCCCAGAGGTTCAGTGAATGGTTGGGACAGCCTGATTTTTGCCGCGCATTTCATTAGGAGCTGCGGTACAGCACAGCATCCGTGCACGCACCCCTAGCTAGCCTCCAGCTTGGTGCATCCATTCTCCCATTGCAATTGCACGCACGTACGGCCCGTGATTTACCCCAGCCTCCAACACACCTTGACGAGCGCGTCTTGCCTTCGTCCGCAATCAGATCGCCGACAGGCAGTTTGTGGCTAATTCTGTAGCCCAGTGCGATAGTTCGCGTGCCCGAGAAAGACCACATCCCCAAGCTTACTGTAGAAAATGTCCAAGGGCGCTGATGAGAAGGCTCAAGCTGAGCAGGAAGCTTTTAGGGAGAAGGACGCTGCCGTGCCTGAGGACGGATCGGTTTCGAAGAAGAGTCGGGGGCTGCTGAATATCCCATCACGATCATCCTCTCAGAAGATTCAGTCGTCCGCAACGACCGGACTCAGCGGCGCGACTGCAACCGATCCTAGCGACAGTATCGGCGATCATTCCAAGGAATCCAAGCACAGCATGCTCGGCCGGCGCAGGAATGGCAGCGCGTCTAGTAATCACTCCGGGGCTGCCACCAACCCAGCGACTACTCCGAGCACATCACAGCTGAATCCCCCGGCTGGCGCCCCCCAACGGCGGAAGAAAGGCGGATTGTTGTCTTTGTTGGGGTGCTGTGGTGTCCCTGATTACGCGAATGCCCTCGAAGGCGGCGATGAACCTCTACCCTCCCACAAACTGGACAGGATTCCACCGCGACCGTTGACTTCAAGTCGAAACACCATAACGCCCTCGGAGCAGACTAGTGGCAGCAAAACTCATCTCAACGAGAAGGAGAAGGAGAAAGAATCGCAAGGTCAGCCTGGTCCCTCTCAGGACGTCAGCAAATCAACAAAGCACGCTTCGGCGTCCACAGTCCAAGACCAACAAAGCACGGGCGAACGTGACGCCGAATTCAAACAAACCACTCTGCCTGTTGCACCAGGTCCCAGCATCACCGTCAACCCTCCGACTACAGGCCATCAAGAGACCGAGGCCGCGACCGCCGAGGTACCTACGTCAACGGATATGGACGGCGATGTGGAGATGCCAGACATTGACGAGGCCACGAGCCAACCCGCAAACCCGCCTATTGTCGCCGCAGATGACCAGTATCCGAACACAGTTCCTCCACCCCCGCCTGGCCCAGTCCCAATCACGAGCCCGTCTCCGGTTGTTGCCGAAGAGGAAAGTGCAGCGGTTGCCGAACAAGGACAGCAAAAGTTCCTCCTGCCCCCTATTGAATCGCGCTTCAAGGGCAAGAAGTGTCTTGTCTTAGACCTGGATGAGACCTTGGTACACAGCTCGTTCAAAGTGGGCCCCCCAAAGCCGTGATGGTTGACCTTGTGCTAATCATCACTATAGATCCTCCACCAAGCCGATTTCACAATACCCGTTGAAATTGAAGGCAATTTCCATAACGTATATGTTATCAAACGGCCCGGGGTTGACCAATTCATGAAGCGAGTGGGCGAGCTCTACGAAGTCGTGGTCTTCACAGCGTCCGTGTCCAAGGTATGTGATTCGCGCCATGACCACTGTCCCCTCTGTATCTAACCAAGCGAATAGTACGGCGACCCGCTATTAGACCAGCTCGATATACACAAGGTTGTCCATCACCGGTTGTTCCGTGAGAGCTGTTACAACCACCAAGGCAACTACGTGAAGGACCTATCACAAGTTGGGCGGGATCTCAAGGAAACCATCATTATTGACAACTCGCCGACATCCTACATCTTCCACCCTCAGCATGCCGTACCCATCAGCAGTTGGTTCTCCGATGCGCACGACAACGAACTCTTGGATCTGATCCCCGTTCTCGAGGACCTGGCAGGGTCTGCTGTCCAAGATGTCAGCTTAGTGCTCGATGTCACCCTCTGAGCCCGAGCTCCTCTTTCATTCACGATCACGAAACTCCATACCGCATACCCTTACTACCATCGCGGAAGGCGTTTGGCTTCGATGATTCCGATACTCGATGTAGATGTACTGTTTAATTTATATACAGGAGTTGGACCGGCGCCCCTGCCCAGCTCAGAGCGACTCGCATTGACCATCGTCTGTGTCAAACCTGAAAACAGAACTTGCAGGAGAGAAGCTCGGAAGTGTGCAAATGGGATGGATCTGCTTGCGATACGGATTTTAAAAGCAGACAGACATGCATATGCTGTTCTAGCGTATCGAGGATCATGGGCCGGACACATCACGGGTAGGGGACACGGGCTCAGTATTCTCAACTTATCATGTCCGCAAAGCGTGGCGGACCGGGACGCATTACTCGCATAGAGTTTTAGCGATGTCGATTTTTGCCCAGGGCCAGGCGGTACTAAAATTTTGTTCTCTTTTCCTCTATTTTTTTTGTCAATTTTTTCATCTTGCAGCTTTTTGCACCTTACACATACGAGAAAGCGATTGTTTGGAGCTTGGGCCTGCTGGCCGACACCCGTACGTGGATTGCGGAGGAGATCAAGGGGGGGAAGAATACCGTGATGGATCAGCTTGTACCAGATCGTACGACCTCAGAACCAGAAATGCGCTTGAACAGTCTCCTGTTATAAAGGGGGCGGGCGGGCAAGTAGACCTCGATTTGGTTTGCGTGTAGAGGAATGGGGCGAGATAGGAGCATGTCCGCGCCGCACCTTCAGATACCTAGGTTGAGACTGCACTCCCCAAATTGATACCAAGCTTGATCAGGATACCCGTCTTAATAATACATTGCTCGTTGTGATCTCTCTCGCCGAGGGTTCGTCGGCTTTGATGGCTCACGGGGTCTCGGGTCCTGTTGGGTTCCGGTTCGTGATGGGGCTGCCTTTCGATCTTCGGCGTCTGAGGAGATCACTGGGCGCCCGGCGGGCAGGATGGTGTTTCTGGATGGGTTGGAGCTTAAGTAAAGAGCAGAGGGGGGGTTATCTTTATTTTCACTGCCGTGGTTTACATCGCGTTTGGGAGGACGTGTGATGATACGGCATTGAAGTGGTACGTGAAGCATGCGGGTTCCAGTCTCACGGAGGAGCATGTTTCTGGTGCCATTACTAACTACTATGTGGTCTTAGAGTTGAATGGAAACGGGTTTGTTCATAGTCTTTGCTTGTTTGACTATGTCATATATGCCTCACGGCAGGCTTTCGTATAAGGTAGATTAGTTTGGGGGGCTGTGTGACACTTGCCTCCTGTCTACGTGTGTGGCTCCTCAACCCATTTTCCAGCCACAATGACGGATGGGTCACGGACCAGGGTACAAGGTACCTTGGAGCCCAACTGGTACCCGTTTGTACCAGATTCGTACCCAACTGGGATGATAGCTACTTCTGGGATGGGGGAATACAGACCAATAGCCACCATTCGTGACCCTGGTCCTTATTCTGGATACCGCTACCACAAGGCACACGTGTACCGCCATCACATCCGTCGCCCTAAGTCCCTATATATGAATAACTTCATATCACCACCACAATTGCCTGAATGTACACACGTCCCATACATCTAGGAACGGTGCGTCCAACGGTGTTTGATACACGCCTTCTCATTGCTTGCTTGTCCGGTTTAGTGTTTAGTCGATATCTTGACTAGCACATCATCTGTCGAACAACGGCGCATCTTCGTCTTGGGAACCGCAACTGTCTTGCATGCTTGTACCCTTCTTCGACTTGGCACCCCCCTTGGACTCAGGGCCTTCCTCGCCGTCCTACTCATGATTCCAGGTGTGTATATGTTGGCAGGCCATTCCTGTAAGAACTTGCAGCGCTTCAAGCAGTGATTCTGGGAGAATTTTAGTCAGACTCCCGTAAAGCAACTTCTGAACGCAGCTGATCAAAGTACCTAGGTACCTCATGCAACTTCTGGCTCCTGCCTTTTGATGCTGCTAGGTGCCGGCAGTTTCCCAGGGAAACTGCGAAGAGCAAAACGTGGTTGCCTCGGGTACAGATATGCGACTTCTGCAAACAGCTGCCAGTGTTATCTGATTGCAAAACACCGCGCGCACACAATCATTCCATCCCTCGTCGACTTTCCGATTAGCAAGTAGACGCCTTCTCGCCAACCACTTGCCATCTCGTGTACCTTTCGGCAGTCAATGGTCAACGGCAATCTACCCCACCATCAGCCAGGTCATTGACGAAAAGCTCGCGGCGCAGTAGGTAAGCAAGCATTTCGTTATTGCCCTACTCGACCTTCCTCCTACGCGACCTTCCATGAAATGAGTCCTTGGGTCCAGGTGACCATACCACTTTCCACCTCGCCGCGCCGCGCCTGCAACTCCCCTCTCAAAGCGATCATTCATCTGACAGATCCAGTCCCAACCCGCAGACGTCACCATTGACTCGCTACCAAATGAGCTCTTGGACCAGATCGTCGGCAAACTCCATCGCCGTGATCTAGCGAATCTACTGAGGTGTAACCGGGATTTTTGCCATCGAGTCAAGCCAATGATCTACGCCTCCAAGCGCTCCCGAATGAAAGCTATGTTCTCTGGCTGCCTCGAGGGCAACATCGACACCATACGCCTGGCAGTCGATTATGGTGCATCCGAGAGTATCATCCTCTTGGGAAGGGTTTTGAGATATTTCTGGAACAAAGCTCTGCGTCAGCAGTTCCGGAACAGAACGCCGATCCGAGTTTTTGTCGCTGCACCTAGCAGCCAAGAGTAACGATGTCCCTACATTCAAGTTCCTCCTCGAGCTTGGCACAAGGGTGGATGATCCCGATGTCCACTTGAAACAGCTCAAGGTCTTGATGGAATGCCTCTGCAAACGCCACAACTGGGCTCTTCTCAGTCTGTTCCTACACGCCGGCCTCGGTTCACAGGTCATGCAGCGTTCCAAGAAGGAGCTTCCCATTGCTCTCATATCGCTCATCAAGCAAGAAGCGCCTCTACGTCTCGTAGGCCTTCTAATCGACCATGGAGCCGACCTCAACTATGTGCAAAGCGGAACAAAATCATCCACGGTCACCCCGTTGTCAACCTCGATAATGGTCGATTCAAAGACTAACTTCGAATATCTCCTGGGAAGAGGTGCAAACATCCATGGCCAGGACCTTTCACATCCAAGCAAGGTGGCAACACACATTCCTATATTTGCGGCAGCGCGTGTAGCAATCGAAAGGGGTCCAAAGTGGATAAACCTTCGCCTTGTAAAAAGAGCCGATATCAATCACTGTACCCCAATCCTGGAGAAACGACGTTGGGGCCCATTGTGGGGGTCTTGGGTACATTTGGGAAACTGGGAAGACCCGTCACCACTCGAGTATTACAACCGCACTCCGTTATTTGTCTACCTTGACTCCATCAACACCTGGGAGCCTAACCAGATCCCTAGTCCTGTGAAGGCGCTCAACTACCTCTCCAGCAAAGGAGCGTTGCTCAGACACCTTGAGGTTCCAGGCGCGGTCCAGGGAGGATTTAAGCGACTTGAGAGGTCTGAAACCGAAATGCTTCTACGAAAATGGGGTGCATCCTCATTGGCCAGTCCCGAATTCTTTACTTGCAACCAGTGGCTACTTGAGCATGGCGCAGGCGGGCCCCGGATGGGAACTCTGTATCGTCGAGGCATTCCATCGCTACCCGTGGCTAGATCTGACGGATGGGCCAGATTCCTGCGTCTATACCTCGGGGGGCCGGACTCGGATCCTAGAGAACGCAGCGCTCGGAATCGGCTATTGGGCAGCGAAATCGAGTGTAGAGAGCGGAAATTTGTCCAAGATATTTGGCAGAATGGGAGTGTTCCAGAGAGCACCACGCTCACCATCGACTGCCTCATCGCCAGCGGTGCGAACATCAACAGCGACAGCAATCTAGAAATCTTCATCCGGCTCTGTGAGAAACACTGTTCGGAAGCCTTCAGTCGGACTTACAACGAGCGTTTTCAAGAGCGACGCTTCTCCTTCATCGGTTTCCTGGTAACGAAGGGGGCTGATCCGATGATGAAAGGCGGGCCGGCGCAAAAGAGTGCGCTCCAAATGTTGGAAGAACTCAAGAACAGTAAGCGAAGTCGACGGCATAAAAACGAGGGACCCGTGGAAGTTGTCTTTGATTTCGCTACCATGCTCGCAAAGGAGCGGATCGTTTACCTGGAACGGAACCAGCCTATCGGTGTGGCGGCCTGATGTGTGTGCGAAGGCAGGCCATTGGCAGAACATGTAGCAGTAGAGCAAGCAGTGCTTGTCACCGAGTTCGCAGATGATCAGATCTCAAGTCAGCAGATTGAGATCAACATGATATGATGCCATCAACACTTCATCTCTGGACGGTGTCAGTAAGGGAGGAATACGAGTTGCCTTTACACCCTTGGAGGTACGGTGTGGACTTGGTAGAGGTGTCTACTCAGCACCGTCGTCTGCGCTGAGGCCTGTGGTATGTGGCATGCCTTTGCATAAGAGTATAGTGCTGTCCTCGTACAATCTGGCCTTCGATTTCGTCTATCAGCTGAAGTTCTTTGTCTTTCTTACAAGTCGCATTCCTGTTACTACTGACAGTGAGTGGCAACACTCCCTGTCATGGATGATTCCGATGATGAATGAGTGGATATCTTCACAGTCACAATCCACCTGTTGTGTCTCCTGGGAGGGTTGTGGTTATAGTCGACGCCTTGCGGACCGTGCCAAATCGAACAATTAACTCGCCCACGTCTGTGGCGGACTGTGGACATCCTCAATGACCTTACTTTCAATGTACGGACACCCATAACTAGAGAAATGCCGCCTAATGAGCCTATCTCCAGTGGTTATGCTTGAAGCAACTGCTCTTGTCAGGCAAGTGGGAGTTATTCGTTGGCCACTTCACGGAGCTCTTGCGAATCTCCGGCTCCTATTGACTTGAGTTTCAGGGATAAATTGATGTGATGTTGCGCCTCTGATACCAACCCCGACCTTGTATCAGCATGGCAGGAGGCAAATAAGTCCTGTCAAACAGTGCGTAGATGGTTCATATGGTGAAAAACGTGGTATTTAATGATTTCTGATCGTTGTTACGAAGGTGAGAAATCTGCTATAAAGTGTTATAATATATAAAAGTGCTTTAAGTACTGTATAATTATGTCGTTATTTTATTAAATGTTATTATAGCTTCCGCTCTATTTAATATACCTTTTTAAATGTCATAATTGTTTAATTTATTTACTAAAATCGTTTTAAAGCGAGATTTAAAGTATTTGTATATTACAAAGAATTTGAATTGTAATAATAATTTACATTTGTTTTTTAAGTTGTTAATTTTCAAAAAAGATATTTAACAAACCTGATTTAATTCAAATATAAACGATCCGTATTACAAGTGATAAATAAAGAAAACTTTATAATCTCGTGTTCTCATTAAAAGTTTTATTTGTTATACCCAGAAAATCAAAGCAAAGCTTCGTTTTAAGATTTTTTCAGTTCATTTCAAATGTATTTAAATTAAATGTTCAAGTTAAAATTTAAAAAACAATAAATTAATGAGAAAGACTGAATTAATTTTTAAATTTATAGTCATTTACTAATAATATAAATGATATTTCTTTTGAATAATTAAAGTATTCAATATTTTATTATTTATTAATTATTTATTTGACTACGTACGAAATAGCTGTTATTTTATTTAAAAAAATCAATTTTTTTACTTAATTATGATTTAACAACTTAAAGTATTTCCTATCATTATAGTTTAACTTATATTATTAGTTATTAAAAGCTCATTTTTATTTTTATTTAAATGAAAGTCTTTATATAAAACAAACTATATTATTTAATCTTGAATATTGATCTCTTTAAATAAATAAATAGGTTTTAAAAACGGTTAAATGGCAAATCTTTTTTGAGTAATACTTCTTTTAAGCAATTCGCTTTTATTTAACTTAAATATTAACTTTTTACGAAAAATTCCCTTTTTTTCAAAAATAGGCAAAAGGTTGCTTTTATCCAGTTTAAAATTTTACACCTTTAAAGTAAATGATTTGTTATATTTGAAGAAAAGTAAGAAAGTTATATTTATTTAGTTCTAAACGCCGGGCTTTTACAGGGGAAAAAATTTGAAAGCATGAATTTTTTTCTGTCCTTCTTACTTAAATCTAAACCCTATGTTTCTAAAATAGATATTTTATTTAAAAAGTTCAAACCACATAAAAAGTAAAAGTCGTTTTCACGTAGTTTTAAACCTTCGGTTTTTCAGGTTAATGCGGGATTTAAAAAAAACAAAAAAGGTAAAAACTAGTTTTCACTAAATTCGAACCTTGTACTTTTCAAGTAGATGCAGGAAAACAAAAAGTAAAAGTCTTTTTGATCACGATTCGAACACTGGGTCTTTAAGCTAACTACGGGATTTTAAAAAAAAGAAAAAAGTAACAGTCGTTTTCACCCGGATTCGAACCACGGGTCTGCATGGTATATACGGGATTTGGAAAAAAAAATTTGAAAAGAAAAAGGTCGTTTTTACTTAGATTCGAACCTTATGTTTTTAAAGTGCGTGGTTATAACGTGCATGAATAAGGCGGCGTAGCTAGTATAATAGTTAAAATGGTAGTATAATAGCCAAATGATCGCGTAGTAACAAAGTGTTCATTTTTAAAAGTATAGTATTAATCTTTATTTCTAATTAATTATAAATACTTTTCTATTTTAATACATTAAAATGACTTTTTAAAAGAAATAATGTAATAAAAAAAGTGAAATAGTTTAAGAGAACTTTAAGTATACTTCATTTTTAATCTTGAATTTTTTTAAATTAAAACTTTTTCTAATACATATTTTAGAATTTTATTTCTTATTATTTTATTAGTTTGGATTTATAAGATAAAAAATAGTCTTTAAACCTTTTATTGTAATCAATATACGGACATATCGACGTGTCAATCTTTATTTAAAACTTTATAACTTCGTAAATTAATAAATAAATAGTTTATTTATTATTGCATTAAAAATTGCAACTTTTCACAAACAAGAAGGGACTTTATATAAGTTATTGTAAATAGCTTTTTTTATAAAACATAATAATTAATAGTTTAGTGTTAAGGACTAAAATAGTATTAATATTTTATTCATTACTTCTCAGAACTATTAAGTTATATAATAAACAATGATATTTTTTAAAGATATGTTCTTAATATGAAAAAAGTATTCAAACACATTTTGACTATCGTATGATATAATTTTAGATATAATGTGAAAAAATAAAACACAATTAATAGTTTAAGTATAAGTAATTAAATGGGTTTATTTAAATAAAATAGAGTAACTGTAATAAAATCCAAAATTCTATAAATAATTTTAATTCTTGGTTTAAACTTATATATCGTTTGATTTTGCATTACTATTATTAAGATTCTAAAGTCTTTAACTTTTCTGAATATTTTAGAATTGTTAAGATATTTTTATTTATTTTTAAAAATAATTAAATAATCTTTGCGCTTTTATTTTTTACGATATATATTTTTAAAAATCATTTCAAGTTTTAGATTATTTGAATTTTAAGATCTTCTTTAAAAAGGCTATGATAAGGTTGTTATCTTTTTTATCTTTTTTATCATATTTTAATACAAGTCATTTTCCGTGAAAATGACAATAATATTGGTTTTAATTATTATATACGGTTTTCAAAAATATTTTTAGATTTTCAATTATTACAACTTTTCTTAAGTTTAATTTATTAAATAATAATATTTTTTTAAAACCTTGTGGTTACAAACCAACAAATACCATGGCCTGTTGGAGGGCCAAGAGGAGTATATCAAGAACCAATGGAATCAGAAGCCAGGAACGGAACAATGGGTATTACGGATTACATAACAAAGGTCACATGAGGGATCACTGGATCAGGGAGTGAGCCAGTGAGCATCACTCTGGGACAAGGTGATCCTATTCCATCAGTAAGGGAGAGATTGGATATATAAGGACGGATATTTCCCAGCTAGATAGATAGACAGTCTCTACCTCAATGATCAATCTAAGCATCTTAGCCAACCCTAAGGTGGAAGAAATCTCCTGACGCTTTGACTACACAGTGAACCCAGTTCAGACCAAGCCCCAGCATCTGAGTGTCTTCTAGTTGACAGAAGCCTATATCGTCTTTTGTGTTGACTTACCTCAGAACATAAACCCTATAGAACCCTTTAGCCTTATAGGTTAGACGGCTTGTCACAGTATATTAATACCTTAAGTAATAAATTTTTTTACATTATTATATTTTCAAATAAACTTAACTTATTATAGTTTATAACGAACTAGCTTTTAAAAGGGGTTTAAACCGTTTAAATTCCTTAATATCATTAAATACTGAAAAAGTAAATCTTAAATTAAAATAAAACAAATAAAATAAGTAATTGTCACGATTCCGTAAATGTATTGCAAGGATATAGGGACCCTTATTAACTATTGACGTATAACGAACTCTGGTTCAAGGAAAAGAAAGATCTGGAGATGCACCCGAATTGGTGGGCAGCTAGATGTGGACAGTCGTCCCCCACCAGACCTACCAAGGCATGGATCAACCTATCGTCCGATCAGTTACTTGCTCAGTCACGTGACCCGGGGACTATAGAGACCATCGCTAGACCTGATGGATGGTAGAACTATCACAGTAATAATAATTCAAGTAACATATTTCGTTAATTATTACTTTTTATATTATATAATATTAAATCTTTTTTCCCTTGTAATATACACTTCGGTTTTTGGGGTTTTTAAAAAAATTCAATTGTCACAGAATAGCAATTGACCACCACACCAATTGGCTAAGCTCCCCACAAAAGGATGTGGAATATTCAGGATGGCAACTGAATATTCTATGGTGGTAGATATACCTGACGTTCCACGGGCTCCAGGGCTCTGTCTCATTCGGACATACCTGTACCGTATTAGAACGTCACATCAATTTTGTAATATATTCCTTTCAAAGCCTGAATATTCTTTTTATAAAGGTTAAAAACGTTTAAAAAAATTCTTGAAAATACCCTTTTTTAATAAGTTAATTTCAACTGAATATTATATATATATAGTCCTTAATATATAACGTTGTTCATTATAATTATAAAATTTTAACTTTCTATTTAAATATCCTTTAAAAACAATTTTAACTTTTACTTTCTTTTTAATATATAAATCTTAAATAAAAGCTCTGTTTTATCGGATTGTAGTTAATTAGCTAATAAAATGACTATTTTAAAGCCTTTCTAAACCTTTTAGAACCTTTAGTTACTTATACACGAGCTAATCGTAAAGCGATAGCTAATTTTGAAACAACAGGTAATATTTAAACTATTACAAATATATTTTAAATATAGGGTTTTCACGAAATTATTAGCCTATTTTTGTAGCGTAAACATAAAATATTTAAATTTAAAACATCGGTTTTATTATATTCCAGATCTTATAAAAAGAAATATTAATTATAGTTTTCTTATTCGCGTTAAAAGGTTGAAACCCAAAAAAAACATTTTTGTTTATTATTGTTTTATAAAATATATCTGTTATAAAAGGCTTTAATAATTATATTAAAGAAATAAAATATTTACGAACTATATCGCTTATTTATAAAAATATCTCTCTTATAATTAACATTGTGTCTTAAATATATTTTCACGTTGATAATCGTTAATATTTACTCTTTGTATTATATATATATATATATTTATTTATATTTATACTATGTTTTAATAAAAGCCTTTTTACCTCTTATTGAAACGATATAAATAGTAGCGCCATTATAGAAGTTTTTAAATGTTGAAGTTTTCGATAATAATAATAATAGTTTAAAATTGTTATTTTTTAAATCTATTGAGTAATAAAAACTCGATACTACTAACTTTATTGTATTAAGAATTTTAGGGTTTTAAATTATTCAAGACGGCTTTTTTATACAATTTAATAAACATATTATTAATCGTATATATTTATTTTTGTATTCTTTACGTAAAGTGAGGTAAGAGTTAATAGAAAATTAGTTACTCTCATATTGATTTATTTCGAAATATCCGTTATTTAAAAAAGTATTTATTCATGTTAACTTATAATTATTAAATACTAGAAAAATAGTTTATACAATAAATAACAATAATCTTTTATTAATTTTTAGGGGTTATTATAAAGTAAAAAATTTATTATAAAATGTTATATGATGTTAAAAAGCTTTAAGTGCTTTATAATTATATTATCACCTTTATAAACGTTATAATAACTTTCGCGCCATCTAATAAGTATGGTCTATAGTAATATAAAGGTTTTACAACTTAGCTTTAATATAGGATTAGATTTAATATACTTAATCAGTTTAATGAAACCTACTTAAATAGAACTCGCGCACATTAAACTCTTCGCATTTAATTCGAAACTTATGAACCGAGTGAAGTAACAGATCGTGCTCTAGATAAGCTCTAAGAGACCCACCATACAAACCGGCGTTGCTTTAGAGTCCTTCCCGTTTTCCGCTCTAATACACCGAAGCGACCATTCATACCAGGCCCAGCATCTGCGGGACTAGAAAGCACTGCATATCGCCACCTCCCACCAGAATTGAGCAAGTAAACCCCAATGTGGAATGGCTACCTCGGGGGATGATGCTCGTCGATCATAGAGCGTGTCCCTCGGGTCAGTTACAGCTGCTGCGATTCTAGATGTGAAATGTATAATCAAATGAAAGGCCGAGTGCCGTGGAACTTGACGTGTCCTTGTGGTTAAGTTGATGCTTTCGTCTGATTTTACGATTGGATACTGCTGAAAATGTTGATTTTACATGGGTCCACGGGGGAAGGGGATTTGGCCATGGTCAATCAGTCGTTGACTCTAGTTGTTTTCCTGATTTTGATGTCTGAGCAGTAGATATCTTTGGCCACCTGGATGCTCGATGTGATCGATGGTGTCCTGGCGTACCAAGCAAGCACTACCCTTAGAGGCCTGGATCTTCCGCCTTCCAAGACTCATTGCTAACCATAGTTGTCAGCCTTCATGCAATCAAGGTGCCGTCGCCACTACAGATGTTGGCCCAGTGTTTCTCTCCTTCGTAGTCGGGTCTTTACATGAACACTGTGAAACAGCCTGTAGCAATTCAGAGCTATGTTACGGCTCGACATTTATCTAATTCACGTAGTTGATACTGGCAAGCCGGGTTCATGGAGTGAGTCTTGTAGGTAATGCAAGTCCCATCCCCGCCTCTTCTGAGCCACCCAGATACAGACGGGGGCAGAAACAGGGACGGACCTGCCGATTAAGGCTGTATCGCGTATCAACTGCTGCTAGACATGTGCATCTTGGTTAAAGGAAAAGTCAATTCATCATCAGCCCCCGAGCTCCATAAGGGAAGCCATGTGACCCATCTGTAAGCCGAAGAAAGCAACGCTAGACACTGTGTAGCTGTATCAGTTTGCACTGCAGCTAGAAGCTATGATGGACTGAATCATGCCATTTTGGGGTATCTCTCGGAAAGCTATGTAACTTAGGTATCCGAGATAGAAATCCATTCCCCAGCCCTCCCTGCCACCCTCGTAACCACTATTCATGATTACTAATGCTAGGGGAAAATCGTACTGACCGCAATCCTCAGCTATCTATCCCATGGTCGGAGGACTTCATCTTCCAACCCAGCAGACTGATATATGGTATCCCCGAGTATGGAAGGTAGATGTGAGATGAGGGATAGAGAGTGTATCGTAGATGAAAGGTGATGCTCCTGTTAATCGTGATTATGCGCGAGATCGTCCTCCTGGTCCAGAATCCAGCTCAGGGGTTCGTGTAGGGCATGCCACCCCAGAGAGGGGACTGTGTCGTGGAAGAAGCTCGATATCAACGACACACTGTGGTACCATCATCCCGACGAACGAGGTATTCAGACGTCGGTACCCTTCATCTTGATCTCCATGATCTCCTCGTCAGTGATCGGAGTGCAGCCGCCACAGGTGCAGCGGAAGCCCCAGGCACGGAAGAGGTCGTAGGATTGCGCGGCGTAGCGGATCGTCAGCTCGGTGCCGGCGGGGACGGTCTTCTTGGTGGTGAAGCAGATCAGGCCCTTGAGATCGATGCGGTACTCGACGTTGTTGCGGCTACGGCAGGCGTGGTTGAAGCGGGAGCCGAGGAGGAAGAGGGCACCGCCACCGGGGACATTGAAGCTGATTCAGGGTGTTAGTGATGTCATCGAATGGTGTGGGTGGGTGTGTTCATGGCATTTATGATGGTATCTGGGGGTCTTAGACGTATATATACGACAAAAAAGTCGATGACTCGGGATGAGAAGGGTGTAAATCTTACCTGTTGGTTTTGAACAGAGCAGCAGTGCGATCCTCCATAGGGTTCCGTTCGAACGCCACAAGACGACGGAACGCCTTCTCCTGTTCTGGTGTCAAGTTGTCAATCTGGTCGTACAAGTCCGTTGCGTTGGCGACGAACGCCTGCTTCTCGACCAGGACCGTCTCGTACGGCAGGAGGTCTCTTATGGCGAAGACACCGAAGCCCGAAATAGGGGACTTCTTGACCTCGAAAGAGCCGTTGCGGAAGCGCTCTGTATGAATTGGTCTGTCAGCACACGTTCTCTATCATCGTGAGATTGCGAGGCTGCTTACCGGGATCCTTGCAGGATTGGGGCCACCTTCCATCCATGTTGATGATGCTGGTCTTCTCCAATGCTCGAGCGGCTTCGGGTGTCAGCTGGGCACGAGCAGCCTCGGAGGCCAATATAGCTTCGGTGCCTTCGGGGGTAAGTGGTTCTTGTGCGCGCACCAAGGCGGCCAAGACCGGATTTATGGGCCTGCTCCCGTCGTTACAGAGACCGGGCAATGTGATCGGTCCGAAGGCTGTCATCACCTGACAGTCGTCGACAATCTTATCGGCGCTGTACATCGATTAGCTAGGTTGTTGGCGTTGTGTAGGTCCGCCAAGGTATTCATACTCAAGCTTGAGGCGGTAGTGGTGAAGTCCATCGATGGAGGGCATTCTCTCAATGAAGTCCAGCTTCTCGCACGGGTTCGTGAGGTTGGCATGTCGGCTACCGTAAGCGTCGGCTACGCACTCGATTGTCAATGATGCTGGGCGTTAGCAGTCTCTGTCTAGGAGCTTACCACTTCGGACAGTCACCTCGCTCTGCGAGTCAGTGGATTTGGGAGGCGGGACTATTGTACACTGGTTAGTGCAAGGTCATATGCGCATTTATATCATAATTCACACACCGTAGTGACCTCGATGGAGGCCTCTGACGGAGACTGACTCGTCAGGGAAGATGGTTAAGTCGTCATCAGAGAACAGGGAATCATCGCTGTCCGAGCTGTCGTCGTAATCCTCGGTCTCCACGGTGCCAGTGGTGGTGGCGTAGCTGCTGGGGCGAGCGGTCTTCTTGGCCTGAGCCCATTGGTACATCACCGGTCGGAGGTACTCCTGCGAGAAGACACATCAGGAACTGTCATTACAGGGTGACAAGAACTCACATCCGGGACGAGCAGAGGGCGTCGCTTGCCTTGTTCGTTGGATTGAATTCCACCATGGGCACAAGGGCCTCCTCCGATTTGGCCTGCTCCCAGCATTATGGGCAGGAGTTTCGTTATTGGCGAGATGGGAGACTGTTCTGCGTGCACTGAATCAATGGCTCAACCCGATGCTGATGGTATCACTGAGCTGGTTAGTGGTGTTATGAAGAAGGAGATAGTTGGTAGAACGCCTAGTGGAGGAAGAGGTAGGTGAAGGGAAGGTGACGGTCGCAGCCTACGGTGACTGAGAATTGGTCAATAGAGAGAGTGAGGTGACAGTGATGGATGGTATGCACGGAGAAATACGGTCAGGGTGATGAGGGAAAAGGAAGTTCATCCGTTGAGGAGTGGACGAAAAGGGGGAGGCAACAAAAGGGGCCAAAGCTCTTTAGGTCACTTTGCAGCTTACGCCTCAGTCGCGTGCTCGATCCTCGGGTCCTTACCTCCCTAATGGTATTAATTTGCTGTGGAATTGTCAAATTGGGTTGTTGAAAAGATGCCGTGAAGATCGCTAAGAGGGCAGTTGCTGGGGAAGAATCGAGGTGTAGGTGAGGAGAGGGTAGTCAAAATGAGAGGTAGCGAGGTACCTAATATGTAGCCAACTCCCCGATTGTCGCATCGGTTCTCACCGATACTGTGGTGTAGTGAGATGGAGTTAAATGTAATGGCATTTGGGCTTGGCTTTTCCCTTGCGGTCGAAGAGCTTAATGATAAAATGAATCGTGGTGAGACGTGAGGTCAGGGTTGTCACGTGGAGAGGGTTGCTGTATCAGAGTAGTGGTGGAGAGGAGGCAAGGGAAGGTGCGGCAACCACAAGAGGCAGTCGCGGCATGTAAGCTCAAAATAGCCCCTTTTCCAGGCGACTCAATCAATTGGTGCGAAAACTCAGGACGCTTTGACATGAGAGGTAACGGTATCTCCCCGATTGCACTCACCTTGGATACCTGATGGATTCCAGTAACAAACAGCATGACAACCACTGTGTGACCTCCGTGAGGATGTTCATCAAGGCCAAGTCGGCGTAAGGCTGCCCTTTCAGATGACTGGGCCACAAGGATGTTAATAGGGTGAAGCAGCGGGAGTAGGTAGTGCTTTGTGAATTGATATTAATTCAAAGTGTGGCAGGGAGGAACTAGTTAGGCCATGGTCATCGCTGAAACCACTCTCAATGGGATTTTGTCTCTGCTACCATTGATACCAGACAATGGTTGTGAGACAACAAGATGATGTGTGGGGGCAAGGGAACGGCTGTGCTTGAATTATTTGATGAATTTCTGGAATGCCTGGCGCTAAGGCACGTCGTTCTTGCCTTTCAGGGAGATAGATTATGGCCGTTTGAAAGAGTCTGTCTCGAAAGGAAATTCCGAATCAACAGACTCAAGTAAACTTAAGAATTTGGTGTCAATCTAGAAGCATAATTGGACGAAAGACCCAGCTGCAAGTAAGGCGAACTTCATTATCAGTTAAAACGGATGGCACATTAAGTCGCCTATATGGAGACGGCAGCAGCTTCATCAAGAGGCCCGACAGATGAATCGGATACTTGCCAAGCATGATCCACTGCAAACGAAGCAGAGCCTCCTGCATAAGATATGTCTCAAGCCGAATCGCATCTTTGTTTCCAGTGTTAAGATCGGAGTACCGCTCGTTGGTCAAGATAACCGGAAGCCGTGGGCCCAACCTCTACAGCATCAACTGGGGACTGTTGAGCTCTGTTCCCTCGTCAAAGAGGCTATCCCCACCCGGTGACTTGGAATCCTATGGTGAGAAGGTCGTTGCTTTTGATACAGCGTCTTCCACCGCTACTGCTCCCGCTATGACCAATCTATCTGCCAAAGCGAGCAACGAACGAGGTTAATCTGGCTCTCTGGGGTCCCTTCCATACCTCGCCATTACCCAGAAGCTCAAACAGGTGGCTAACTCCCGTATCACCAGCCTGATAGACCTTGATATGATCTGAATCGCCTCGTGCCAGGCAGGTTCATTAGACTGGTGTCCGATGCAGATGTCTCTTTGAAGACTTAAGAGCGTTTGATCCGGTCGACCCACCTTTCATCTATACAGTTCTGTTTGAACACGTCTGGAAGCCAAAGGTGACTGACTGTACCTGCATACCTAATCACCTGGGATAGGAGGCATATCTTCCGTGCAGGCAGCCGCAGGTCTGCTTGGCTGGCTGGCTGCCTATGCATGCAGCTGGAGAATGAGAATGGCTGGTCCGATGGCCGAGACGGTGAGCAACGAATGTTGCAAACGAGTTACCTCGGTCCCCACAAAGGCTCCTCCTGGAGCTGCAGGTACATAGGAACTACCCAAGTGCACCATACCCTCCAATAATCTTACAAGCTGGGAACTATTTTGAATACGGGACCATCTGGCACATGCAGACAGCATGTCCACCACCACGTAGCTCAGGGGCAAGAAACCCACCTGCATTAGTACCAGACGTGGCCAACAGCCCCCAATGTACTACCTGCAGTAATGCGTAAATGTTCCGCCCCAGCCAACTCCTTCGAGTCTAGGGACGCCAGGCGACCAGGCTGGTTTGATTGATTGATTGTATTTATCGTGGGTCCAGTCCCTCCATAGGGCAAACCACGCCTCCCAGAGCCATTGCATCGCAAGGTTGTAGAGGTGTCAGTCTAGATACATTCAGATCCGCGCACGAGCCTATCCTTGCTGTAGGATACCAACCTGGAGTGACCAGATGGTTTTAGTCAATACCCAGGCACGATTCTGTCAGAAAAACCTCCTGTTCAGTGACAAAGCGACCCAGTGAACCTCAGTCCTCTGGTGTACACATCGTTCCAGTAGCCGTTCGATATATGTCGCATTGGTGGGTGAAATAGGTGTTTGTTATCTGCTGGCGAGGGAAACCATAAGGGGAAAAACCTCGCAGGAATGGGTGTTGTGGAGACAAGCTGCTTGGCTATCGGGTTCTGTGATAAGGGGCCTCTCTATTGTCGTGTGCTGGTTGTCGACTCGCACAAGCCGGGTCGGAAGGGGGCCATAGCAGGATTCGAACCCACTTGTTCTTGTCGCCCACCGCACAAACGAGAACACAACCAGGCGCATTTGACCATTGCGCCATACGGCCGCGACCAGGCTGGTATTGGAGGGTCAGCGCGGGACTCAGCCCGGTGATGTCGGGGCCAGTGTCGTTGTTAGAACCTGGACCCGGTACACCACGTGGTAAAATACCATCCAAGGATTCGGTACACCGGTCTGGGAGCGGGATCTCAGGTTTAACACGTGGGAGAAGGTGATTTGTCAACGACAGTTGGCTTGATCGAAGGGTCCAAAACCCTGCTCGAATATTTATGTTGTAGTGGATCAGCGTCTGTATTATGGTGAAGTCATCTGCACGTTGACCTCGCAGATGTTTCATAATTGCTTCTCTGACCCAAACCGCGTTCAGTAAGTGTTCGGGTTACGCCAGGTATCGGCTTTCTCATGTTGGCCTGATGGCATGAGCAACGCCGTTTGAGGGCCCTTGCGGACCGTCGTGTTGGTTTGCGGGACGTGTGTCAACGGCGTAATCAATGTTTCATCCAGGGTGATTGAAGGCTCTGACGATGAGCCCCTAAGTTGGCAGTTGGCGCGCTACTCAGCCCAGAGTGATAGAGTAACATCGTGTTCTCCCCAACGCAAGTCGCAAATAGACAGGCAGGGAAGTAACAAGTCCACGGGCAACCAGCCATACACCGTCAGATGCGCAGACGCCGTCCCTTTGGTTCGGAATGGGGACGTGGCACATCGAAGGGCGTAAGCCAACAACACAGCACCAGCGCCCCTATCAGCCCCGTCATCTATGGCAAGGCGGTGCAACAGCGCTGTGTCATGCGGCAAACGGTAGTGCACGAAGACCTGTCGCATGCGCCGCAAGTCTGCATTGCGCATCTTTCCGATCCGGGACCTTGCGCCGCAAGGTTGCTATGTGGCTCTGTCTTCCTATCTTGGGAGTCGCAACGCCCTTCCTGACAGCTCTGCAGTTCCCGGTTCCGTGGCTCAGATCGCGACCTGCAGTTGACCCACAGGCTACCAGGGTTGACGGGCCCAGTCTTGCTATTGAATCGCATGTGGTCTTGGCGCTGACTGCAGTTTGCCTCTCCTTCAGCGACCACGTGCGCGGCGCGGTCGTAAGATCGTTCGGAATTTGTGTGGTTTTGGAGGCAATGGGGCGCCATAAGATGGTCCTGAAGGTTGATAACTTATATTGGAGGATATTCACCAGCTAACCCCTCCCGGCTAGTAGTGAGGTAGAAGTAGGCCAAGTGAACGAGGACTTGAAGCCTTTGAAAAGAGATGACGATATTAACTTACGAAAACTTCGTCGTTGAGTTGGTTGCTAAGGTTGCAAGGGTCTTGGTAGGTTAATTTAACGTTGATATTGACGTCAATCCACATCGACTGTTGATATCCGTGATGTTGTTCTGGCCCTCGATCCGTCGATACGCGTAAGGTTCCTTGAGTATTAACGCCATGGGCTTTATCTTGCGGATCCTCATCACATATGTCACTTGTTGGGTGTTACTGAGGCTCTCGGTGTAAGTTAGCGGTGTGTTTGAAAAGGGTCCATGCAGGGGCTTTGTCGCCACTGCATATCGTGGGAGCTTGATTGGGTTAGAAACTTACGGGAAGTGCAAATCGCCCACTGCTGTGTCGTAGTGTGATCTTTCGTGTTGAACAAACCTGCGCAATCAGCTTATGGGTGGTGCCGGTGGTGACTGATGTCGATAGCAGGCTTTCAAGTCCTACTAATAATAAATGACATCGCAATGACTACGAAGGTTGGTTTGATGAGGTGTCAGCTGGGCGCCGAATGTTGCAACCGCCCCCAACTTTGCCGCTGTCAGCTCACCGCCACATAAAGGGACTGGTGTGCTGACTGACCTTGACGCCGTGGTAAGCCTGAATACTACACAAACACATTAGACTGGCCAATGGCCATCGTGTCCTGCTACGCTACAAGCTGACGTGCAGCCAAGACAGCAGACTGTTCAGCTGTAGCCTGTCGTCGGCCCTTCCCATCCTAGGCGGCGCTCCTCTGAATAAGATTCCAGGGTCTAGGTAATCCTTCCTGAAGTTGAGATAGAGATCTCTCAATAAATTCATCCAAACCCCGCCTTCAGGACGGTACGCCTGTGGACAGGACTGCCCCGACCCCTTTGCACCCCGCTCGACCCGATGACTCCGATACCATGATCCTCGTCTCGTTTCCATCATAGTTGCTCCTGATCACGACTCATTGACCCAGCAGAGCCTTACGCCATCATGGTCTCGCCTGCGGAAGAAACTCCAATTGCGCTGGTGCTGTCTCAAATTCCGGCTTTGGAGCCTCCGCCAGGGGAGACCCCCAACTTCATTGATCCCACGTCGCGAGCGCAGCTTGCGAGAATAGTGATAAGCGTGACTTTACCACTCATGCTGCTTTTCCTGGCGGCTCGGACCTACACTCGTGTCAAAATATTTCACGCTCTTGGCGCAGACGACTGTAAGGATCGCCCACTCCTCGTGGCAGAAGCATGCTGATTGAATGTCAAGATCTCTGCATTGTCGCTGCTGTTAGCATCTTGTTCCGATTGGCCTGACTTATCTGATCAAATTCGGTAGGCCTCTGTTGTCGCGTACTCTGGCGTGACATTGACACGTATGTTGACGATATCCCTGCCTTTCTCTCATACTCACTTCTCTGTGAATTGTGATAGTCCTTGGTCATCCTCTTGGGCCGCATCAGTGGGATGTTCCCCTCAGCCAGTTCAATGCCGAATTCCTCAAGGTAGTAGCCTCTTTCTCCGCCACCAGAATCAGTGATACCTTCGGCCCCCCTGTACCTGACGCGCTTCTAGGGCACACTTACGTCGATATGCCTCTACGCGATCAGCTCCCTGTTTGTCAAGTCGGCGCTACTCGTACTTTATCTTCGCATTTTCCGTCCCGTCGAGCGGGCGACCAAGATGATATGGGCAGGGATCATCATCATAGTGCTCTTCTACGTGATTACGATTGTGTTGAACATCATCGACTGCGTACCGATCGACCGGACCACGCCCGTCCCTGATGCCGAAGAGTGGGAGGCAAAACTGAAAGAAAGCCACTGCTCCCAGCCCGTTTACAATCTCTCCGCCGCGCAAGGAGTCTTCAGCGTCATATCAGATTTCTATGTACTACTCATACCCATGAGCTTGGTCCTAAAAGTACGGCTTCCGCTAAGCCGTAAATTTGGCATCGCAAGCATCTTTCTCACCGGCCTTTTGTAAGTGCAAAGCCTCTTGATTGCCATTAAACCGAGAACTTACCTAGCACAGGGCTTGCGCATTATCGGCAACGAGCACGGTGTTCCGGTTCAAGCAATTGAACTCGTATGACTTCACGTGGGATTCGATCCCCATTTACACATTGCGGTACGTTTCATGCACCGTCAAGACTATGTTCTCTTCGGGCCTGGGTCTGATAGATTCCCCATTAGTGCGGCGGAGCTCAACATCGGCATCATATGCAGCTGCTTGCCCGTAGTCTTTGTTTTGCTGAAGAGGGTCATTCATTCAGACCACTTTGGATTTCTGAGGCGACGCATCACGCCGGGTCTCCAACGTGGGACACAATCACCAAGCAACCCTGTTACCAGCCAGATGAACGAATATCGATTCGCCAATGGCATCCCAAGAGGGGAGTTGCCAGTCCGTCCTAGACCGGTCGCAACGCATCTCCGATCCTTCGTCCGGTCAATACATAGCTCGAACCCCAGACACACGAGCCAGGCGTCGAATTATGCAGAGATTGCCTCGATTGACAATGGATCTTCTACGGAGCCTCGCAGGGGCTAAGTCCACTGGGGCGGCGTTCTGGTTTGCAATGGATCCTGGGCGAGCTTCCTGCTGACACGTCCGTTTCGAGATCACGTCTAGTGGAGATCCGACCGTATCGATGCAGGTATTGACGTCGATGTCCAACGGCTCCGGGCATGCTCGCCTGACGGTACATGACCTACGGACTTGGCACAATGTGTTGTCGCATCCCAAGTAGCATAGGATCCTGTTTACGCGGTCCTGCTTGCGCATGGGGCAACCTGTGAAGCTGACAGAGGTGAACCCGTGGTGAAATGATCTGGTACACTAGGTGTACGTCTGGTTAGACACAAAGGAAAAAAAATATACTTGCTGCGTGGGTGACGGATCGCGACCAGGCATATGTACCGTTTTGATTGCCAAGTTTTCAATCTTCAGGACCTGCGGAACTTGCAGACCAGTTCAATGAACCCGCCCTGCCGGTCTCAGGAGCGCAAAATGGTCAATCTTCACTAGATACGATTTGGGATATAGTGAAAGTGATCGCCACTGTCAACGGAGGTTCAATCATCATTTGATTTGCAAGGCAGGTCTGCAACTCGACGCCGCACGGAGCCCCTTTTCCGGAGTCACTAAGCGGAGTGAGGACCGACCGGAGTCTAACAGACCTCCGTCTTATCACCGAGTCGCCTATGCATCCAGCGACGAGTAGAGCCAGCATGTTCCTCCGACACCACGGGACGACGAATGGCAATGTCTCCCCCGTCTGGTGCAGCCGGTGTAGTGTAAGTGGTTTGTTTCAGTGCTCGTGTTTACGAGAATGCGAGGTAGTAGGTTACGGTCATCATCAAGAAATATAATGTCCTAAACCGTCAAGTAAACGAGTTTCGGCAGTCAAACTTCCGGGTGGCATATTTGATCATAGCCCAGCACAAACCTACTTCCATCAACATGACGACCATGACCGTTAAGCGTGAGATCCCCAACAGCTTTGCCGCTCCGGCGGTAGCTCAGGGCTACGAAGAGCAGCTCCCGGCTATGACAGCCGTCGCCAAGACCACTGTCACGCTTGCACCTACGGTCACCTCTGAATCAGTCATCCACGACAACGCATGCGGCCCAGGCGTCGTCACCAGCGCCATCCTGTCCCAATTCAAGGGCAGCGGCCAGTCAGCGCCAAAGATCATTGCGACAGATATCGCCCCCGCCATGGTCGAGCTGGCTGCCAAGAACGGTCCGACCGTCGACGCCCGCGTCATGGACGCGAAGAAGTTGGACGCCATCTCTAGCGGAACACTCACACACTCATTCACCAACTTCCTATTCGTGCGCGGCTGGGAAGAGCAGGATATGGTCAGTTTCGCATCTGAGATCTACCGTACCCTTGCCCCCGGCGGCACCGCCGTGAAGGCCGTGTGGAAATACCACGAATGGCACAATGTCGTCAGAGATGCCGCCGTGAAGACACGAAGCAATGGTGCAGACCTCATCCCGCAGCAGCCGTGGTCCGAGGAGATGGTTCGCGACGTCTTCATCAAGGCGGGCTTCGACGCAAGCAAGGTATCGCTCACCAGCATGGCGGTTATCCCATAGGCCCCAGTAGACTGGGATTCTGGTGTTTAGAAGGGCTTGCTCTCCACTATCAATGCTGGTGTGATGCGGAAATTGTCCGAGCAGGAAAAGGAGCGCTACTTGGCCAACCTGAAAGAGAGGGTTGAGAAAGACAAGAAGAACCCGGACAATAGATATATGCCAGTGTGTTCGGAATAGGTCAATCAACCATCGAAGCCGATGGCTCGTACGAATCCCAGGAGCGCCGAAACGTGCATCAACTGAGCCAAAAAGGATGATCCCGATACAAAACTCCGGCGCCGAGAAGCCCGCTGGGCTTACAGCATGGAAGTATACTTGTCTCATTCAAGCTGACTAAAGGAGACAATCGAAAGTGGAAGAGTCCGCATGGGTCGTCATTGTGAAGAGTTACAAGGCATATAAGGGGTTCAAAGCCATAACGACGACGACTCCCCCCCATCCGAGGCACCAATCACCACGACCAAACCTCCTTCCATGGTTCTGAAAGTTCCAACATGCAGCTCAGCAGCAATACCGTATTCAGGTGGCGGTTATAGGCGGTGGCATTATCGGTCTAATCACTGTTATGGGTCTCATGAAACGCAACATATCCGTCAAGATCTATGACCAAGCACGATCATTCCGCGAAATCGGGGCAGGGGTGGCTTTCGCACTCCAGTGCATGGCACTGCTAGATCTATCGATAGTCGACGCCGTTAACGCGGTAGCCACGCCAAACGGCGATGATGCGAACAATCCGAATGACTACCGGCGGTATCACGACGGGTATCACTGGGACCCCGAAGACCCCGAAGGGACGGACGACAAGCTCCTGTTCCTCCTGCACTCAGGGTATAAAGGCTTTCAGGGATGCCATCGTGCCGCTCTACTTGACGAGCTTGTCAAGCATATCCCTGCGCATGCAGTCGAATTTGGCAAGCGCTTCGAATCCTACGTTGACACGGGCTCGGGGCAGAAGGTGCTTTTGCAGTTCCGCGACGGTACCACGGCTGAAGCAGACGCTGGTACGTACCACCACTGGAATAGTCGATCGTCTATCATCTGACTCTTTGATATACCGGTAGTAATTGGCTGCGATGGGATCAAATCGAACGTTCGACGACTCAGCCTGGGGGCTGAGAACCGGGCCTCGTACCCACACTTTAGTCACAAGGTCGCTTACCGCGCACTCATCCCCATGGAACGCGCAGAGCCGGTGTGAGGGCTCATTCAAGGCGCGGAATCAGCACATGCACATGGGACCTAGTGCACATGTCCTGCATTTCCCTGTTGCAGGTCACACCGTGCTCAACTTCGTGACGTTTGTCGACGAGCCGGCCGACTGGCCTTTGGGAGACCCGAGCGGCGTGGGCAACATGACTGCGCCAGCTACGCGACAGGACATGGCTCGCGCATTCAAGGGCTGGCGGCCGACGGTGTCAAACCTTGTAGAACTATTACCTGATGAGATGGACCAGTGGGCGATATTCGACACGTACGACCATCCAGCTCCCACGTTCGTCCAAGGACGTGTGTGCCTAGCTGGGGACGCGGCCCACGCCTCGTCGCCGCATGACGGCGCGGGTGCTGGCATCGGCGTCGAGGACGCCCTGGCACCCCGCACACTGCTGGAGAAAGCCACGGCGACTTTATCCCAGCACCCAGAGGCAGATGTGGCCTCGATCATCGAAAGCTCATTCAGCGTTTACGACAAGGTGCGACCGCCACGCAGCCAATGGTTGGTGAAGAGCAGCCGTAAGGCATGCGATATCTACGAGTGGAACTACCCTGATACGAAGACGGACTGGTACAAGTGCCTCAGCGAAATCACGGCTGGATCGCACAAGCTTTGGTACTTTGATATCCAGGGCATGTTGCGGGAGCTGAATGAAGGGTACCAGGATCTTTTCCCTGCCGGGTATGTCGCCATTGGTTCGGCGAAGCTCTCCATCGGGCTGGAGAATGGTAATGTACAAGCAGCGCATTGAGACGTTGGTGATTCGGCATGTTGCATGATGCACATCATTGGCACTTAGCATTCCCAACACGCTACGATCCTGAGTGTACCGCCACCCGAGACTTGTCTTATCTACAGCTTATGCTCTGAATGATCTTTGAAGATGCCTTATAGCGTGTGCGCTGCCCACACGGGGGTTGGATGATTGTCGGCATTCCAAAGCTGTGCTGAGGCTCGATGTCGTCGCTCATGTCCGATAGAAGGACCGAAAAGAACCAGTTGTTACACCGTCGACTACACGATAGCTGCACTTTCTGATGCATTCATGTCAGATGAAGTAGACAGTGCGCACCCTGTACTGTATTGGAAATGTGGCTTCTTTACATGAGTCAGATTTCTCTCAAATAGACTGGTGTAGTGATAAACGAGACAATGCCACATCACACCACCATACACCACGCCTAGTTCAGCTCCAAGGACGTTCCCAATTCCTCCTGCAGGACATGACGAATGAACTCCAGAAACCCTCAAGCGCTCGAAGCTTCTTGATATGCCTCGTTGTAGTTGACCGACAAACACAATCTCCCTTGAAAAGTCCATACATGCAGCAACATCTGCCGCGTCATCATGCTCACCCCAAAGCGAAAGTCTGTCACCTTTACCGCGCCTCCGCCGCACTCGCCGGCCAAGTACTTCTCCACGACCCCCATACTGCTCAGCGTGACATTGCTCGGCGGCTTCGGAGGCGCGCCTCCCTCCCGGCGCCCCTTGAACATCGCGTTGAAGTGTTTGTCCGTCGTGACCCGCATGGCCTGGACGAACCGCTCGCTGTACCAGCCCTTGTAGTATGCCGTGAGTTGTTCTGTCTTCTGCTGGAGCGTGCTGTCGCGATCCACCACTGGAGTCACGCCTGTGACGTAGACCTGCACCGCGTGGTCCTTGCCGTTATATGGCGGGGGCAGGTAGCTGCGCATGTTCACTGACATGATGTTGAATGGGAGCCGGAGATAGACACCGGAAGATCTCCAGTGGGGCAGAGACGCACAGGGCATCTGACCCACCAAGAAGACAGATGATCAATCTCTGCACGCAGAGCAGAACAATCAATAGCATCAATCAACATCCGTGTATTCAACACATGACCGCTGCGTATTTCTGCAAGTCCTTGTCTGGGGACAGCGAGAAGGCGGCCTCCGCCAGTGCTGCGTGAACAGCCGAAGTGACGCTGATGCCGCGCGTCTTGCATGCCTTCACCAGCGCTGCTGTGCTTGGGGGTCGAATGTGATGGCGCTGTACGACGCCCTGCCTGGCGGCGTGGTCGTATCGCCGGCATAGGGCAAGCCACCGGCGTGAACGGCGTTTCTGTGGTGGTCCTCGATGTATCCCTGTGCGAACTCCACGAGCTCGGGATTCTCCGTCCTTGGAGCCCCTGCTGCATCCTCCAGGCTTGGCGATATGCTCTGTATGCCATCTGTCCACGAGTTCGGTGCTGGTTGTCCTTGCGCTAGGATCGTGAAAAACCGTTCAAGGAGCATACAGGTTCCGAGGCCATCAATGCGCCAGTGAGAGCAAAGAAAAAGAATCTGCGACCGGGTAGGAAAGAAGTATAAGCTTGGGGTGTCCCTGGAGGGATAGGACGCTACAACGTCGTCTGGATCTGCGCTGCTCTCAACGAAGAAGGTCTCGTTGGCCCATTCATCCACTGACACAGAGCTAGGCACGGCGTAGGTCTTCTTCGTCAAGGCATCAGGGTTTACAGCAAGTGCCGGAAACTCCTGTCTCAATGTCTTCCATGCATCGCGCAGTGCTGTCGACGGGTTCCTCCCAGAGAGCGAAGGGCCGAGTTCAAAGGAGCAAACGATATAGAGGCCCCAGTGCTCACGACCGATCGGCTTGAAGGCTTGCGAGACCTGGCGGTAGATTTTCTCAACGCCGCCCAAGTCTTGCAAGTACACACACTCCCGGTGAGGTCAAGGACCACTCCATAGCGATGAGAAATTGGCCCCAAGAGCTCGTATAACGCTACTGCAATTGACTCACATAAGTACATCATCGAAGCTATCCAGCCCTCGTCGGGTTATCACCTTCCAACTTCCGGTTGGGCTTTAGATCTATGGGTGCGTGTCGGGCCTTCAACTCCGGGGTGAAAGTCCGAGGCAGCATAGGCGGCGGCCCGGACAATCCAGCACAAGATAGCCAATAAGCGCAGAATGGTCAGCAAACACAGTGTCCTCGGGAAACCGCGCATGTCTCAGCTTGATAAAACCATCAGCCGGGGTGACTTGAAGCGTTGTTGAGTGTATGCAGCGTTTGAGCGCAGCTTCCGAGGAAGCAGTATGTCTTGGCTTGAACGATCACCAGGCCACTGTAGAAGACCAATTGGCGAGAATGAGCGTATGATCAAGTGGTTAGGTGACAGAGCACATCCAAGCGGCCGCTGTCCTTCACCCTATCAGCATTAACGGGCCTGGGTGATCTATCATTGCAGATGCGCCGGGCATGGCAACTGCTACGCTTTCGACACCCAAGCATCGCATCAACAGAAAATGGTGATTACATGGAGTACATCGTACCGAATCCGGCAGTCCTGGAGAGATGGACCGAGGAGACCCTGCATATCATCTCCGACTCTAGCTGCAACCCCGAGGACTTGATCGCCAGCATCAAGCCATCACCCTACATGACCGCATACTTCCTCCAAGGACAGCAACAACTCATTCTCCACACCGCGCATTGGCGAACCGATGGCTTCGGAGCTTTGCAGCTGCTAAATAACTGCTTCGAGGCCATCATGTCCGATCAAGACCCCAGCACCCTCTCCTGGGGGGATGAGGTCGCACGTCTCGCGCCTGGCATCGAGGAGGGTCTCGGACTTCCCGAGAATCCCACACCAGAGATCCAGGCTGCAACAGCCAGACACCTTGCCACCGGCGCACGGGGCATCCGACGAAGCCTGACCGAAGCCACGACCACAGCCGTGATGGCTGCCTGCGAAACCCGTGGCCTCGCACTATTAGCTGCAGTTCATGCCTCCCTCGCAGCGGCGAATCTGCTGAACGCGGCTTCGTCATCCAATCCCAACGACCATTATACAAGCATCATGCGCTTCTCTCTGCAACCATAACTGAAGGAGCCGTTCAACTCGGCTCGATACGCTTCGGCCTTGGACTCGGGGAGTTACATGGCAAAGGTACAGGCTGGAGACTCGTGGGACCAACATGCATCGCAGTACAATGAGCTCTATAAGGCTGGTCTCTACGACGACTTCCTCATTGCTCGCAGGCAGTTTGCCGCCTAGGCCCCAGGGATGATCAAGCGGGGTGGAGCATCCGGGCCAGTGAGGAGCGAGGTTGACATCTCAAGCGTAGATGATGCTGAGAAGCTGGTCGCCCCACTTCAACGGAATGACAACGGGGATGAGATGGTTCTGGAGGTCAAGGACATTAGTTTGGGCATCGAGTGTCTGGCGCGGGAGACTTACTTGGTCTTCTGGACTTTCAGGGGCAAGATCTACTTCCACTTGGTATACAATGAGGCTTTTTACGAAGAAAGCTTTATGCGCGATGTGTTGACCACATTGGAGTGCGCGTTGGTGAAAGGATTGAAGGTAGAATAGATGGACAACGATAGGGACTCTACAACTATTAGATCAACGTGATGTGACAATTAGGTACCTTATGAAGAGAAATGGTCAGGATCAGATGGGAAGGAGGTATTTAGCGGGGGCTAGGTGACGCCGAACACCATTGTACCAGCAAACTGGAACCCGACCAAGGCTGTCGGGTTCCACTGTAGGCATAGACATCAACCTGAATAAGGAGAGGCAACTACGGAAACACACTGTGAAGGTAGTTGAGGTCCAATAAGTATGCCTGTACATCTGGCCCTCACGATGCTGAATTGCCTCATCTATTTTCGGCTTTCTACTAACAATTATCCTTGTGAATCCATCGTATATAAGATTTGTAACTCTTTATTATAAGTAGGAATACTATTTATAAGTTTGGTATATTTTTATAGATAATAATAGAAGCTTTCTGAAATTAAACGATTTATTGTTATTTATTTTATTAATGTTATTATTTAATTAGTTAAATTTGATTAAATTTGATTAAATAAAAGCTTTTGGTTAATCACACGGCTCTTTTAATCCAAACGGGAGTAGTATATTACCGAAATTTTATAGACGCATATTAACAACTAGTTAACAAGACATTTAAATTTGTTTTTAATAAATTATTACTTAACTATTCAATATTAAAATATAGCTATACGTATTAATTAAATAAGATATCGTGATTCTTTTTGCTTAGTGTTACGAACCAATAAATACCATGGCCTGTTGGAGGGCCAAGGGGAGTACAGCAAGAACTAATGGAATCAGAAGCCAGGAACGGAACAATGGGTATTACGGATTACATAACAAAGGTCACATGAGGGATCACTGGATCGGGGAGTGAGCCAGTGAGCATCACTCTGGGACAAGGTGATCCTACTCCATCAGTAAGGGAGAGATTGGATATATAAGGACGGATATTTCCCAGCTAGATAGATAGACAGTCTCTACCTCAGTGATCAATCTAAGCATCTTAGCCAACCCTAAGGTGGAAGAAATCTCCTGACGCTTCGACTACACAGTGAACCCAGTTCAGACCAAGCCCCAGCATCTGAGTGTCTTTTAGTTGACAGAAACTTCTATCGTCCTTTATACTGACTTATCTCAGAACATAAACCTTATAGAACCCTTTAGCCTTATAAATTAGACGGCTCGCCACATTCTAGTCATAAACCATACATAAAATAAAAACTAGTCAAAGTTATAAAAGGCATTTTCAAGTAAAAAGCTTTAAAAAAAATTAAAAATATTTTTATATGCTAGTAACTTTCTAAATATGGTTTTTAAAAAGGTTTAACTTATAAACAAGTTTACTACGCGTATTTTGAAAACAAAGTCACAAAACCGCAAATATACCTAGTTTTTATTGAATTTAATAGTCTAAAATATTTACACGCTACTTATAAAATATTAGCGTTTTTAAGAAACATTATTTGAAGCTTAATTAAAACCTCAAAATAATGGCCTTTAATAGGAATAAAATCTATTTGTCTTTCGTAAAATAATACAATTTAAATACAAATAAAGCAAAAAATAAATGAATAGCCGCTCCTTTTATAAACAAATTTAATAAAAAGTAGTTTCAACGTCTTCTTGTGACGGAACGCTCACCATAACCACCATGCCACGGCTGTTCTTCCCAAAAGGATGTCGAATATCAAGCGTGGCAGCTTGACATTCAATGGTGGTACATGTACTTATGTCTGTGCTCCGGGACTCACCACATGGGCTACCTATACCAGATTATGACACGTTTATTGAAGTAAATAAATAAAATTTCTCCTTTACAATAATAAATCTTTATAACTAAACGTTATATTCAACTATTTTAATATATTCTTCATTAATGTCAAGTTTAATATTAGCAGCAATATAATACGTACGAAATATAAGCCGTATATTTAAGTATTAAAAAAACAGGTAGAAATATTTCAATAAGCGGTTAGCTTTATTTATATTTCGATTAAATGGTAAACATCTATTAACAATTACAAATTACACGAAATTACGTGTTTTTTTATAACGAATATAATAAGCTTGATAAATTAATTATTGATATACTAGGTTTAAATTTTTTTTTGGGAAAATATCAGGAACATTATTTCTAAATATATTAAAAAACACGATATTTTAAGAAAGTTGATCATTTCATTTTAAATTATATAAATAATGTGAGAATAATAACATATAGTTTTAATATTAAGCTTAGTTTCAATAAACAGAAATGTTATCATTTTAGTTACACTCTTAAACTTTCCGTTAAGTAAATTCTTGTTACCTTAAATCTTAATCATTTTAAAAAATAAGTGGGGAAAAAGCAATTAGGAAATATCTTTAAATATAAGTTAAATGTACGTAAAGAAACATTAATGGAAATATATAATAATAATTATTAAATTAGCGTGAAACGTCGTTTTATTATTTTCTTTTAATAGTTATAAGAAAATACCTTTAATAAGTTTTTAAGTTAAAAAAGATTTTTTTAAATAATACAAGGCGATAATTCTTATAATATTGTTTAATGAAGAGCCTTTTTAAGAAAAACACGAAGTAAAACCAGAATAAAAAATCCTTTAACTCTTTCTATTATTACTATATAGAAAATAACACTTAAAAGATATGAAAAAGAAGACTAGTTAACAAGAAATAATTAAAAAAAGTTAACGCATTTTTTTTATATCTTTTTAGCGTATAAAAATATTGTTGAAAAGTTTAAAAGCGATAACATGATTTATTAAGGTAAGTATATATAAGTAAGCTTATATAATAATATATAATTTGATCCTAATTTGATTATCTTAAAAAGTTAAAAGAAATTAACAACTAAGCTAATAACGAAAGTTTTTACGATAATAAGTATATACAAGGTGTCACGATGCCTGCGGCGTTGTGGTGGAATCTGGTGTTGTATTCCCAAAATAATAAGGTAAGGAAGAAAAGAAATCCAGGTGTGCGTGCACCTGAAAGGCTGCAGCACATATTGTGGTGTCCTTTCTTATCTAATCTACCAGTAACCTGATGACTAAGCATCTATGCATGGAGGTGGATACGGCTGTACATTATCACGCAAGCTCTTATTCATAACAAATAAAATGTTTGAAATATATAGTATAATATAATCGATATGATTACTACTCATTACGTTATTATAACTTTCTATATCATTAACTTTTGAAGCTCATTGAAATAAATTAAGCTGATTATTTCAAATAAATCTTAGTTATTGAAGAAATTACTATTGAAATAAAAACAAAGTTTAAGAATACCCTAATAAATACCATAAAACTTAAAGTTAAAAACAACAAGCTTTTTATAAAATACTAAAATAGCTAAATTGAAAGCTTTTTATAAAAGTAATAAAATTGAATTAATGAAGTTATAAGATAAGTAAATATCTTTCAAAATGAATAAGAATAAATATTAATAAAGTACTTTTTATGAAAGCCACGCGAATATTAAGGATTATATCTAATACAAATACAAAAAGCGGTTTACATATTTAGTGTTATTATACATAGTTTTTGATTTTTATTAGTTTCATTTATATTTACGAAATAAAAAAAGCTTTTTTTTATAATAAATTAAATAGTAACAAGTTTAGAGTAAAATTGAAATGTTATTATTATCGGTATATATGTAATGGTTCCACCATCCATCAGGTCTAGCGATGGTCCCCATGGTCCCCGGGTCACGTGACTGGGCACGTGACTAATCGGACGATAGGTTGATCCATCCCCTGATCAACCAAGTTGACGCGATCCACGGCAAAATAGAGCAGACACTTGTCACCATTCATGAAAATGACGACGAGCCACGCCGCCTGGCTTATCCAAGGGTTCATGTTCACGGGCTTATGGACCCTGGGCTTGAGTTACACAGGCGATTGATGAGGGAATGGTGTCAGAAGGGGACATCGACGCTGGTTGAGTGGAATGGTGGGCATAGGCTGCCGACCAAGACTCAAGATGTCGCTGTACTGGTACGGGAGATCATGGCTGTTGCGAGGAAGTCATATGAGCATTTGATTCGATGAAAGACGGAGTAAGACTAATGTGAAAGATATTTACATTGCCTCGACTTTGTCTTCATCAAAGGTAACGTGTCTGGCATGTCCGTCCCCCTTGATGCTTGGCAGGTGTTAAAGGGCCTTGAGCCACAGTGCGATTTTGAGGGTAGTAAGTGCACTGTATTGCCGTTTGCAATCGAAGTGTCGCTGCCCCGCTTTAAATAACTAGCACTTCTTAGCTTTTTTAACAAGGCGATAAAAGTACGTTCTTTACGGTTGCGCTTTTATATTTACGTCGTATATATTGTTTTATACTATTTTTAAATAGTTTAATTTATAGCTATTAAATGATAAAAGTTAATAATGTATACAACGTTAAAACGATAATTATAACTTTAGATTTTGTATTTTTATCTTTTTATGCACTAGATTAGTTAAAATTATCAAGGTATAAAAGGGTAATAATGGGGTAAAATACAGGTCTCAAGATTATAGTATGAAATATTAATCATATTAAAAGCTTTTTAAAAAGCTTAAAAATACCTTGAACTTAATCTTTTCTTATATATACAAAATAAGACTACCAGTTATTATAACTAGCTTTCTTAGTTTATAGTTAGGGCTTTTAAAAGCTTTAAAAACTTAATCTTATATAATATACCTTCTTTAAAAGCGGTAACAATAAAAGAATTAAACGTATAGTTATTAAAAAACGTATTTATTTAAAGCGTTTATAAAGGCTTTTATAAATTTTTGAACGTATTCCTAAAAGCTTTTAATAACTACTACGTAACATATATATAATAAAAGTCTTGTATAATTATTCACCTTTGATTATCCCTTTATAACTTTACGAAGTGTTTTTACGAAAGCTTTAAAATATAAGGATTAAGGTAGCTGAATGCTGAAGCAAGGTGATGGCGGTGATTCCAAGATGTAGGTGTATTAGGATACTTCAATCTAGCCTGGTATGTTTGTGGGAATTAGGCGTTTTTAAGGGGATGTGGTAGTGGAGTCTTAGGGCTCCGATCGGTGACCAGTCGGCCTGACATGCCAGTGCAATACCCTTACAGCCTCTTTTCAAAACCTAGCTACGGCTTTTATTTACCGTGTTAAAAAGTTAGTTTTACGTTATTTATACGCGTTAATTAAAAGGTAAAAGCTTTATTAACGTTAATTCGCTAATACTTTTACTTAATAAATTACCGTTAAAATCTTATAGCTTTTTAAGTCGTATAATCTTTATTAAATTGATGACACACGTCACCAAGGAGACCCACTGTAAGTGGGTGCCCTGGTCATTCAGAGTACGGCTAGATAGATAAGATAAGGGAGCGGCCACCATATAATAGGTGCTGTCCTCCCACTTAGCTAGATAGCTAACCTACGTACAACAACATACTTAAGTGACCCCCATACTTGCTCGCTTCAATTAACTTTCAATAAATATCTTTTAAAAGCTTTATAACCGCTTATTTACGCCTTTTGACGAGTTTATACATAAGATTATTGTATATTTTATAAGGCTTTATACGATTATATACTTTTATAACTATTTTTAAAGTCGAAAATTACGAAAATATTTAACGCTTTTTAAAAACTAACTTTCACGCGTTATAAGTATTATATTTCGACTAGTTTTATAACTTTTTACCGCTTTTAATAGTTTTGGATTGTTATTAACGCTTATACGTTTTAATTATAACCGTAATTTCATAAACGCCTTTTTTAAGCTTCGCGCTACTTTAAACCGAACCGTTATTTTTATATATTTCAAGTTCGTTTAACCGCGAAATCTTAATATACTTTATAAATTCACGAATATACAATATACACTACTACGCTCTTTTTAATAAAAACGCTTTATAAGCCTTTTTTTTTAATGAAAAACGCCGTTCGTTCGTATTTTAAGCTTTATAGCCGCGTAAAACGTTTTTGTCGTACTTTAAAAATGCTTTAGTCAAGCTTTTAATAAAGTTTTTCGCCGTGTTCAAAAACGTTTAAATAGTTATATATATTAATTCATTTAAATAGTAAACGAGTAATTTTCGGCTCTTTTTTTAACGAAAAAGCCGTGTTTTAAAGCTTTTAAGCCTTTAAAGATTTACTACCGTGTTTATTCAAGTAAATGGCGTTATATAAGTAGCTTTTTTCGTAAAAAAGCCTCGTTTTAAAGCTATCAAAAAGCCTTCAAAAACTTAATACTTTAAAACGTTCGATCGTTTTAAAAGAGCCCTTTTTAACTTGTTTAATTATTGAAACAACATTTTAACTATAATTTTGAGCTTAAAAGGCCGTATATAGTTTATTAAAAGCTATGTTTATAATTGTAACTTGAATTACTAGGTGTATTAAAAGCTTTAAAAAGAAAAGTGTGACGGTCCAGCACCTGTATCCACCTAGTTCGATGCTGAGTCATCAGTTCACGTGTAGATTAGATAAAGAAGGACACCACCATATGTGCTGCAGCCATTTGGGTGCACACACACCTGGATTCCTTTCCTTCCTCACCTTGTTATTTTCGGAATACAACACCAGATTTCCACACAACGCCGCAGGCATCGTAACAAAAAGAAAAGCTTAAAAAGGCCTTTCACTTGATCGTTTCTTATATATACGAAATATAACCACCAGCTACTATAACTAGCTTTTTTAAAGCCTTAAAATTATTAAGAAAATAATATATAACTTTACGAGTTAAAGACTTTGTAATAAAGTAAAGATGTTTTTAAAGCGTATTTGTTGAAAAAGTAAATTTAAAGAGAAATCAATTTAAAATAAGTACAACTTTAAAACAAGTTTATAATAACGTATATATAGAATAATAATAATAATAACTGATTTAATATATTTTCTATAATTAAATAATTAGTTTAAATAATATATATATATTAAGTTCTTCAATACTTTTCAATGTACCTTCAACGCCGCTTGTTATATTAGAAAGTCTTTAAAAAATAGGTGCCAGGTATTTAAAGCGGGACAGCGACACTTCCATTAAGAACGGCAGTAACAAAGGCTTTTAGGCAACCAGCGCCCTTTAATAGCAAACATTAAGACTTTTCACATCAACACAATCACTATGAGTACCTATCAATACTAAATCAATGGTGATAAAATCCCTCAACTCTGGTTGGACACACTTTACGAATTGCTCGTTCCTATGTAGGGGCTAACGGTCGGCCATATCAGCCGTTGACCGTCAGCAGCGCCAAAATCTGGGCACTACTATATCTCTTTGGTATGGACATAGGACCTTTAGTACGTTTATTCGCCTCAGTCTGCCTTTGAGAGAACTCAGTTGTTGTATGTCAAGCAGTATCCATGTTACGCCTTTGTACCAATCCAGATCCTGCGGTAAATGGTAGGCGCATTGGACCACGGTTCGCAGATGGTTACAACTTGAGGCTATTCGGGCATCAAAACTAGGACCTTGTTCCTTTCTTTATATATATGCTATACCTGCTTCCCATATGAACCACGGCGAGCCGGGCTACAAGGTACCATGTGGTCTATGTCCCATCATTCAGATGAAGAAGTGGTGCTGCAACGCTCCCGAGTAAACTACTTGATTGGGTTTCCAGTCCCGAACAAGCCATGAGGATCCCACTGCGCTTTCAGTGCCCGAAGTCTAGGGAGGTTACCTGCCCCGTGAAGGGCTGCCAGGCCCTCGTCTCCATGGTCGTAGTTGATATAGACACGTGGGCTTTCGAACCCATCGTGATCTCGGAATGATGAGAGCAAAGACTGTGAGAGCACATCTACGTCTACATCTAGTTCAGGGCCGGGGTAGATGTGGTCGAAGAGCCTACGCCTACGTCAGTCTTGTGCACGCGAATCGTCAGCTTGGTTCGGGGTAGAGGCCAGACCTACAGGTACGTTTTGATATCCCGCCAGGGGTAGACAGTCTCGCTAGCGGGGACCTTGATCATGCCTCATTGCTGTAGCGCTGTGCGATCATCCACCCGCTGTACGTCGGATGCGCCTCGTAGAAGCTGACCATGTCATCATAGGCAGCTTCGAACGTCGCGACGTCTGTCTTGCCCAGCCCCGTCATGTACTCGCTGTGGTACTCGCCAGAGTCGCACACCCATTTGGAGAAGATGCCGTACATTTGCGTCGTGGTCACGTTAAGGATGGTCAGGGCGAAGGGCTTATTGCGAGATATTTATCGAGGTGCGGCTGCGCCTCGGACATGTTTCCAAGGTAGACGAAGCCGACTGCGACGCTGGCCTGGTTCGTGGTGTGATTGTACTGCGTGGAGTGGATCAATGCAAGCCTCTGTGGGAGGCAGCCATCGTAGGTCTGCAACAGCTCCCATAGAGATCTGTTCGTGGCGGCCGGATATTGGAAATTTGCTAGGACAACGTTGCCAGCATTGATCTGATCATAGATTTCGTAGGTGGCCGACGTCACGATGCCGAAATTGGCCCCGGCGCCGCGAATGGCCCAGAACAGATTGGCATTCTCGGTCTTGGATGCGGTCACTAGGTCACCCGAAGCTGTGACGATGCGGACAGACAAGAGAGCATCCAAGATGAGGCCGTGGTTGCCTTGTTGAAAGCCGATGCCACCCCCGATCGTGGCTCCTTCCATGCTCACGCAGACAGTGTTGCCTGTTTCTACAGCTTTTGTTAACTTGGTGCAGTTTCGTAGAGCGTAAGGAGACGAACGGATTTCTTTCCCTGCTTCAAACAACGGTTGGAATATGTCTCCAAAGAGCACGCCCCCGCCGACCGTCAGACGATTGTTGGCGGCATCTACCGAAACGGAGTTGAAGTTTCCGAGGTTGATGTTCAACGCGTTCTCCAAGTTTCCGTACCCCAAGGCCGTCCCGTGACCGTGGTTCTTGGCCATGAACGACACATTGTGATGAGAAGCAATTTTCACCTGTGCCAACATTAGTTGCGTGTGAACAGACGATGCTGTCTGAATTGGCAGCATTCCCCAGGGGTTTGGCCAGTATTTGTCTTGACTTACGATTGCTTAGACATCTGACTCTGTCACTGGCTTGATCGCAGCTTGATAATCAGTGGCTCGCCAAGTAGACCAACGAGGAGAGGCGACACTGGAGTAGTCGGCAGCGGACGAATAGGCGATCTCTGTTCCTGGTGATACATGAGGTCCAAACAACCCTGTTATGTTGAGGCCGGCTACAGCACGTGCACCTGATGTGAGAGCCAAGACACGTGTGAAGACACGTGGCATTTGGTGTAACATGGTTGAAGCTTAATGCATGTGCAATAGACCGAGAGAGGGAGACAGCGACAGTTTGGTCCTAGATCCCTCCTGTCTGGCATGTTGGCACAAGTCACAAGAGCTTCCAGGTTTATTATATGGGAAGCCCCTGTACACCCTGTTACTACTGCTTGGACATAAGCATTATTCCCGGGGCATTAGATCGAGTTTAGCGAATCCATCTATCGTCGATGGCACTACCGTGGCGTAGGATAGGAATTTCCGAAGCGCAGCAACACACCTACTGGACATGATGCCACCCCCAGGAATTCCAAATACACGTCCGTGAAGAGCCGAATGGTTCCAGGGCTCAGCCCCGGGCGAATGACACCGCGGGGTAACTCCGGGGTCCGGGCCCGCGGATGCGGCATGTTTGCGGACACAGTGGCGGAGAGGGTCGATGAATTGCTGTTAGCCCGATAATGATATGTCAAATGTGCAGGGGAATGCGGAGAGAGGAGTACTACTGCATGGACTCGAGGAGGGACATAGGTGCGACCTTCTACACATGAGAAACTCGAGCTCTAGCAGCGAAGATGTTGTGAGAGCCATAGCAGAGCGGTGCTCAGAAGGAGGGACGGCTCTTATAGTAGACACTAGCTACTTTAATACGTCTTAAATCGTCAGATTAAGATGTGCGTATAACTAGTATACAGTCCCTGCATCTTTCGGCGGCAGCGAAGTAGGTTAATGTTAGTTCTCCTACCTTAAGGTTGAGTCTGTTATCAATAAAACAGCGCAATAACCATCAACACGATGTTCAACACGGCAGGGCGATGGAATTGATTGATTGATTGTATTTAACGTGGGGGGTAGCTCCTCAGTAGTGCAAACCACGCCTCCCAGAGCCTCTGTATCGCAGGGTTGTGGAGGTCTCAAGATAATAAGTATAGTCAGTCCCGCTCACGGGCCCATGCCCGTTGTTGCGGCGGTATGACCTTGGGGTCATCCATCTGGTCCTTCAAGAAAAGCTATCTATTGGGGGCAGATTGTTGAAAAGAACTTGCTCTTCTCCACGAATTTTGCCCATTCTGTGCTCCTTTCCCTTAAGTATTGTAAACAGGCTGTTCTAAGCGAGTACCTAAGTAATAGTCAGTTTTTCCTAAGCCTCTTACAAAAAAAAATGTATTGTGGTGTTTTCTTCTTATCATAACTATAGTGATCATTCGAGTCTGTATGCCCAAAGCGTTCATGGTATCTGGCAAAGTCGCCATGTCCAGATCTGGCCGCTAAAAGTCTGTGTAAAGTACTCCTCTTAAAATATATAAGGTCTCTTTCAGTTGTTATATGTAAGTATACTTTTTAATATTTAGGTTCTGATTGGTTTTTTTATTATTAGTTGAACTCTTTTTTGCCCTTTTTTTTGAGATCTCTTTTAACCCAAGAGATTATAGAAAGGTTTGTTGTGTCTGTTTCTAGCATGGTACCCTTTTTTGTTAGTGTGTCAGCAGCTTCGTTGCCATCAATATCTCTGTGTCCAGGAATCCACTTGATGGTCACTCCAGGAGTGTGTGCTGTGGCAAGTTCTTGAAATCGTAGAAAAATGTTTTGTGATGTCTCGGGTGGAGTCCCATTGAGCCCATCTACCACTGACATGTTGTCCAGGCAGACATATAGCTGTTTTCTGTGTCCAATTGCCCTGGCTACTACAAGACCTTGGAGAGCACCATGGACTTCAGCATCTATTACTTCTGCTTAGAGAAGTCTGCCCTTTCTCCGGTATATTTCTTGTGTAATACCGCCTTTCCTGATGGTGTAACCCCATCCAGTGCGGGTTGTGCCTTGGTCGTCCAACTGTGATCCATCTGAATAGATGACAAGGTCAGTGTTCATATTTCTCTCCTGTAGCCATTGCTTGAAGAGCTCTATTTCTTTGTCTTTGTCTTTACGGATTGGGGGCTTCTTCCATGATGGCCTGGTAAGTGTTGGTCTTTAGAAGTCAGGGACTAGCTGGAAGCTCTTTTATAGCCTTGTTGGATTCTTGCGAGCTTGTATTTGGAGCCTGCCAACAAGAGGGTGTCTCTGGTCTATTTGTCCTAGTCGGAGGCCGTGACGTCGTCTTATTGACTCTGCAAGAACTCCTGCTAGGGGAATCTGCGATTCAAAGTATAGGATATGTCCAGGGTGTGTTTTCTAGACTGGCAAGATAGCCCTGATCGCTGTTCGTAATACGGCATCTATTGTCTAAGAAGCCCCTCAATGCAATTTGCTGATGTCCCACCTAAGCTCCCAACTTTCTCGATTCCTGGGTACCAGGCCTCCAGGCCGTGTGTAAGAATAGGAATAACACAAGCTTTCACAGCCCTCTTGGTTGACTTTACTGGAAGTCCTTTGACTGTGTTGCATAGTCCTCGAAAGTGATTTGCTACCTTATTAGCTTTCTTGGCCTAATAAGAAACATGATTTTTGAAGTTTAGTTTTCTATCTAGGAAGACACCCAGCCATCGCATGGAATCCTTTGTTATTTTGTTCATTGTCTCGTGGCGGACTGGGGGGTTGTTTGAGTTCTTTTTCTTTAAGAAGTGCATAATCTCAGTTTTGTCAGGGTCAAATTCAATAGCGTTGTTATGTCCCTATTGACTAAGCAAATAAAGATTTTCTGAAACCTCTATAGCTGTTTCCTTAAGATTCTTTCCAATACAGAGAGTCGCTAGGTCGTCTGTATATCCAAAGCGTCTCTTTTTTATACAAAGTCGGGCACAGATTGGTTCTGTATACAGCATATAAAGGATTGGAGAGGCTGATGAGCCTTGTGGTAGCCCACAAGTGAGAGCTTTAATATCGGCCACAATACCTTCAAATCGAACCCTTGCGGACCGCTCGGACATGAATGACTGGACCCATCTTATGAGAAAGCCCAGCCAGCCCTGTTCTCTCATGCGAACCACCAGCCGTCCCATTAGGGCAGCATCAAAGGCTCCTTTCACATCTGACGTGACTACTGTTGCAACGAGGCCTTGGTCGAGGGCCTGCTCAAAATCGTGTATGAGTGCAGCTACCAGGTCAGTGGCAGAGCGCTTTGGTAGAGCTCTAAAATGTTGTGGAGCTAGAATTCCAAGTTTAACAACAAATCAGATAATCCTTTTTGCGATGAGTCATTCTAGGCCTTTGCCAAGACACAATAATAGCGATATTGGTCTGTAGGCCCTGGGATTGGAGTAGTCTTTCTTTCCTGGTTTGGGATCATCACCACCTCAGCTACTATGAATGGTTTAGGGTGGTGTCTAATCTATAGACAGGTCTGGAAGGGGGCTCTGATATGTTCCCCAATGAATGGCCAGCAAGCTTTCAGAATCTGTACTGTGAGGGTATCTATTTCCGGGGAGTTGCTCTTGGTCCCTAAAGTGCACCCTTCAGCCTCTTCTAGTCCGACATGGTATTCAAGGGGGATGTATGGCTTGGGTTGCGTGATCTGAGCGGACTAGGGGTCGATAATATCGTTGTCTGAGGTACTTCATTTAAGCGTGGTTGAGCGTAATGTATTTGCCTTGCTCTCTTGTAACTCGAATATTTGGTCTCCTATGATAATTGGAGGGGAACGCAATCCTGCTGATAGCTTGTGCCAAGAGACGATTCTGTATAGGTCCTTTGGCTCAGTTGCTGAATCAATTAGAGTCTGCCAATACTCTCTCCTAGCTTTCTAAACCACACAGTGAAATTCCCGTCGGGCTGAATTCCGCCCTTCTTGGCTTGTAGTCTGTTTAGAAAGGGCCCTGTATGTCTGAACAGCTGCTTTGCAGTCATTATTCTACCAAGCAATGGGCTTAGATTGACGGGGCTTCTTGCCCACTGTCCTGATACAGCCTTAGATCATGTTGATCAAGCTTTGTGTAAAGGTAACATCTCCCACCCCCCTGCGGACCACCCCCCCGCGGACCAGCGCGTTCTGACCCACAAACGCGTAATTCACCAACCACCAGGATTATGGTGATTTACCATCTACACCATCACTTTTGCATCTTTTTTTTCACAAAGCACACTATTTGAATCCTTATTCACTGCTGAATCTCATGATGTCATTTTACGATCGTCAAATAAAAGCTGAAACCGCCATTTTAGCCATCTAACGCGGAGCTCCAGTCCGCTCGTCAGCCCTCGAATGGCAAATCAGTCACTCGTACGTCAACCGACGAATCTCTGGCACCCCAACGCGGAATGAGACCAGCGCTCTCCAACAGGCTCTCTCACCGTATCTCGAACATAAGCTGGCAAGCTGGGCCCTGGGACAAGCACGGCTAGGGTATTCTCCGGCGGTCTCTAAGTTCCGTCTCATGGCCCAGCGGATGCTCCATGCCACCGGGAATGCTCAAGAATTAGGGAAAAATTGGGCATCCAAGTTCCTGTCTCGAAACCCGGAAGTCAAGATAATGAAGTCTCGTATTATCGACTACAACCGAGTGAATAGTGCTACAGCGGCAAATATCAACTTTTTTTTCGATCAGTGTGACGCCCCTTACGTGGTTAACCTCATGCCAGCACGCTGGTACAATATCGACGAAATGGGAATCGCCCAGGGGGTTGGGGACTCCCATTGGGTGGTCTCCGAGGCCTCCGGCAACGTGGCTATGAAGAAAGGGGTCAAGAAGGGTGAATGGATAACTGCCCTAGAGTGTGTGAGCGGATCTGGTGAGACCTTGCCGCCGCTGGTGATTTTCAAGGGGGTTAACGTACAAGCCCAGTGATTTAGTAACCAAAATGAGGGCAAATTCACCGACTAGAGGTTTATTACGTCGCCCAATAGATAGACCTTGAATCCCATTGTGTTAGAATGGCTTCAATGTATCTTTATTCCTCACATTTGGGAGGTCCACGGCAACACATGGGTGGTTTTGGTGTGTGATGGCCACGACTCCCACACGAATGACGAGTTCCTAGCCACCTGCTTAAGAAACAAAGTATGGTTGATCTTTTATGAACCTCATTGCTCCCATGTAGTCCAGGTGTTAGATATGGGAGTCTTCAATTTGGTGAAGAAGAGGTTGAAGACCTTACTCCAGGAGACGCCCAGCGGCCGTCTGGGACTCAGGCCATCTAAGGAGGAGGTTTTGGAGTGCTACGAGCAGGCCCAGAAGGACACAATGACGCTCCTTAACATCAGAATTGCCTGGAAAAAGACTGGGATTGTTCCTCGCAACAAAGCGGAGGCATTGAAGTCGAAATATGTGATTCTGGAGGACAAGGGGGTGGCCAGGGCACGCCAGAGGGACCCTAAGGCTTCCGAGCGAGCCACAACACCAGATTTTCTTGAGATGGTAGCTAAAACCATTGTCACAACACCCTCTGGAAGCCGGACTTTGCAAGAGAGTGCTCGAAAGCTTAAAAGAAAGGACCCTTCCTTTGGGGGGCCCTCTGAGCGCTTATTGGTGCGGAAGGCTGGCAAGGCCATGGATGTTCAGGCTGCTACCATTGCAAATCTACGGGCCAAATGTGAGCTGCTTGAGGCTCAAGTGGCTAAAAAGGCTAATACCACTCAAAAAGCAGTCAAACCAACACCAGGGGAACGATTCGTCACAATGGCTAATATAAGGGAGGCCAAAATGGAGCTAAGGAACAGGAGGGTCTATAGGGACTCCGCTGCAGGCGAAGAGGTCCCACAAGAGGTCCCTGGTGAAGATTTAGGGTCGGAATCGGATTCTGGGAGCTGTATTATGGTTAGAACACCACGACCCTAGTGTATTTAGCAACTGTGGTGGTTGTAGATGGCTTCATCTGAATGAGAGTGGTGTGGTGTGGAGTGGTCCGTGGGGGGGTGGTCCGCAGGGGGGGGTGAGATGTTACTACCTGGCCAGGGGATACACCCAGCCGGGGGAGTTTATAAATCCTAGTTTGGACATTATCTGCCAGCTCTTGTAGTTTATCGTCCGGTACCTTCTAATGATTGGCCTTGGGGACTCGGTCTAGATCTCCCTGAATTAGAATGACTATTTGTAATATCTTATGATCTGAGGTGCACTGAAGTGTATCATTGACTGAGACTTCAGCCATGGGGACATCTGAGAACACCAGATTCAGTACATTTCCGTCATCATGTGTTGGGACATCTGTTTCAGAAATCAGATCCAGTCCGTGGTCTGCCATAATCTGTGCAAGTATGACACCACCATGATATCCTGGATTGCTCGAGTCCCAGGATGTGTCGCCAGCATTGAAATCTCCAGCTATAACGCAGCCAAAAGGTGGAGTCCATACTTCCAGAATATCATCCACTTCCTGTGGGTTGTCACATGGCCGGTAGACACTGGCAAATGTAATGCCTTGTACCTTGACTCAGGTGATGTCTCGTGTAGCATAGGGCCAAAGTTGATCCGCTTAAAGGTGTTTTCTCACATAGATGAGAGATCTGGGCTGTGTACTGTCGCTGTCCCAGGAATCCACTGGGGAGTATATATCGTAATTGGAATATGTCTTTACTCCCATTTTCCTGCCTGGTGGTATGCCAACCCAGGGCTCTTGCATCAGAATGATGTCTGCTTGTTCTTCTTTGTAGTCAGCCAGGTTCATGGCTAACTCTGTAGGGCCTGCACTCTTTTGTCCTCTTGCTATATTCACAGAATGGATGACTAGATGCCCGTGTCGATGTGTTTCGTTTGATGTACCTAATATTGACTAATAACAATGGTATCGGCATCTCTGGGATGAGTTGTATCTGTTGTGTCAATTTGTATTGTGATGTCTTTGTTATTGTTACTGGGTGTTAACCCAGCTTGGTTTCTGCCTGCTTCATTGAAGGCCTTGGATCTGGCTCTTTCTCCAGCCAGCCTTATTTCCTGGATTTGCTCCCATGTGTACTTGTGGATGATGTCTTTCACAACCTTGGGGCGTGCAGGGCATTTGTCAAAGTTGGCAGCATGAGGTCCTTTGCAGTTGACACACTTTGGGATTGGTTTTTCGCACTCCCCCTGGTGTACTGTACTGGCGCAACGTGCACATACTTGCTTTTCACATTGGTAGTTCCTACCATGGTATCTGAAGCAGCTCGCACATTGGTGAACCTTGGGGGAGTATTAAATGTGCCTTGAGGTCATTAAGTGAGCAAAAAGCGAGAATGGTTTCTTTGCTGCACGGGGCAGAGAGATCACATATGTGGTCTCCAGATCAGAATCAACCGTGTTCCTTGAGAATATGTATCTTAAAGGTCTGTCACCTGTTTGGGCTTTAACTTTATTAATAACAGTAATGTCAGTAATATTGATTGTTAATCCTTCCGTACTGATGACCTTTCTTGGGCATCTATCGACCTTATAGTGATGCCAGATCGTGTGGGTCTTGATCTTTTCTGCCTTGAGAATATCAGTGATTTCTTCTTGGAAGGCCAGGAGCTTAGCCTGAGTTGGCTTGTCCCTTGGGTGTAAGGTAAATCCACAGGGGCACCGGGTCACTTCTTTAAGCTCTTAAGGGTGGAGCTTAAGTCTTTTGTTTAGTGTAGACTTTATTCTGTAAGGCTCTAGGTGGCTATTATCCATGCGGACAAAGACCCAGAGATTATCCTGCTTCTTCTTCAGTTGGTTGGCAGTAATGCGGGTGCCAGGCTGTGTTTTCTTAATGGTAGTGTTGACTATCCGTGGATGCTGTTGTTGGCTAGATGAGACAGCTTGGGCAAAGGTCATGGTGGGCTTTACCATCCCTATCCCCTCAGGGATGGTCTTCTTTTTGGGCGGATCTCGGGTTTCTAGCCACTTGTTCAGACATTTAGAGAAGAAAGTGCTGAACTTCTTGGCATAGGAGTATAGATCGGTTCCAGCTTTCTCAAGTGTCTTATTAACCGCTGCAGCACACTCTTGAAACATTGTCATCTTGGCTTTATAAAGGTGCTTGTCTTTAGTCAGTATTTTGGCAACTTGGTCTTGGCACTCTGAGGAAGAGGTTTTATTCTTTATATCGCATGTAATGGCTTTGTTTGTCAAGATTTCGTTTAATTGAGGTCGTTTCATTCCAGTGGTGCTGCTTTCATTGATATTTTGGGATTTTCCTTTCAAAGGGGAAATAACGGTGAAGTCAGCCTCAGAGACCTGTGACGGGCTGCTGCTGATGTCGTCAAGCAGCGCCTGGCGGAGCCTGCTTGGAGTTGCCGGGCTGTATGTCTTTCTAGGGGCCGGGGATTTGAGCACACCGCCGGTGGTCGTCTTTGGGACGGCCACGGGCGTGTTTGGGGGCCCGTCGTGGAAGGGTGCCATCCGGCTTGTGAGAAAAATTCTCTTGTGCCTTGACAGAGATAGTTAATTACTGAGAGAAGTGCCTGCTTTAGTGCAAATATCAAGGTTGCGCCCTAACAGCGGGGCGCCAAGAAAAATAGTTGTTTTTGTGAGGCTCGTACCCGCGATGGAATAGTGTGAGTGTGATGGTCTGACCTCCCATCAGGTCTGACATCCCATCTGCAGTGGTCAGTGCACTACATCAGGTGACCTGGCGCAATGGACGTGTGGCTCTGACTGCCACTGGATTGGGTAATTGTGGGTTGGACTGAAAGATCTTCTAGCCCACCAGCATTGGCTGGTGGACCAGATCTTTCTTTCCTTCTTCACCGAGAGATTATTACATGTACATAGTAAAAGCAGGACTTTTATGCCCACTTTCCATCTGCGCTTCGTGATAATCTCTCGGTCTCTTCACACACGTCTAGGAAGACTATAAACTCCCTGAGAACGAATTGACAATACCACGCGTTTGACGCACTGAGAAAGAACCGATACCAAACAAGATACACCAACCTGAACCCGATACCACGATCAAGATGCCGCGCAGCGAGATGGATCGCCAGCTCATCGCGCAAGCCGTTGAGCTGGCCAAATGAGAAGTTCACTTCACTGACGATGAGTATCTGTGGCATTACTCCCGAATCCCCAACCCCAAGAAGAGAGAAAGTATGATCGCGAACGCTGTTGAGTCAACTGATGACCACATCGTCCCTGATACGATCGATGTTGGCCATGTGTTTGACCGCAGTGTCTTTCTCAACTGGGCGTCTGATGACAACTTCAAGCAGTACCGTTGCCGCTTCACCATGGAGGACATCAATCAGGAAGTGCACGACCTGGTCGACTACTACGGAGTGTATTTTGCCAAAGGATCTGCTATGCCCTTTGTTCCCCTTACCCATGACTCTCAGAAGGAGTGGCCTGAAAAGATAACCGGTGTCAGAATCACCCTTAACGCCTTCAAAAAGATATGCGAGCAGAGCCATGAAGCCCTCTTTCAGGAGATGAAACTCCGTACTTTCCTCTCAATGGGATGCAAGGACCTCATCAGAGAGCTTCACAAGATACTCATGGACAACGATCACAATCTCACCGTTGTTTGCGAGCATGCCATGGCCTTCACTGATACTCTGACCAAAGCCAATGACACAATCGCTACTCTTCGCGCCGCTGGAGACAACACGGATGAGGATAGAGGAGCCCCAGTTCGTTCTACTACTCGCCAGGCGGAGGAACAGCAGCTCACCGACCCAATCAATAACCAGTGGAGCAACGTGATCCAAGAGAAGGACGAGATGATCCAAATTCTTCAAAGCAAAGTCATCAATATAACTGGTCGAGAGGGCACCCCTGATTCAACACGATCTGGAAGAGGTCCTTGCCTTACGCCCAAACAAAAGGATCCCCTTATTTTTATCAATAATCCCCTTATCGAGAAAGATAAACCTGCTGTCAAGTTTAATCACTGGTTCTTGATCCTTAGAAAGAAGCTTACGAGCAGTGCTGATCATTTCCCCACTGATAATGACAAGGTTATGTATATCCTCACCCATCTAGGTGGCACTGCATTGTCCCGCTTGATGCCCTTTGTCAATCCGGACGATGTAACTAAAGAATTCATACTTAAGACTAGCAAGGAGATTCTGGATCACTTACACGAACAGTACAATGATCTCAATAAACAGAATAAAGTTAAGAAGAAGTTCAACAAGCTCGAGATGACTACCAGCATGGACTTCAAAGACTTCCAACTTGAGTTCGTGAGACTAGCTGGGATGGCCAAGAAGGAGAAGTCGACTTGGAAGGAGGAGTTGTTCAAGCGACTCCCGAGTCGTCTCAACACCATTTGCCTGGACAAGTATCATAATGAAGCGGTCAGCTACAACGACCTCTGTTCGTATGTCCAGCGACATGATTATCAACAGCACAAGAGCTACCTGGTTGCCTGACTGCGAAAGAACGATACCCCTCAAGGTCAACCGCAGAACACCAATCCCCCGAAGGACAACAGCGGCGGAGGCAATTCGTACCCTCCTCACAACCAGACTCCAAACCCTACCCCTAGAGGTTTCCCCAATCGCCGCCCTGCTTCTGGAACGGTCGAGCATTATAACCTCCCAGTCCTTAGTACTGCGTCTGATGGCTGTAAGATATACAAGAAGCCCCAGCTCGAGCAAATCAAGGCTCTGATTACAAAGGGACAGTGTTTTATTCGTCATGAACACGGCCACTGGAGCTCCGGGTGCCCCGTTAAGAGCGATTTTGAGAAGCAGAACAAGGCTTGTATCAATGCTATTTCCGCGAAGTTGTTTGATCCTGCGACTGAAGATTCCACCGCTGCTGCCCTGGCTACCGCAGAGGGAAAAGTCTAACCCTGGGTCAATCTGACACCCGTCCCAGGGAACCACATCTGATTTTAGCGCTGGACATTGATACTTGCAGGAAGATACCCATTAATTTCCTCTCCCAGATTCTGGGGGGAGACCCATTACTACTGGATTGCATCATAGTTAATAATGGAATTTCCTTAATAACACAATGTCTTGCTGACACAGGTACGAGTGCATATATACTGATAAACTTGCCATTCGTTTCCAAAGTCTCTAAGCACCTCCGTGCGAAGAAGATCCAGGGATTTGAACCTGCTCCAGTAACTGGATACGATGGCAAGTCCACACAGATTATTGATATAGCCCTCCGAGCCCATTTCCGTATACAAGGTCGGATGGTATACGACGTACCCTTGCTGGTAGTTAACATGAAGCACGACGTGATAGTCGGCAAGAAGTTTTTTGACAGGCACGATGTCTTAGTCGATTCTCTTCAGAAATGCTTGTTGTTCCCTGACAAATGGGTACCTGACTATCGCGCATTGCCTGAGATCCCAATGGACTCGGCAGGGTCTCTGCTTAAGGATCCCGCATATGATCAGGATACCGCCAGACGTGATAAGCTGATGGAAACTGACGACAAACTCCGCCGCGATTCTTAATGCGTGCGTTTCGGTCCAGTCACAGTGATCCCGTCTGACTACCACGCTCCAACAGTGGAAGAGATCCCTGAACGCCCTGACCGTTCTAATCACAAAGGAACGGAGACCCTTTTGGAAGATGTAGATCTTAGCCTTATACGCGCTCGGATCGAGCAGCTAAATCGCAATCATCCAGCCATGACGGAATGCGGAACTTTGAGAGATCAGATGACTGATGATTCCCCTTTTACAACGGTCGTTACCCCGGTCACCCTTTAGCCTTGACGTAACCATCATCACAGAGTTCCTACGGATACTGATCGAATGAACGAGCTGCTCGACTACGAGTTCCATGACGAGTCGCGACAGCCCGCACCAACGAAACCATACGTACCCGTCCGGGACCGTTCCCAGCCATCCATATCGCAACAAGTTCAGCATGACGCTCAAGGTCCATATGTGATGAGAAGAGACGGGCTTGGCTGGTACCGCCATCGTCCCCTCGAAGTGGCCATGGCCAGTTCAGTGCTATTCGATCGAGCTAAGGCTGAAAAGGGTACTAAAGATAGTATCACCACCTTATTCAAGCTCGATCGCGTCATCTATCACAAGCGAACGATGCTGGCAGAAGATGATGATGATCTCAAGCGCAAGGCACATGAGCTGATACCGAAGCAGCATCACGAACACCTTGACGTCTTTAGCAAGGTCCAATCTGACAAGCTCTCTCCTTATCGACCTGGAGTAGATCACAATATTGACCTTACTGCTGACCCTCGGAGCTTAGGTTATTCGCCACTGTACAAGATGTCTCTGGAAAAGATGGAAGCGTGCCGAAAGTACATCGTTAATAACCTGAAGTAAGGCTTCATCGAGCCGTCGTCTGTTCCATGGGCTGTCCCTATTCTCTTTGTGCGTAAGGCCAATAGAGGCCTCTGACTTTGTATTAACTATCACAAACTGAACGTTATCACTTAGAAGGATCGCTATCTACTCCCCCTTATTGAGGAAACTATCTTTTGACTTGGCCAGGCCAAGATCTTTACTAAGATCGATATCCATCAGGCTTTTCACAAGATCCGGGTCGTCAAAGGCGATGAGGATATCACGACCTTCCTTACCCGGTACGGTGCGTATCGATACAAGGTGTTACCCTTTGGTCTTACCAATGGTCCATTAACCTTCTAGCGATATATCAATGACACTTTCCGCATATGTCTTAACGAGTTCTGCACAGCGTATATTGATGATATCCTGATCTTCTTTAACAACAAAAAGGATCATAAGAAACATGTTCGCAAGGTCCTCGATCAACTTTGTGAAGCCAGACTGCAAGCCGACTTGGATAAGTGTGAGTTCTACGTCACTGAAACCAAATTCCTTGGCTTTATTATCGGTACCAACGGACTCACCTGTGATCCCGACAAGATCAAAGTCGTCCGCGAATGGGATATCCCCGGGGTTAACGGCAAGACATCTCTCAAAGGTGTACGCTCCTTTCTTAGATTTTACAATTTTTATCGCAAATTCATTAAGGATTACGGTCTGATCGCTAAACAGCTCACAGAGCTCACTCGAAACGATTCTGACCTTGCGTGGACAGAGGGGTGCCAAGCCGTTTTCGATAACCTGAAGCAGGCCTTGTTGACGGCCCCAGTACTCAAGCACTTCTCATACGATCACGAGACGTTGGTTGAGACTGACGCCTCTGATGGTGTCGCCGCCGGAACAATGTCCCAGCGAGCATTTCTCAATGAGCCGTGGCATCTGTGGCCTTCTTCTCGGAGACGTTACAGGGCGCGGAGCTTAACTATGGCATACACGACAAGGAACTACTTGCAGTAATCAAGACACTGATAATCTGGAGGCCCGAATTAGTCGGATTACAGACGGATCGCCCATTTACCATTGTTACAGATTATTCGGCCTTGGAATACTTTAGTACCAAGCGCGTACTTAACCTCCGACAAGCAAACTGGCAGGAGTTGATCTCGCAGTACAACTTTATGATTACTTACAGGCCAGGATCAAAGAATACTGTGGGTAATGCACTATCTCGTCCACAGAACGATGTCAAGACCCAGAAACAGATACGAGATGACCAGCGGACGATGACCCTGTTTAAACCTGTTATGTGAGTATCGTACATCCATACCTTCGATACTCCCGTCGCTTCAGTACGCCACGACCAATCGCTCGACGCTCTCCCCATACAAGCGACAGAGATCTTCGTCCTCAATGATGCCAGTCCTCCAGATTTCTCAGGTATTGTGCTGATAGATGAACTGCTGCGAGCTAATAAGGAGGACGCGTCTCTCAATGAATATCGTGAAAAGGCAAACAACGGCTCGAGCATTGATTGGACCATGTCAGGAGATCTGGTACTTTTCCGTGGTCGTCTTGTCGTCCCCGACTCCAACCAACTTTGCACTCGCGTCGTTGCCGAAACTCACGCATCTCTGGCGACAGCCCACCCCAGGATCAATAAAACTCGTCAGATGGTTGCTGAGCGATACTGGTGGCCGAACCTTAATGGCTTTGTTATCTAATACGTCGAGAACTATAACTGCAAGTCATCGAAAAACCCTCGTGACAAAACTCCAGGGCTTTTGACACCCCTTCTGGTCCCAGAAGGAACTTGATAGGACTTGACGATTGACTTCAAGACTATGCCGAAAGACAAGGATGGATATAACAACCTGTTCGTCGTCATCGATCGGTTGTCAAAGATCCTATGGTCTAGTCCTTGCTTCGACACGGCTATTGCACAAGATGCAGCATGCATGTTCTATAACGGACCTTATCGAGTCCTTGGATGGCCCCAGACCTTCACAAGTGACCGTGGCCCCCAGTTCATCTCAGCCTTCACTAACGAACTCTCAAAGATCCACGGTACTAAGCTGGAGTTTTCATCAGCTGGTCACAAGCAGTCTGTTGGCCAGGTGGAGATAATGAACGAGTACATCGACCAGCGTTTGCGACCATTTGTCAACCATTTTCAGGATAACTGGGCGAAAGCCATCCCAGCCATGGATGCCGCTCAGGTCTCCTTGCCCCACGAACACTGTTGCCTGTTAGTGTGGATTCCATCAAGCAGGTTATAGTAGTCCACGTACCTTGAGTGAGAAATGTTGATAGATCTTGCCGGTCAGGGGTTGAAGTGCAGCCCTTGTGGCCCGCGTCAGTATACTAGCGAGTGGTACGCGTTTGATGAAGGCAACTCACGATCCGAGACTGTAGGCACTGCCGTACCAACCGACGTCGGCTAGTGAGTGGAATTCATCCGTGATCTTAGGTACAGCCTAAAGGATGGGCACGAAGCGTTAGCTGAATGAGTCGATACACTTGTCGTGTGCCAGACATACCGTGCTGACGACTGAAGTGTCCAGGAGCGACAGAAAGCAGGAGAGCACAAGGCTGCCAATGATAGCCTCAAACTTGGCGCCGCTGACATACTGGGGGTTGTCGGCTTGCGGGTGCTCGTCTCCGGGAGAAACACCCTGAGTGGATGAAGATGTGCTGTCGGGCGGTAGTGGCTTTTCGGCGTATGCCGTTCCTCCGCCCACCGGGGTCGTAGTGTCGTCCTCCATTATGAAAGATACAGCGATGATGTATCAGTCAGTCTTCGCAGTGAGGAGTGATGCTGTTCCCACGTTGATGAATACCGTGATTGCAGCGGTGACGAGCCGAGAGCCAGAGAGCGCGTGACGGCGCTTCTGGTTTTACATGGAAAGCATAGTTGCGGTTTGCCTATTTTCCGTCTTCTGCTTCTGGTTATTGGGCTATCGCCATCCACATTCTTTGTCATGTTGATCGACTGACACACGCGAGACAGGACTATCCAACCGGAGCCGGTACTCCTTTTGCGCCCGTGTCCGGCGGGATTGTTCAGCCATGGTTCAGCCCCTGCTTACATCTTGGACACCTGGCCAATCAAGCTGCCATACATTCCAGCTGACAGATCACCCCCCTTTTGAGACACGCTATGCTTAGGTACTTATGTCCGAGCCTCACGCCCGTGTCCTGGTCCGCCGGCAACTGTCCCTTGTCCGTTGAGATTTCCCTCCCTCTCCTGGTCCTGATTGCTGCCGTGTCCGCCGCTGTATCTCATTTTCAACTCATCAAACATTGCCGCCCCGGTCGCGACGCCAAGACTATCCGCCCTCCTGTTGGAGCCTGCGTCTGCGCCGTCATCTTGCACGCTACCACGTCATTCTATTCTACGCCACGGACAGCCATCATGTCAGCCACCCTGCAGCATCCGTCTGCATCGTCCTCTACTGCACGGGGTAGTCTCGGCCGAGCTTGTACGACCTGTGCTCGTATCAAATGCAAGTGTGTATATCGTGCAGACGGCACTGGCTGCGAAAGGTATGTTGCTATCTTTCGACTTTGACCCCTGGCCGACCCCTGTCCTCCGCCACGTGCCCGCTGATGGCACAGCGGAGACAGTTCTGGGCAAAAGCTTCCCTGCCATGGCACCATCCGCCGTCCCAACCGTGATCTAACCAAGGAATAGATGCCACCGTCTCGAGAAGGAATGCATGCCGTCAGCCTTGGCTGCAGCACGCCCCCATAAGCGCCATGGGTCCTCTCGCGCGGCGAGGCTTGAGAAGAAGCTTGATGAGCTTGTCTCTGTGCTGAGATCCCAGGGTACAGCGCAGTCAGACGCCCCTGATGAGATCCTTGACAACTTCAGTGAATACAGCGAGGACGAGGTGCTGAGCGGCACTTCTGCGGCCGCCTCGGGCGCGGCTCTTCTGACACCAGCCGCAAGCGATAGCCTTGGTGGAAGCTCGACTGTTCTTAGTGCAGTCAGTACCTCAGCTGTTAATGTGTCTACTACAGATGAGCCTTCTCTTACAGAAGCGGAAGAGTCGCTGAAGCGATTCCGAGAAGAGACACTGGTTGGTCAAAGGCACTCCTACAGCTGCAGCCCTTCCGCTCGCTGACACAGATGCAGGCATTCTTCCCCTTTGTCTGCATCCCACCCCATGTTCAACTCCCGGCAGCTCAAAGATATGTACCCATTCCTATGGCACAATATCATGAGCACGGCGTCTGCATCGCCAAGACGCTGCGTGGCTTTAGGGGATGTTGCGAGAAGCATCATCATCCCGAAAGTCGTGGTTGACAGAGAAAAGAGCATGGATCTTCTGTTAGGATTGCTCACCTACTTGGGATGGTCAGCCTCAGACGCCATAACGGCTACTGCAACCAAGGAGATTGTTTCTAATTGGTCCTTCTAGGTGCCATCTGCAGCAGCGAGATAAGCCTTGCACCGCCCTCTTCTCTCAGCTAGTCGTTACTCTGGTCTGCGACATTGGCCTACATCGGCCCCCGCCGTCCGAGAACACCACTTCCTTCTGTGCGCCATCGAGGCAATCCCAAACAGCCAATCAGTCTGCAATGCCTCTGTCATCCCAATTGAAGTCGATGTGTACACATGAACAGCGTCGAGCTGTGCTGGGTGCCTTCGCTGTCACTTCCATGTAGGTCCTCCTTTCTGCAGAATGTCATGCTCACTCAGTGGGCCTAAGGCGCAGATCCAGATCTGACATATCTCACAGGATATCATATGTCTTCAAGCGTGCTGAAGGCCTTCCTTGGTCTCCGTACCTCAACGAGCATCTCACCCACCTGTACCAGGAGAGTACAGTAATACAGGACAAGGTCCTGGTTTCTCAGGTAAGGATGCAGCTAATCGTCGACCAAATCCGCCAAGCTCCGTGGCAGAGTACCGGCAGCGATCCAGCCCCTTCCTACCTGTCTGCCCTTCGCGCACAGCTACACGAGATCACCAAAAAGGAGACCATGAACGTAGTCATTGGCAGTAACAGTAAGCTCATTTTCTCCCGCCCAAACTGCTCGGCGGATCTGTTCTAAGCCACAATTCCCGCACAGCCATGATATCAGAGCTGCTCCATTTCACAGGCCTTCTCATATACGAGTCCGCGATCAGCAAGCCACATTTACCATGGAATGAACCTGACTATGAACGATTTGAGATCTACCAAGGATGCCTGAACTCGATTAGAGCATGGCTTGACACGTTCTTCTCAACGCCGATCAACTTGTACCGAAGTATGCCCCTCACTAGCTACCCTCAGCTGGTGCACGTCCTGGGTAGTCTACAGGATCACCACACTTGAGGATCCCGTATGGGATCGAGATGCTGTACGCAAGGCTGTCGACCTCATACCAACGTGCGACAAGATCATCGGGATTTTCGAGTACCTGAAGACAGCTCCTGCGCTGATCTCATCGGGCTGTGGTGATGACGAGGCTTACACCTGGGGCACGGAAGTGCTCCAGAAGATGAGAAGGACATGGCAAGCGGATATTTCGAAGCTTGACGCTGCAAGCAGGACAAGTCAGAACATGACCGTAGTTGATGGTACCCAAGCCATGAACTTCTGGGGCGATCCCTGGTGGCTGGATGGGATGAGTACATCGTGGGATTGAGCCATCACATGATAGGTCCCCAAGCGAACGTTGAGAAGGCAGAAAGCGCTCATGCTCATGTAAGCGCATTCGAGACATCAAGCATTGTCCTTTCTCCGTGACTGGACAGATGATATCGCATGGAGTCAGAGACTAAGAGACAAGGCCCAGAGGCATGAATCCCGGAGTTGATCACAGTGCACATCGGAGTCTAGATGCTCCTTGGGGGATCTGCCAACGCCACTTCTAATTCTCACTACACTCCCATGCAGTGGTCTTTGGAAGATAAAAATTGCACCAAATCGCGCACGTGGTCTGGGGACTGCCACACAGCATCACTGAGATAAACGTCTTTTCTTGTCATGACGACTAAAGAAGACACCCGAAAAGCAGTCCTAGTCACCGGCTGCAGCAAGGCCGGATTAGGATTCGCCCTCGCTATAGCTTTCGCCGACGAAGGATTCCGCGTCTTCGCCACGGAACGAGACCCTGCCACCTTATCGTCAGATGGCGCGGTCCCATCATGCAGCCCTACGGCGTGGTGGCTTGCAGTGGTTGACACATGCATAATAATAAATCCGTCCTACATGTGGCGAGCAGGGATGTCGTGAGACAAAAGCACACCACACGTGTGAAAAGTATGGTTCAGCTATTAAGGCACGGCACGAGTAGGGTCCATGGTACGCCACCGATTGGGCGTATTTGGCCTTTCCGCAGCTTGCACCATGAGAGGCAGGGCGATATTCGGACCTCCAGGGAGGCGGCGGCGGATACAGGGGACAAGACATCAAGTCAGGCCATTCCACTGTGATAGCCTATAGTTGGCACATACAAGATTGCAGGCTACCCGTCTAATGCAGACTCTCAACTGTGCCGAGTAGTATCCCCGGGGCGCTACAGTCATCTTGACGGCGCAGCCATGGGTAGCGGCCTCGGCAGAATCCTTCATGGCGCTGCTAACGTGTTGCCTGAGCGGTTGGCATCCGTGGTTGGTTGGTTGGTTGGTTGGTTGGTTGCAGTTTTTTACGTCTGCTGGTCGCTGCAAATATGATGATAGCTCCCGGAGTTAATCCAAACCTCCGTTGAGGCCTCTAGTCCACTCATGTCCCTTTAGGATTGTTAAGAAAACGCTTCGTTAGCCCCTACCGCTTGCCAGCATGTAAGATGTGGGTGTCTGTTTCCTCTCACCACATGCAGAGCTGTGTGCGGGCAGAGCATCCGTGGTGGCTGTACCTGCTAGGCCTATAAGTCGGGACCGAATGGTGGGATGGATTGAGGCTTACCTTACCGCCTTTTCGAAGCGGAAACTTGTCAGATTTGAGCCAATGGTCAGAGTGAAGTGTGTGTGTGTGTATTCTGTCTGTCTGGATTGTCTCTGTGCGACCGTGGCAGTTTTGTGCCAGAGGGGGCTGGATCGGGACGGAACAACTAGATTTCGTTGTCTACCTGTCAAGGTGCCTTCTAGGCATACCTTTAATCCAACAAAACTAGGCCTGATCTCGTCAATGGGCTTAGGTACCCCGCACCAGGTATAAGTCGTACCAAATGCTAGGTAAACTGGGTGGACAAAAGTCTCCGCCCGACCCACCACAATCTCCTTCAGATCAAAACAACGCGTCAATCACCCTTCGACTTCACCACTTTCTCAACACCGCAATTGATAATGGATTTACGATCTTTTGGGGACGAATTAAGCGGTAATCGCGTCGCTAACGGCGAATTCACTTCAGAAGCTCGCTCGGCAATCGTGGCGGCACGAATCGACGGCAGAACGCGTAGGGATGTTGCAACCGCGTTTAAAACGAAGCGCCTGAAAACCATCTCTGATATTACCACCAACTTTGAGGCCACTTCTACACCAAAATCTGCCCCAAAGAGCGGTCACTCACCCGTTTTGAATACTCGCGAACGCGCTCATGTGATCGAAAAGGCGAGAGAGCTCCCCAGGGCGACGTGGCAGAAGATTCGAAACAAAGCCTGCATTTCGTGCTCTCCCAAGACTATCAAGAGGATATGTCACGCACACGGCCTCCAGAAGTAGCGCGCAGCGAAGCGAATCAAGCTCACAGATAAGGACGCTCAGAAGAGGCTCGCTTTTGTCAATTATTATAGCACACCAGAACGCCTGGAGGAATTGTTGCGAGCTATGTTCTCAGACGAATGTACGGTCCAAAACTCATCCGATAATCCAGGCGATTGGGCCATTCGATTCTCTTCAGAGCGGTATTATTATGATCTCGTGAACAAGATGGATCACGGCAAATCTCGTATTTCGATAATGGTGTGGTCTATGATCTGGCTACGCGGCAGAGAAGGAGGACTAGGCAAGTTGGTTTTCTGCCCACTCGATCCGGATGGTCCGCGCGGAGAAGTATCCGCAGAGTCATACAAATGGGTTTTTGAGGAAGGCCTGCTTCCGTTCTACGAGGCTGGAGATCCTTTTGTTCAAGATAACGCGAAAATTCACCTCACTGGCGGTGTTCCAGAGTGGAAGGAGGAGCACGGCATCCACTGTATCGACTGGCCTCCTCACAGCCCCGATATGAACCCAATCGAGCACGTTTGGCGACTTCTGAAGAAAAACATACGTGAAATCGAGCCTGAATTTTCTGAATTGAAGGATAATATCCCCCATTATTACTACGCACACGAGTTAATTGAGCAGGCGTGGTCAGAGATCGATCCGGAGCAGGTTCGGGCCTTGATGGAGTCACTGGAGGACCGAATAGCTGCAGTGAGGCGCGCCGGTGGTTGGTATACACATTATTGACTTAGTTATTAAATACAATTTATTTGAGAATTCTATCACCAGAATTGGATGCGTTATGGTTCAATTGAGTTGGAGGGTATAGTAGATGGAAGGGGTAAAATTGGGGATCGGGCGGAGACTTTTGTCCACGCATTGTACCTCTTCCCATTTCATATATTACTTACAATGGGAATGGAATCAGAGTGATTAACCGTGTGTGACCACATTTACAACTAGCCCTCATTTGGAACGATTTCCTTATTAAAATAAACCAAAGTTACACGTTATAAAAATCGAATAAAATCGCTATTACCTTACTTATTTAAATAGAAGGGAATATATAAATGTTTTGATAAGATATAGAGTAAGGTCAGTGTTAAAGTTTATTTAACATTATATGTAACTTTATTATTATAAAAATATATTATTCATTATATATTTTAATACTTTAAAGTAAATCATTTTAGTTTTAAAAAAAATTTCAACCATATCGTATGAATCATCGATAATAAAATATTATATTATTAATTGTTATTTCCATTCAAATAAATTATTGAATTATTTTAATATATATTTTTATATTTCAAATTATAAGTATTTAAAAATAAGAGCATAATAATTTCAAATAAATTTGAAATATTTATAAACTTTATAAATTTTAATATTTTTAAATCTTAAATTTTATATGAAAAGGGCTTTACCAGGCGGACTATGTTTTAAGTTTTTATATCCTCTTTATTAAATGTTAAATAACCTGCCGTTACGAACCAACAAACAGTGCGGCCTGATAGCAGGCCAAGAAGAGACGATTGGAAACAGGTTGACCAGTAAGTGGGGTGCTGATCAGTGGAGAGGTCAGAGCAACGGAGCAACGGTACACAGATCATGTGACCAGCAGAACCTGGGTCACGTAACTAAGAATTTGGATCACTGGATCACCATGGTGATCCAGGGTGAGCCACCTGATCATTGAGGGAGAAATTCGATATATAAGGACAGACATTTCCCAACTAGATAGATAGACAGTCTCTACCTCAGTGATCAATTTAAGCATCTTAGATAACCCTAAGGTGGGAGAAATCTCCTGACGACTCGACTATACAGTGATGCCCTGGATCAGACCAAGCCCCAGTATCTGAGTATCTTCTAGTTGACAGAAGCCTTTATTGTTGAATACGAGGGTCAATTGATGTGTATATCATGATGTTGTATGGACATTGTCTATCTGTGTACGAGTTTTCACTACTAGTTTTTGCCTTGGTGGGTGGTCGCCGTCTAGTGCGCTGTCATCCACGTGACATGGTCAGTGCATGTCCCAAATGAAGCGCTGGTATCTGACATCTATCGTCCTTTGTGTTGACTTACCTCAGAACATAAACCCTATAGAACCCTTTAGCCTTATAGATTAGACGGCTCGTCACATTATACCAATTATTTATAACATATGGTATTTTTTTTCAAACTTATAATACGCGGTTCACTACTAGAATGATAACGGCGCGTATTTATAAAAAAACGATTTTAAAAAAGCACGTCGTAAAAAACGTTGTTTAGAAGCACAAATAAAAAGATATATGGCGTTAATGACGCCTTATTTATAACTTTAATAGATTAAAAAGAATACTTAAAAAATAACGCATATTATATTATATAAAGCGTTAATGAAAAGTAAATAAGTAAATTTTTTCCTTTTTTATATCTTTAATGCTTATACAGCTGGTAGTTATTATTTATAACGAGTGTGAGATTCTAGAAGGGTCACAAGCCTTGAGGGTGTGAGCAGTCGCTGCAAACGTTGTTGTCATTCTCAAGTATGCTTGGCAGGGCTAATCTACAGCTAAATACTATACAGCACCATGTCAGGGTGGATCCACTGTTCCCTTGACAGCCCCCTAGTGGGTACTGCACCTAAGGGCACCAAGGAGCGGCCACTATATACTGGGTGCAGTCCTCCCACTTAGCTAGATAGCCAACCCACGCACAACAACATATTTGACCCCCATACTCGCTCGCTTCAGCTTTTAACTTATTAAATTCTTTAATCAATAACTTTTTAAGCACTTCTTTACTATTAATCAAGTACTTTTTATTAAGTTTACGTTTTTTTATAAACTTAAAGGTGCTTTTTAAAAGATTTTAACAGATTTTAGTAAACCGGCTTTTTTTAAGCCTTTCCTTTTAATCTTAAAAAAGCTTTTTTCTTTTAAATTGATTTATACTTAATATATAAATTAAATAATTTAATAGATTAAAAACTCATAATATTTTAATA